ACTTATTATATATATAGTAAACTAAAATGCTGCTTATTGCACGTGCAGTAAACTAAAATACTGCCTATTATATATATAGTAAACTAAAATACTGCCTATTACACGCGCAGTAAACTAAAATACTACTTATTATATATATAATAAACTAAAATACTGCCTATTATACGCGTAGTAAACTAAAATACTGCTTATTATATATATAATAAACTAAAATACTGCTTATTGCATACGTGTGCAGCAATATTAAAACTCTATAACTAATACTTTTTTTAAAAATATTTTACAAATTATATATTTTATATAAAATTCTATACTGTATTTAGAATTAAATTATAGCTTTTTATATTTTAATTTCTTAGGTTTTATCTTTATTAGAATACTACAGATTTAATTAGGTGTGTAGAAAAGTATATAAAAAAAAACTCTAAATTTCTCTATATTAAACAGCTTTAATAGGCTAAACCTAGGCCTTTTTCTACAATACTAAAAAAAGAGCTGCCTACTAGTTTTTATTATATTATAAAGTACTAGTTTACGTTTACCTACAAAGGAATATTAAACTATATATATTTAATTAATACTAAATTTAAAGAAAATTATTTTTTATAAAGCTTTATAGTTTTTAATAGTATTATAAAATTAACTTTATAGTATAATTAGTTTTATATAAATATAGGGTATATATAATAGAAAGTAATTTAGTAAAAGTAGTACTAATAAAAATTATTGCCTTTTCTAAATTGCCTTTTATATATTAAAATATTAATATAAGTTTATTTTTAACTATATATTGCTTATATTACTTTAATCTTAGTAGAAAGTATAAACTTAAATAATATTTATTTAAACTTAAACTAACTTACTCTTGCTCTAGCAATATTAGCAGTTTTAGCAATATTAGTAGTTTTAGCAATATTAGTAGTTTTAACGCTATTAGCAGCTTTAATAATATTAGTAGTCTAAATAATATTAGCAGTCTAAACGCTATTAGCAGCTTTAATAATATTAGCAGCTTTAATAATATTAGTAGCTTTAATAATATTAGCAGTTTAAATAATATTAGTAGTTTAAATAATATTAGTAGTTTAAACAATATTAGCAGTTTAAACAATATTAGCAGTTTAAACAATATTAGTAAATTATAAAATTTAATATTAGCAGCTTATTTAGGGTGCATAAGCTAGTTTTTTTTTAATATCTACTAGGTATTGCCTATCCTATATATATTAGGCACTACTATAGTATTTGTTATAGCTTAGGCTTTAGCCTAAGTTTTAGTATTTACAAACTAAAGATTTTAGTAAATTTTAGCAATAAATATATATATAAATAGCTAGAAATTTCTATACTTCTTTAAAGTATATAATACTATTATTTATACTTAGAATAAAATAATCCTAAAGCTAGTTTATAATAGTATCTAATAATATAATACTTTTAGGAATTAGGGCTATTTAGTATAGTAGTATATATATAGTACCTAATACTGCGCGTAGTTTATACTACTAATATTAAAAACTATTTAATATAGTAGTATATAGAAATTAGAGCTATAGTTAGTTTATACTACTAGTATTAGGGCCTGCAGAAGTCCTTAATAATATAATACTTTCTAAAATTAGGACTACTACAACTACTACTTAGTAAACTACTACTACTACTTAAAATAAAAAATTAAAAGCTAAAAATAAAATTATAAATTACTATAATAAAAAAAAAATAGTACTATAAAGCTAATATAAAAAATAAAGCTTATAAAATAAAGTATAAAAAAAATAAAAAAAAAGTATATAAAAGTAGCTTTAAAAATAGAGTAATATATTACACAAGCAAGTTAGTTGCCCAGTTAAGTTAATTATAATGCTAAAATTTTACTAAAATTAGTACTATACACAATAGTATAGTACTATAAAAAACTATAGTAGTAAATTATAATAAGCTAATTTATTTAAAAATTATTTTTATTTTTTATTTATATATTTGCGCATTATGCCTAGCTTTACTATAATATTTATAGTACTTTTAAAAAAGCTTACCTGCTTTAGTATATATTTGCTTTTTTACTTTTTTTTTATTACTACGCGCTTTAAACTTTTTTAAAATTATTAATTAAAAATTATTTTTTACTATAAAAGTTTTTTTTTTTTATACTTGCTTTTTTTTATATAATTTTTATTATATAATAGTTTTATTAGCTGCTTAAAGCTTAGTAATTTTTTTTATACTAATATAAATTTATGCGCAACTATAGCTGCACTTTTTAAAATTTTTTTAAAAATTTTAATTATTAAAGTAAAAAAACTATTTAAGTACTTTTAAATTTTTATTTTAACTAGCATTAATTAAAACTTAAATTTTAAAGTATTGCTTAATATTTTTAATTTTTAAAAACTGTTTTTAATAGTAAGTAGTAATAAAATATATAATTAAATATTAAGCTTTAATATTATAGCTTTAAAATTAAAAAAAACTAGACTAGTGCTTTTAAAGCTACTTAAAATATTATTTTTTATAATAGTAGTATTAAAAGCTAGTTTAAAGTATAGTAAAAATTTAATTTTAGTAATATAGTTAATATTATTATATATTAGCTTTTTAACTTAGTACTTATACGCTTTTTTTAAAAGTATAAAATAATTTATATTAAGTAGCTATAGTAAGTGCGACAAATATAAAAGCATATAAAAAGTAATAATTTTTTATTTTTTATAATACTATTAGAATTAAACTAATATATAGCTTTTATAACTATTAATAATAAGTAAATAATAAATACTAATAACTTTTTTTTTAGTATACTTATTAAAGTGCTTTAACTACTTAAAAGTAAGCTTATTTATTATTTAGCTATTTTTAAAAACTACAATAATTTAATTATAAAATAAGCTATTTTTTTTATATTAAGCTAAAAAGTAGTTCTTGCCTATAAAAATAATAAAAAATAAAATAGCTTACTTTATTATATTAATGCTTTAAATTACTATTACTTACTTTTAATTACTTTACTGCACTATTTTTAGCTATCTTTAATAATTAGCACTTAAAATAATAATTTTATATAATATTTAGCCTATTATAAAGCCTATTTTATTAAAGTTGTATATATTTTTATTTTAAATATTATATTTAGCTTTTATATTTTTTATAAGTTAAAACTAGCTTTATACAAGCTTAGGATTTTTATATAAAATTTTTTAGTAATTATATTTTTAAAAAGTTTTAATATTAAGTTATAAATATTATTTAATAAATATACTAGCTTAATTTCTACTAATAAGTAGTTGCCTATATTTAGCTAGTAAAATATTAGCTATATTATTTATAGTAGCTAGTTAAAGTAGAAATTTTTAGTTTTTAAAGTAAAGTATATACTAAGCAATTATTTTTTTTTTTATTAAAAAAAGTTTTATTTTATTAAACTTAGTATTATATTATAAAAGTTTTCTTTTTAGTTAATTACTAAGTATTATTTAAAAAATGCTATAAATTTGCGCAGCTTTTTATTAAAAAAAATTTATATTATATTTTAAAGCTTAAACTATAAATTATATTTAATTTTTTTTTTAAAAAAATTGTATATTATTGTATTAAAGTATTGTATTTAATAGTAAAAAATTACTAATTTTAGTAAAATCTTAGCATTGTAATTAATTTAACTAAGCAACTAACTCGCCTGTGTAATATATTATTTAAAAAAAAATTATAAATTTTTATTTAAAAATTTATTTAAATTTAGTATAAACTATAATTATAAATATATAAAAGCTAATAATTTATAAAATTATTTAAAATTTTATTAAAAAAAATTATATTAGAATATTATAAAAATTAATAATATTGCAACTAGCTTAAAGCTTAAAAAAAAACTTTTTTTAAAAATAAAAAAATATATTATAGCTTAGGCTTTAGCCTAAGCTTTAGTATTTATAAACTAAAAATTTTAGTAAATTTTAGTAATAAATTTTTATATAAATAGCTAGAAATCTCTGTACTTTTTTAAAGTATATAATACTATTATTTACGCTTAGAACAGAACAATCCTAAGGCTAGTCTATAATACTAATAGACAAATCGCTACGTAAATGTGATGATTCGCCGTGAATTATTATGCGGGATGGCCTGCACCAAGAAATTCAGACCGGCGCACTCCTCGCCCTTACACCTCGCTCTATACACCTCGCTCTACACATATGTCTTTTCTCTGACTCATTCGTGACACGATCAACTCTGTCCCGGTCGATCTCCGGTCCCTCGCTCTCTCTCCCCAACAGAGCCATTTCCCGTGCAAGCGCCTTCCTTTCGTCCTCCACCAGCTTGGACTTGCGTTTGAGCAACTCGTCCTTTTGTTCCAACAGACCTCGCTTCCAAGTGGCCAACTCTCCCTGACCTTCCAGCAAAGGGTCAACCTTGTCGCTGAGACGGTCATACACCGTAAATATCCTTCGCGAGAGGCGGTCGCCAGCTTCCTCCCCCTCAGCCTCACACCTCTCCTTGAACTCGGTCAGTGTATCGTCACCAATGCGATGAAGATCATTGACAAGCTCTTCTTGCGCCTGAACGAGCTCGAGCCTTAGTTCCTCTAAATCTTCTTGAAACTGAGCATCTGCGGTGCTGCGCAGATCGTCGGCGTGCGACAGCGTTTGATTGTGAACATCCTCAAGCTCTTGCTTGAGGCCGAGTACGACACGCTTGGTGAGGACTGTGCCGAGGGCTGAGAGCGCTTTCGGTACGCGAGTGGAAGTCTGGCTCGAGGCCGACTGCGATGACGGCGACAACGGGGCGGAGAGGAGATTTGGCAAGACGTCTTCCAATGCGCTCGGCAGGTATTTCGATACGGCATTCTGTACGAGACCCGGTAGGACTGTATTCAATATACCAGGCAAGATATGCAACACAGCACCGTGCACCGCTTGCTGAACATCCAGCGCAGTTGTCGTGACACTGCCCTTCTCTGCTTTGCTTGGGTGTATATGTGCGGGATTGGATTGGGGGAGGACGGTGCGTTTGCGTGTCGGAGGCGATGAGGGTGCGCTGGTCGAGGCTATACATGATGAGTCAGTCTTTGGAAACTCATCGGACTTGGATGTACCCGCCTTGACGCTTGTTGCTAGCCGCGATGTACGGAGGTGGCTGCTCCTCATCTTCGGTTGTTGCGTCGCTCGCGAGGGCTGCATCGACAGGCGCAACAAGATGGCTAGAGAACACATCCTCGCGCTTAAAGCATTGGGAATAGTAGCGATGGACTGGGTAGCCGGAGAGCTGCTCGGGTTGGGCTACCAGCTGCTGGAAGGTAGCTAAACATTGGGGGGGCAGCCAGCTGTAGTCAAATACAATGTGAAGCTCCGTAGCATTGGCGAGAGTTACAAGGTGCTGGAACCGGTCCACAAAGCCAGGTTTGGGTGCTAGGGATGCTGTGAGAGGACGCCATGTTGGGCAGCAACGCTTGAGCTTGAAGGAGAGCCGGCGGATGTCTGGCCTGGTGGAACGCGCTATTCCAGACAATGCTTGATGGAAACCCATGGGCCTCAGGGAGACGGCGCCAGGAACGAGGTTTTCAGCATCGTACTGCAGGATGATGAATGTCTCAGCACCATCGAAGCCTTCAAGAATGGTAGACGACTGCAGCAGGCATAGCGTGGCCTGCGCTCGCTTCTCATTATATTGGAACTTTAGTGACAGAGGCACGGGGGTAGCAGCTTGCAAGGAAACATAGGCGAGCACGTCAAAACCGGGTCTGGTAATGGCAGCCTGAGTCATATTCTCTTCTAAGCTACGAAATTACTCACCTACAAACTCCCCTTTGCAACGATCGGATGATGAGCAGCAAAGGAAACCCACCCACCCGGGCTTTGCTTGCGTCAGGCGCAAAGAGCAGCCCTGACTCTGCGAAGGCGAGACGAGACAGTGCCGAGGCGTGCAGAAGATGGCAAGCCGTCACTCGCGAACCACTGGCCCTCACCGACTTCGCACTGCTGGCGCATGCAAGAGTGTCACCCCTAAACCGCGCAGCGACCAGAACCAGGGCTGAAAGCCGTGGACACTGTGAGGCCGCACGTCAAAGGCCTTGTGAAGTTCGCAAGGATGGTGTACTGTCGCAAGCTACGAGCAGGCGACGAGGGTGAGTGGGCAGCAGACTCGAGCGGCGGGGATGGAGGAGTGCGAGGTATGAGAAGCGCGGGGTTGAGGAGTGCGAGGTATGAGAAGCGCGGGGTTGAGGAGTGCAGGGATGAGGAGCGGTCGTGAGTTGCGGGTTGCGTGGACTCGAGGTGTCGTGGTGGAGCGTTGGGGGTGGGAGAAGCAGAGTTGAACTCGAGAGGTTGGGCGGCTTGGCACGCGGACAAGCTAATCCGCGACAGACAATCACGTGGCTTGCACGCTACATCTCCTACATAGTGTCGCCTAATATTACCTCCACGAGACTCTTACGAGTAGGGTCCTGTTCGTGCCTAGATATATAGCAAGCCTAGAAGAGAATATAAGCTGGAGATTTTATACGCTTTTAATTAGACGTAATAAGCTTCCAAAACTGCTCTGTATCGAAGACATAAGCCAAAAGACGGGTAAAACTGTGGCTTAGGTAATGGCTGATTACGCCCCGCCACTATACCCCGCAAAACGGTCCCTTTCGCGACCAGCATCACCACCTCATCAGCTTTTTTACATTCCAGAACGTTCGAGATTTGGCTACAGGACGATGCCGGACAATCGATGACGAAGAAAGCCTACCAGTCGGTGTTACAGTGGATCTCGGTGCGACTCAAGACGCGGAAACCATGCTAAAGATGGAGAGGGCGCCGATGATGGCATCGGCGACGACGCCGACCCCTCCATCCCACCTCCGACATATTCTCCCCGCTTAACTTCTCAATTCGAACTTGAGCATACGCAAAAGTTTTCGTAGTTACTCAACTCAGCAATCAACTTCTCAAAATGTCTCTCGGTAGGAAAGTTACTTTGAACAGCGGCAACGCCATCCCGTAAGGTCTTCACAATGCTTTCCCGACAAACTAAACTAACCACAGTTGACAGTCAATTGGGCTTTGGTACCTGGCAAGCTGAGCCTGGCCAGGTTGGCGCTGCCGTCCTCGAAGCTCTCAAGGTCGGCTACCGCCACCTCGACCTTGCTAAGGTCTATGGCAACCAAAAAGAGATCGCGGAAGCTCTCAAGAAGGCCTTTGGCGGCGAAGTTCCTGGTCTCAAGCGCGAAGACGTCTTCATCACCTCCAAGCTCTGGAACTCCCAGCACCGCCCAAAGGATGTACCAGCAGCTCTAGACGACTGCTTGGCCGAGCTCGGTCTCGACTACCTCGATCTGTATCTTGTCCATTTCCCCGTCGCCTTTGATGAGCGCACCGACCCAAACAACAGCCTCTTCCCCTTACAAGACAAGTCGGATCACCCCGACGGTGACGTCAAGATCCTCGATGATGTTTCTATTGTGGATACATGGAAGGCGATGACACAACTGCCTAAGGAGAAGGCACGCGCTGTTGGCGTGTCGAACCACACAAAGGAGCACTTGCAGGCTCTGATCGATGGCACTGGCGTTACCCCGGCTGCGAATCAGATCGAACGCCACCCACGACTTCTCCAGCCAGAGCTTATTCAGTTCTGCAAGGAAAAGAACATCCACATAACTGAATACTCCGTAAGTGCTCTTCTCGCCACAGGTTTAATCACACCAGGCTAATGCTACGACAGGCCTTCGGCAACAACATGCTCGGTCTTCCCCTACTTGTTCAGCACGATACCGTCAAAGAGGTCGCCAGCCGTATTGGCGCTACTCCTGCGCAGGTTATCCTTGCCTGGGCACAGGTGGGCGGACATAGCGTCATCCCCAAGTCGGTCACCGCATCGCGTATCCAGGAAAACTTCAAGGAGGTAGAGCTCTCCAAGGAGGACTTTGAGAAGATTGAGGGCATCGGCAAGAAGGAGCCGCGCCGCTTCAACATCCCCTACACTGCCAACAAGCCTCGATGGCCGGTCAACATCTTCGGTGAGCCCGACGAGCTGAAGGCTCCCCACAAGGTTATCGTTTAAAAACTAGATGTATGGCAATAGAAGTCACAAGGGCTTTTTTCCATATGCATAGTAGCACCAAAAAATAGATTTCAATTGTACACATGGGGTACGCAACAAAATCGAGTTTAACAGTTGGCTCTCATCCGCGGAGCAATTTCATCTACAGCCGCCATCATGATAAGACCTACGTCGCAGTTTCTAGAGCAAGATATCAAGCTTTATATTTTTCGAGTGTACTATGCCTATCGCTTTTAATGAAGGTAAATAATACAAGTGCTGCCCATGTTCCCATGACCAGTTACCTCAACACGGAAAACTTCTTGGGGTCAACCTTTAAAGGACGCCTAGCGAGTTCGTGTATACGATTAGTTTATGTACTACTGCATTAGACGTTGGGACAAGGCGGGGGGATGCAAGACATGCTAAGCCTTCTTCGAAAGCTTGGATCAGGAAGCAGATAGGTGTTGAAAGCCCGCTCATCCGTAAGTTCTATGAGAAAACTTCGCTATTAGTACTTCAAGAGGTCTACTATAGTCTTTTAAAACACACGCTTTTCATTTCCTTGAGCCAACGACTTGCAACAGAGGCATAGTGCGACGATGTGCTAGTGGGGCGCCTTGTTACAGGCCCTTGCACCCTTGTCCAAGAAGACCAAGGTCTAGGCCGGCTTTTAGACCTGAAAAGGTCAGGGACAATCGGAAACTATAAGACAATCAGTCGGATCTTCATTTAAACGCTGCATGGAATTTATGTCGACTTTAATAGCTGCCTGTAGTTGTACACCTAGGTTGCATGGTTGAACACAAAGGGTTATTTCCTTGGCGATCGTGAAACGGAACGCGTGGATCTAAGCGACCGCGCGGCCACGCGAGTTACAAGGTTTCGTGGACCATCCAGCCTCATTCACTTTCGTTCTCTCTACAATCTCTCTCTCTCAACGTCAACGCTTCGACTGTTCACCGTCAATGTATATCAGGTTTTCAAAGAAAACACTTGTTAGCATTCTACTTCTCCAGCCAAAAGTGCACGCATGGCCATAGTTAGCCCCCATGTCCAACGAGCGTGCTTACGCGTCGATAATCGGCGTCTTCTATAACTTCTTCAATTCTCACAAAACTGAGCGACAGTATATACAGAAATGATCGATAACAAATCACACCAGTAGAAGACAACAATCCGCGGCAACACATCCCCACCGACAAAGTTATGTAAGGTTCCTAACGTAATCGCCTAGTTCTCATGCTTTCTTGCGCAAGTCCGCTGGACGAGTCGGCGGGGCGCTTCTAAGCGTAACTGGAACTTGCCCCGAAGATGTATCGTTCCAATAAAGCTCATACACCCCGTTTCCAACTGACAAGCCAGACCAGAGTGTCTCGAGTCCACCATTGCGTCTGTTCATGGCAGTCAATCCGTAAAACAAGAACCCAGAAGTAATTACGTCAGTGGTAGAGTTCGTAGCGTTGAGGAATCCAATTCGACTATCCGAAGACGAGGATCCGGGCACGAAGAGTGTCACATTGGACCAGCTTGGATTTTCGCTACCGTCCAGACCTGTCGTGTTCGGAGAACCGAGCCACATATGGTCATTCCGAGGCGAAACTATTTTGATGAGTTCAGTGGGTTGGGATCAGGACAGGAAACCTTCACTTACACACTACTGGAGCAGCGTCGGATGAGTTGAACTGGGTCAAGTCTCCCACATATGCGTATCCTTTGAAGAAGTAAGCTTTGGATAGCATCCCCAACAATAAGACTTACCGTCCGCATTAAATAGCTCAAGCCCACCAATATCTTTTCCGTATGCAAACAACGAGAATTCTGAAGGGGTTGCACGCTTTTGAGCAGCTAAGACTAGCGAAGGTGATGCAGCAAGTGCGGCAAGAATGAGAAGAGTCATTCTGAGAGCGATTGTTGCGGATGATCACGTTGAACAGGTTTTATGAAGTTCATCTTGCCATGAGGGTTGGATCGATCTTTTAGATGTTTTGAGCGATCTCTTGGCTGCCTAACCAGCATTGCCTACGTAATGCTTTCACATGTATCTGAATTAGCCTTATCATCTTGCAGGGGATGGGGAAAGGAGACTCGAGGCCATTACGGCGGCGGCTGACGACGGGCACACCCGTTTTAGCGCACGCCATTTTCCTTCCAGCTTAGCGATGATTCGATTGCGTTTTATCTGGATATCATCCTAGAAACAGAATATATTGCGGTATCAAACCCAATGGATGATTGGTAGATGTTTCATCAAGGTAGCTTATCTGGACTTCATCCTTGTGAGATGATGTGGCCAGATCAGAATACATCGGAACTGAACTAAAGCAGTTGGTCAATATAGTGCTCGCCGTAGATCCCCAGTGGTGGAAACGCGTCACGGGTTCATGCAATACACTGCCGATGCAGGCGGAGCGTCACTTGACTTAGGTAGTGATCTCCATCTCAATCATATTCAATGCCCCATGTTTCGAAACATTGTCAATAGTTCAGTCTCTGTGCTGACTGAAGTGAAAATGCTACTACGCGCCCACAGCCCCATTACATGCAGTACGCGCAAGCTGCAGTGCTATCAGCTGCAACTGCACGGGGCTTCACCTCGGGGAATTTCCTAAATGAGCTGTGGCTTTGAATTCGCATTGAGGGGAACATCGGCATCCAATTTGAGAACTCTGATACGAGCTTTAAGGTCTTACAATAGGAGATGAACATAAATATAGTAGTGTCCGTTGTTATAACCACATTCATCATTTGAGGCATACAATTTTGTTCGCTTTGTTCACACACACAAAGTAGTCAAAAGTTTTACTCAGTCTACTTCACAGGTGGCCACTCTTATTTGCTGTTCTTCGCATTTTACTTCGGAGCCTCACATCTCCACAATAGCTATGCTCTTAGACCTTAGTCATTTGAGTGCTTACGCCTCCTTCATTTCCGCCGTGGCGGCGATTTCCTTGCGTCATTCGTTTCTGCCAAGTTCCTCGCGCGAGCTTCTTCCACGAGCAGCTTGCTCAGGAAATACAGCCACTACTCGTTCGGAGTGGTGCGACTATTCCATCGATACCGACTACAGCTCTGGTAAGCTACTTCACCGCCGCTTGCAGGGTCGGATGAATACTGACTTATTTATTCGATAGAAGCGCCAGATACCGGAGTCACGCGTGAATATTGGCTAGAGCTCACCGACGTAACAGTTTCTCCAGATGGTGTCGCACGCTCTGCCATGGCCGTGAATGGCTCGATCCCTGGACCGACGCTCTTTGCGGACTGGGGCGATACAGTTGTAGTACATGTTACCAACTCTTTGACCAATTCCCTGAATGGTACAAGCCTTCATTTTCACGGCATTCGGCAAAATTACACCAATGAGCAGGATGGCGTGGCCTCCATCACGCAATGTCCTACGGCTCCCGGGGGCTCAATGACATATACATGGAGGGCTGTTCAGTATGGATCGACCTGGTATCATTCACACTTTGCGCTACAGGCATGGCAGGGCATCTTTGGTGGCATAGTGATCAACGGCCCTGCGACGGCAGATTATGACGATGATCTTGGAACGCTGTTCCTCAATGATTGGGACCATCAGGCAAGTGTCCTCACTCCAATGCGGTTCATCCCCTTAGATTTAGTAATGGTCACTAATTTAGCCCTGATTCTAGACCGTCGACGAGCTATACATCAGCGCCGAAAGCAACGGACCACCGACGTTGGAAAATGGCCTTATCAATGGCACCAACACGTATGATCAAGGAGGCTATAGATACAACGTATCTTTCACTTCGGATACCTCGTATCGCATCAGGCTTGTGAACGCAGCAGTAGACACGCACTTCAAATTCATGATCGACAACCACACCATGCAAGTTATCGCAGCAGACTTGGTGCCCATTGAACCATATGAAACTGACGTCATCAATATTGGAATGGGTACGTACTTGATTGTGCACAGGTCAAACAAGATGCTAAATGTGTTTCAGGTCAACGTTACGACGTAATAATCACTGCCGACCAAGGATCAACTGCAGACAGCTTCTGGATGCGAGCAATCCCACAATCAGCATGTTCAGACAACGACAACTCGGAAGATATAAGGGGTATCGTGTACTATGGTTCCTCTACTTCCACGCCCTCAACATCTGCCTATGACTACGAAGATAGCTGCGATGACGAGACCGACAACCTAGTACCATATATCTCCAAGACCGCTGGATCCGAAACAACGAACATGCTCGAAACGGCTACTGTTGGCTTCAATGACGACAATCTCTTCCGCTGGTATCTAAACAGTACTACGATGGTTGTCGAGTGGTCAGACCCGACACTGCTGCAGATTACTAACAACGGAACGACATATGAAACCTCGAATGCTGTGCTGGAGCTTCCAAACGCGAATGAATGGGCCTATGTTGTTATTGAGACCACACTTGGCGTGCCCCATCCAATTCATCTTCATGGTCACGATTTCTATGTTCTTGCTCAGGACTCAGGAACATACTCGTCATCAACTCCACTCAACTTGAGCAATCCACCGCGCCGGGACACCGCCATGCTGCCAGGCTCCGGATATCTAGTCCTCGCTTTTGAGACAGATAATCCAGGCGCGTGGCTTATGCATTGCCACATTGGATGGCACACGAGCGAAGGGTTTGCGCTACAGTTTATCGAGAGATACGATGAGGTCGCTGCGATTACGAATGCGACGGCTTTGAACAATAATTGCAACAACTGGAGTACGTTCCAGACTAGCAACTCGATCGAGCAGGAAGATTCCGGTATCTGACAAAAGGAAAATGGCAGCTGATCTTCTTTCACTGGCTACCCAAGTTCTTGTACGGCCAATGTATGGTCTTCTTTACTGATTCCTTTTATTTTACATGGGAAGGTGACTACAGCTCTAGATAGCCTGATGGTAATTGCGCTATCTGTTTGACAAAAGATTACTCCGTGTAGCGCATGATATAATTCTACAATGCTCTCTGGTTAACAAGCTTCATCATTGACTGTGACTTCAACGTGGCAGTGGGAAATTTGAAAGACGGACCTTGTGGCTTGATGGCGGCCGTTAATTGCTTGCTCACACTACGATACTGCTATGTCACCCAAATATTTCGTGAACCTAGATGTGGATTGGTCATGAGCTCGAAGGTATTCATCCATGTTGTAAGCTTAATGTATAACAAGATATGCTTTTATCGAATATCTTTGTTTCCTCTGGCGGCGAGTAACTATATTCACTCAATAACAACTCAACGTAATGATAAAGAACGGTTACAACACAACTGAATACTACTTGAGGTGTTTCTACACAATAGGAATGTTTAGAGCTTCTCTCCTCGACTTCGAATTGGGATCCAAGTACGGCACTTCCCCGATGCTCGACGCACGAACTCCGGTTCGATTGCCCCCAACAAGATCAGGCTGTTGCTGTTAGTATGTTATCTATATAGCATATATGTAAACTTACGGTAGCAGCGTGCCAGACGCAGGAGTTGTTCCAAATCGCAGCGGCATTCTTCGTCCACTTCATCCTCGCGATGCAATCATGGTTCCTAGTGATCAATCGCATGATATATTCTCTAATCATCTGATCTTCGTAAGCATAAACGTCGTTGATCTTTGTGACATGTAATCCAACCCCGGCAAAGATGGCCTTCCAACCGGTAATCCTATTTGTCCTCACAACAGGATGCTTGGGTGCAAACTCATCTCCGACGTTGAGTGGAGAGCCACGTGGGGACATAATCTCGTAGCCACTAGCGGTGGCGGCAGATTTGAACACTGGTTGCGCGCAGGTTGCTGTAAGAGTTTCGAGGTACGAGCGGAACGATGGCGAGACGCGGTCATAGACCTCGTAACCAGAACACCATAGGGTATCACCACCATGGGGCGGGGTTTCTTCCATCTTGAGGAAACTGAAGTCTGATGGTACGTTCTCAAAAGTAGAGTCGCTGTGCCACTCCCGGCTCAAATCGCGTGGCTCATCGGTGGTTCCTGGACGCTTTGCCATGGTTTTGTATATCTTCTTTTGGGCCTCGGAATTAATTACATAGCTGTACTAGTAAGTATATGCTGCAATTGCCATATGCGATACACACATGTTCTTGTCCGTGGAACCGTCTGGTAGACTCAGGTTTCCAGGATCTCGGTAGATTGGATGTACATGAAGACCATTCTCATCTGGTCGTCCACTATACTTTCCGAGCAGGTCGCAAAAGTTCTTCTGGTCTGAAATATTCAGGTCGTCTTGGTCTCTAAAAAACACTACCCCGCGTTCGGAGATGACGATTGCAAGGTCTCGGATCTGTTGCTCTGCGTTTTCGGACTTCAAAATGTCGCTGACCTTTACAGTTGGGTACTCTCGCCCGATGATAGGTGTAATCTCGAAGAATGAGAGGTGATCCAGAGATCCAGAGTATGTTAGCGGCGTTGGGCAAGATCGACAGGAGGTGGGTATTCCGTTATAGGTAGGGCCATTAAGCGCCGCATTGGTCACGAATTCGATTGCGGAAGGCATGGCGAAGATGGGGTTATTCGGTAGACAAAGGAATAAGCTCTAGGGTTAGCTGTCGAAAAGGCTTCGCTATAGCATGCGCTTATACATAATTCAGTGCGGGGTATGACAATCCGATTTTAGAATGTGTTGGGGCAGCTATTCGGTAACGTTCTGGTCAAGGATCTAACCAAGGCAATGTACAAATGCCGAAGAGAAGCCAAAGAGGAAAAGGCTAGACACGGTTGTAGCGAAAGCTTATCATGCTCAAGTATCATTGATACGATGCACGCCTAATGCCCCACATGATCGCCCCGCATTCTATACCTTCCACATACCTTGATTGTGCGTTACTGAAAACAGCCACCTCGCGCTCTAGGTATACCCTCCGCTCCAGGATCTATTCTTGAGTTTCAAATTCCACGCTTGAGTTGTGGTGACCACGGTTAAAGTATCATTTTAGTCAGTAATGCTGGTCAGACGGTTGCCTCCCTTCCCTCCCAACCCCTCATGTCTGAGGATGCTGGCTCAAAGTCCTTAATATTATAATATATGCACGTCTTTAAAGGGTTATTTTCGAAACGATGTAGTTTAGTTATTGCGTTGAGGAAGTGCACCTCTGGGTAAAAGGACATATGCAATTGTATTGGTATTGTACGGTCTCCTGATATAGAAATCAGATCTCCTTAGCAGATATCCCTCAAAATCTTTCTCACGCAGCGAGGATCGAAATGTAGTATAAAGTCAGGTTTCGGAACGCTGACAATCATGATAGTTCCACCACAACAGGTGCACCTATATGCCCTGCTATAGAAGGACATAAGCTAGTATTTTAAGATCGTGTACACATATGCGAGACGCGTGTTGGAAGAGGCTTGGCTTCTAAGACAGACTGCAAAGTCGTCGACGCTGATACCGTGCTCTTCTGGGAAGACTTGCTGGACCGAGGCAGAACAGATGTAGTGGCAGATGCAGGAACCGAGGTCGTGACATATGCTGACGTTTGAGCAACAAGGCTTTTGTTGGATGAAGTAGTAGAGGGCGTGGATAACGTGGCGGAATTTGACGCGGAAGAATTGGAGGATACCGCATCAACATCACCTACATCTAAATGATGAAGCAAGGATCCCCATCCAAGCCCATCATAGTGGCCGGACCCCTCGCCCCATGAGCCGGCACCGCCTTCGAAGCCCCCCATGGCTTTGGTGGTATAGTTCTTGTATAGCTCTGTCCATGGTGCTTCCAAGCCCTTAATTTGCACGTAATGTGCGTATAACAATTCCCACGTGGGCCGATGCGCACCTCTGGAAGCTGGGCTAACGGTGGTATAGGAGACAATGCCATTGGTGTAGGGTTCGAATGGCACGTCGTTGCCTAGATTGTATCGAGCATAGTACTCCGCGCTGTGAAGGAGGATGAGTCGAGGAGATTCTACGGGAGAGAAGGACTTACCCAAGCAAAACTCGGCTGCTATTGTAGCCATAGAGGTCCTTGCCCTGATTCCACGCCTGTTGAGCAACGACGCCGAACAGCTGAAAGTCTAGACCGGTATGACCTTGATCTCGTCCCGCTTCTTGGGGCTGTCCCATGATGGTACCAGTTCCTGGTTCCGAAACAAGGTTCGAAATGCCGTTGTTCACCGCGCCATTACCCTCACCAGTTTTGAAATACTCCACTGCGAAATCGAAGAGCGTAGCGTTGTCAGTATAGATTCCGAAAGCCATCGCAGATGCCATGTTGCACAGCTCCCAGTTGGCGAAAAAGTGTCGAACATTGTGCTCCGATGGGGCTTTGTGGTTGAGGAAAAAGAGATTCTTGTAAAGGAACGTCTTTTCAAACATCGTGGAGAAAGCTGTAGCATTGCCGCTGGATTCGAAAGGAGCATGATCTCGTAATAGCTCCGCCGCGTTCACTAGCTGATATCCTTGAAGTCCCGCCGTGAGGTACTCGTCGTCGCCAACGTCAAATTCTTTGAGTTTTCGGCCCCAAGCTCCGAGGATGTTTGATGCCGCCTCTGCGTATGTTGCGTTGCGTTCGATTTTCCATCGAAGCGCAAGGTTAAATGCCGCAGCGGCATCGTGCCAAAGTAGTTCGGCATTGGCTTTTACGCCATTCGCCGTGTTCCGGTAGACCCCAGCCACCGCATGATTGACGTACGTCGATTGCGAGTTGTCTAAGCTCACTAGTTTATCCCAAGAAGCTTGCCAAGGATCTGCGTGAGCGGAAAGCTTGTTTTGGATGCGAGTAATGTCGGCTTCGCTCACTAGAAGACCTGGATGATTGAATGCATACGCGGAAGAAAGAAGAAGAAGAAGGTTTATACAGGTAGATAGAATAGAAGACATGATTTAAGGAGTGTGAGGCGACGGCGTGAACGAGTGAGCGCCAGCGCTAGCAAAAAGATAAATTGCTGTGTAAAAGAAGGAGGATAAAAGAAGGTAACAATAGTTGTAAACGAAACAGGCGGGTATATGTGTGGAATTCACGTTTACATGATCTTCGCAGATTAGCGCAATCAAATGACGGGTCGTAATCGAGAGATGAAAGTGGCATTACTACTAGCCGTAAACGAACAAGCGCCGTTTGAGGGTCCAATACCTAGTTCATATCTCAGGTGTTTTATTGCGTGTGCCGTTACCTGCACATTATAACGCTAGCTATCTCGCAAGTTCGCGGAAATTTTATGGATTTCAGGGTTCCGGCGTTTGAAACTGCTCTTAGGTGGGGGACTACCCGCGCTGCTCTAGCTGCCAGGGTCCGGACAAGGGATACATGTTACACGTAAAATGCTAGGTCCCCAGTTGTACAAGCCCAACATGAATTAATAACTAGTATTAAGGATCGAACAGGTATATCACTTTACGCTTAACAGAAGCTAGCAGCGCGGAAGATATCCATCTTGACGAGGAATACCCACCCAAGATATCGCGATTCCAACACATGGCTCGTTCCAGTAATTTCCGTCACCACGCAACTTTGGACAACTTTGAACTCCTTTTGTAAGCAAATTCTCCCATATAGAAGCTCTTCCACTATACGTTCCCTTAGTCGACTTCCGGCAACCAGATTCTCTTTCTCAACGCTGCGATGGCATCTTCAGAGGCTGTCTGAATATTGGCGCTTCGACATGCTGGTTCAGCAATGCTGGTGGTAGAGCTGTGTCGGTTTCAAAGGCCTATCTCGATATTGCTATTGGAAAAATTAAATCTAACAATTTATGCGGCCTCAGCGTTTGCACTGCATGAGTTCTAAAACTCTTTGCTGTCTTGCGGATCTTCCTGAATATACCGGCAGTTCATTCTATACAATTCGTTCCCACATGTCTCGCGCCCCCGCCGAAAAGCAAAAGTGCACTTTAAGAGGATTTTCAAAGCGCCTACGCCCTAGTTAAGCTATTACTAGTTTTATAAAAGTACTTTAAATACAGAAATATTTATAATTATATTAATTTTTTTAAAATAAGTTAAAATAGTTGCTAATTATAGTTTTAAATTTTATTATTATTTTTTTATAGTACTAAATATTAATTTTTTACTCTTAATAACTACTAATAAATTTAATATAAATTATAATTATATCTGCAAAAAATTACTTGCTTTTAAAATATATATAAAGCTGCTTTATAGCTTTTATTTTTTATTTATTATACTATATAATAATAGAACAAATTCTTCTTTTCCTTGCCGCCTACTAAAATATTAATTTATTAAATTTTTTTTAGCTAACTTATAATAAGCTTTTAAATAATAATATTTATAAAAGCAAGATTTTATAGCTTAAAAATGTTAGGGGGTAGCTTTAGGCAATAGTATTTGCTTTATACTACAAAAAATAAAAAAAAAATAACTAATAAAAAACTATTTTCTAGCTTAATAAATTAATAATATTTAATACTACTATTTTGCAGGTATAATATAGGTTAAATATAAAATTTTTGTATATGCACTAATTCCTAAAAAGAATAGCACAGTATTACTGTAATATTAATTTTTAGTAATAATACTTTATTATAAAATTTTTTTAGCTAACTAATATTTTACTAGTATACAAAATTTTTTTTATATATTATTATATTATAATACTTTTAGTAGATTTTTTACGCGTGCGCAATAATTCTGCATTTATTATATAATTATTATACTATATAAATAAGGCGCGTTGTGTATTTTTTTTATATAAAAATAAAAGCAAATAAATAGCTTATAGTAATATAGTAAAGCTTAATAATAAAAAATTTTTATAAACTATTATTATTTTATTGCTTTAAGCTTTTATAATTTATTTAATTTATATTTTTTATATATATACAACGTACTTACTGCGCCTACTATTATAGTTTATTATTTAAATTTTAAGTATATTAAAAAGGCGTATATATATAATACTTACTTTTTTATATTTAGCGCAGAAAAAAAATATACTAATTATATTGCTGCAGTTATAACTTGCATGCACTGCGCTTAAAATATTATTAAATAAAAAAAAAATTATAACTGCTTTAAGCATTGCTATTATAATTATTGCGCTATTAGTAATTATAGTAGCTATAATTTTATAAATATTTTAAAATAGTTTATTGCAAGTACGCTTTAGCTAATTAATATAAGTATTTTATAAGCTTAATAGCTGCTTAAATTATTTATATACGCTGCGCACTTGCTATAGTATAATAATTACTAATATTATAATTTTTAAAATTAATATTATAATTATTTAAACTAGCGTTAAGCTTGCGCGCTACTAGCGCTAGTTTAATTTAAAACTTATAAACTATTACTATATTACTACTTATTTTAAAATTTTAATAAGTATAGCTACTTAAATACTTATAATTTTTCTTTAGTTTTTAAAATTAATTTTGGCTAAGCAGTATTATATTGCAACTATTTTAAAATAAATTATTAGCTATTTAGCTAAAATAATATATTTGTATATTATATATATTTATAATGCTTGCTAATTATACTTTAAAGTAGTATTAATAGTAGTAACTTTAAATTTAATTTTAAGCTTAAAGCTAAAACTAAACTTTTATATATTATACTTACTACGCCTGCTTTTTAAAAAAAAGCTACTACTAATAAAAAAATAAATAAGTTTTTTAATAAAGCTAGCTTCTTTAAAGAAAAGTAATTAATTTAAAAAATTTTTAAATAGTATTTTTTTTTATTTATTTTTTAGCTTTATAGGCTATAAATACCCTAGCTTATAAATTTTTATTATAAATAAATTTTTTTTTATATGCAATATGTGTGCATTTTACTTGCATAAGCTATATTTTTTTATTTTTTTTTAATTATAGTGCTTGTTAATCTTGCTTAAACTTTTTAATTAAATTATTTATATTTTTAAAGTCTAATGCTAAGGTCTAAGTATTTTAAAATTTATTATAGCTTTTTTAGTATAATAAGTACTAAAATTGTTTTTTTTTAATATACTTTTTTAGAATTTTTTCTACTTCTTAAATTTCTTCTTTTTTAGTATTAATTTCTAGTAATTAAGTATTTTTTTCTATTTTTTGCCTAAATTTCTAGTATTCTAATAGAAAAATATAAAATATATTATAAATTTAATAATAAAGTAAAAATAGTAAGTAATATGCTTGTAATTTAACTATTTTTTATATTTAAAAAAAGCTAATAAACTTACTAAACAGTTTCTTGCTTAGCTAGTTTATTAGGTTAATATATTTTATACTAAGTAGTATAAAGTTTTTTTAATAAAATATTTTAAATTTGTATTTTTTATTATAGTATTAACTTTAATATTTTTATACTTTTTATAAATATATTGTAAGTATTGCCTTTATATAATATATATATTTAATTTTATTAATTATATTTAGTATTTTTTTCTATAGCTTACTATTTTTAAAAAAGGTAGTAATTAGTAGGTACTTACTATATATAGCATAGAAAAGTATTATTTTTATTAACTTATATATAAAATTATTATATATAAATTATATTATATTTAAAAGCTATACTTAGTTATTTTAAGCAGTTAAAGTAAAAATTTAAAAGTACTGCTTTAAAGTCTAATTTTAATATTCTATTTGCTTATTAGTTTAAAAATAAAAAATAGTACTTAGCTTGCGTTTTATTTGCAGCTAGTAGTAGATTTTTGCTTAAAAAGTAAAAGTAAATATAAGTTTTTTATTTAATATAATACCCTTTTATAGCCTAAATTTAAAAACTACTTAATTAAAATATATAATTATAAACTGTTTTGCATCTTATGTTTTTAAAATAAGTATATAAAGCATTATTTTTAAAAAGTAATTAATAATTATAAAAATTATATTATATACGTAATTTAAACTATTTTTTACTAAAAGCAAGCTAGTAATAAAATTTAGTAAAATTTCTTTAAAAATTTCTGTAAATATAAGTAGCAGAAATAGTTTATTATATTAGTTATATTTTTATGTTTTGCTTTTTTAGCATATAGTATATATTTTTATATAATTTTAAATATTATTACTAAATATAAATTAATAATATAATTAGCTAATTAGTTTAAGTGTTTTTTGTGCGCTAAAGTAGCCTATTAGGCGCATATTATAATAATAAAAAAAAATTTCTTATTTAATAGCTAGCTTTTTTAAAATATATATTTTGCTATTATATTATAAAATACTTTTTTTATTAAAGCGCTAAATATGCATTTTTTTGCTATTTTAAGTATTTTTTATATTTATAAAATCTACAACCTACTATTAAATAAAAGTATTTTTTTACTGCAGCTAGTATAGGGTTTTTACTAATATAAAAAATTTTACTATTATAAATTTACTACTAATTAATATTTTAGCTAGTAAGCGTAGTATGTATAAAATGCACTTTATAGTACTAATAATAAAAACTATTTTAGTTTTATAAATAATAGCAATATATATTTTATATGCGCTAACTAAATTAAGCTTAAATATAAATTTTTTTACTTTACTTAATACTATTTTTACTAGTAGTTTATTTTATAAAATAAGTAGTAATTAAATTAATAATAAGTTTTTTTACTTATAATTTGCTTTTTTAAATAGTATATTTGCAAAATTTTTTTTTTTTAAATAATATTTTATTTTAAAATTAAAAGTTTTAAAGTAAATTACTTAATATATTTAGTGTAAATTTAGCTTCTGCACAGCGCGCATAAAGCTTAAATTATTATAATTATTAAATACTTATATTATATACTGCGCTTTTTTAAAATAGTACTTTTATTATTTAAAGCTATATATAATAGCTAAAAGCTTTAAATTATATATTTTATAATTAAGCTTAGCGCTCTAAAATTTCTAGGATATAAAAGTAATTAAATATTATTTTTTATTTTTAAAGTACTATAATAGTATACCTGCAATAGTAAAAGTAAAAATATTTATTTTAATTTAAATAAGCTGTATAAGATTAAAATAATGCAAGATAAGTATATTTAAAAAGTATTATTTAAATATTTTAAAAAATGCATTAGCTTTATTAGTTTATTAAAATTCCTAAAATTTTTTAAAAAAATTAATTAAAGCAGCAGTTTTTTTAGTATATTTTTTAATAAACTAGCAGTAAAAATTTGCAAAGCCTAAAAAAAACTAAAGTTTTTTAATATTAGTAAGCTATAGCTATTATATAATTATTTTTACTTATATAAAGTCCGCGCATACGCCCTGCGTTATAATAATATATTTAAAAAAGTATACTTTATTAAAAGCAAAAGTGTACTTTTTTAAGTTAATAAAAAATTCTGCTTTATATAAAAATATAAGTATAGAATTAATTGCGCGCTAATAAACTGCAATATTAGTACTATAAATATAAATAAAAATATTATTTAAGTAAATTACGCAAATATAGTTTAAATATTTACTAAATATTTTATTAATATAAGTTTAAAAGCTTATTAAAATATTAATAAGCTTAAAAAGCATAATTAAGTACTTAAAATACTTATATTAAGTTTAAAAAACTATTTTTTATTTATTGCCTACTATAATTTTTAAGTAGTAGTATATATTTTGCAAGTTAAAAGTAGTATAGTAATATACACTTAATAAGCAGTCTAAAATTTTTCTAATTAAAAAAAAAAAATAATAGTTTTTAATAATAATAATATTAAATTTTTAATAATTAATATAAAAGCAGAGCTTACTATTTTTTTTAAAAATAAAAAGTATAAAAATTTTTATAAAGCTTGTACTATGCCTAATTTATTTTTTTTAAGCACATTATTTAAGTATTTATAAAGCACTTTAAGCTTATATATAAAAAAATTATATAAAAAATTATAAAAAAGTTTTTTATTAGCTATAAAAAAAATAGCATAGTTTAATATTTTAAAATTTAAAAAAGTTTTTACTGCTTTTTTGTTAAAAATATTTTAATATTTAAATAATATATTTAGTATGCGTACTTTATACGCTATATATATTTAGTAAATATAAATATTATAATTTAAACTTATTTTAATAATTTGCAGAATTCCTAAAAAGCGTATATTAAAACTAGTTTAATTTAAGCTTTTTAGTAGCTAAATTACTATAGCTAGCTAAATATTTACTAAAGTATATCCTTAACGCTAAATTTAAAAACTATAGTTAATATAAATTTTTTTTTATTGTAAAAAAAAATTGCTAAAAAAAAAAAAAGTACTTTTTTTATTTACTTTATATGCAGTAACTTAAATATAGTATTTTATATTTATATTATTTATTAGGCGCATTTAAAACTTGTATACTATATATATACTTTAATATTATAAATTAATTTATTCTAATTTTAAAAGCTTAGCTCTTTTAAAAAGTTTTAAATTTATTTTTATAGCTATTTATTAGCTAATAAAGCTTATATCTGCTTATAAGTTTAAAATAATTTAAATTTTTTTTTTAAAATTAGTATTATTAGCAGTGCTATACGTGCACTTTATACCTAGTAAAATATTTATAAAAATGCGCCTTACTATTTTTAAACTAAAAATAAAGCCTAGTTTTTTTTTATTTAATTAACGCGTATAAAAAAGTAGTTTAAATTATTTTTATATTTATTAATATAGTATTTAATTTTATAATACTTATAGTATATAATACTATTTTTATTTTATAATTTAGTAATAAGTTTGCTTAGCTTAGGCTTTAAAGCTAAATTTTTAAATTTAGCTTTAAATATACTATGCAGGCATTATTTATGCGCAGGCAAAAATTAATACAAGTTATATTTTAATATAAAGCTTAATACTATTAAATTTTTTTTAATTATAAGTACTTAATAGTAGTTAATAATTGCTTTTTGCAGTTCTGGCTTAAGTTTTAAAAATAAATATTAAACTTTTTACTTTTTAGTATAAAGCATAAGCTAGTTTTTAAAAATATTAAAATAAATTATAAATAAATAAATAATTTAATTTTTTTATTATATAGTTTAAGCGTGCGCTATAGCTGCTTTAAAGCTATAATTAACTAAATTAGCAAGCAAGTTAAGTATATACTACTTAAAATATTTTTAAATAAATAATATACTACGCGCTTTAAAAGTGCGCTTATAATATATATATTAAAAATTTTTTAAATTTTTACTAAAATATTGCATTACTTAAATAATTCTAGTATTATTTTAGAAAAATTTTTATAGCAAAAGTTAGAATGCTACTTTATATAAATAGAAAAATTTATAGTATTTTTTTAAATTTTTTTTTTAATATTTAAAAAAAAATTTTAATTAAAGCATACGCTTTATATATAAAAGTATAAATATATTACTTGCATTTTACTTATGCATTTTAATAATTTTAAATTTAAAAAATTTTTTTATAAGTAAAGTTAAAGTAAAATTATATTTAGTATTTTTTAATTATATTATTTTTACTTTAATTGCAAAAAAGTATTATTATACTTAAAATTTATTATACTTTTTTTTAGTAATTAAAATATACTTTTTAAATATTAAAAGTATGCTTTAATTGCTAAGTTCTACTTTACTATTTAATTAAAAATTAGCTAAAACTAATAGTTTTAATAGTATAGCCTGCTAGCTTAATTGTGTTAAAAAAGCTATTTTTAGGCTATTATACTATAAAGTATTATTTTATTAAAAAATAGTTTTAGGCAATAGTATTTGCTTTACGCTATAAAAAATAAAGAAAAAATAGCTAATAAAAAGCTATTTTTTAGTTTAATAAATTAATAATATTTAATACTGCTATTTTATAAGTATAGCGTAAGTTAAATACAAAATTTTTGTATATATACTAATTCTTAAAAGGAATAGCGCAGTATTACTGTAATACTAACTTTTAGTAACAATACCTTATTACAAAAAAAATAAAAAAAATAGTAGCTTTTATATAAAATGCCTTTTTCTACTAAAAACTAACGCCTAGTAAAAGAAATTTATTTTTTTATAACTATTTACTAATAGCTTATATACTAAAAAATACTTTAATAGTTAAAAATATTAAAAATACTAAAATTTAGCAATTTTAATTTTTTATATAAAAAATATTTATTTTTATTTTTACTGCTACTAATTTAAACTACTTAGCTCTTTTTAAATAATTTTAAAAAATAATAAATAAATAGCTAAGTAGGCTGTATAGGCTATAAGCGTTAAAATAATAGTAAAAGTTTAAGAATAAAATTAAGTAGCTTTAAAAAAGTAAAAAAAGTTTAAAATCTAACTTGCAGTATTTAGTTAGATATAAAAGTAAAAATTAAATAATTAAAGCTAGCGTTATTCTTGTTAAGATGGGCAGGTTAAAAAACTATAGTTAAGAGCTAGACTACCTTAGGCGGAAGAAATTGAACGCGTACGTTGAGGATACTTTGAGAAAGTGCACTTTAAACCAAGAAGCCAACGTCTTCGGTGTTATTATTGGCGATGGCTAGCAATTGATAATTAGTTAAGATGAAGCTAAAGCTCGTTCAACTTCCTTTACTGAGCTAAACGAGGCTTTTTAGAAGGTAGCGCCAGCTGATGCCAAAGTTTGGTTGTTGCAGAACGGCGCCGTGGTTGTGTCAGATGCTGGTCCAATTACTCAAATAGTCAAAGTGATACGTAATCTGATGAGCTGCTTCGCAGATCGTTGGCATTAACTCTCTTCTAGAATTCTAAGACTGTTCGACGTCAACCTCTTTCTATGTGTAGGTAAAGCAGTCGCGTCATGTTATCTTAGCTCCTGTTTTCATCAGCCCCTAAAAAGCTAGCTTCGGCTAGAACTCCCCACCCAGTCAGTGCGCTATGAATCGACTTCTAGACACCACCTCACCACGATGAGAGTAGTTGACGCCCGCGGTAGCCTTCGGCGCACCATGTAATTCTCGTCCCCCTCTCTATCATATCAATGTCTACAAGCGGTATGTTCTGCACAGTAGCTCCAGCGAAAGGGAGCCCCGCCTGCGCCGCCCAGTCGCAAATCAACGCTACCGCATTTAGACGTTCCCTAACGCTCCTCGCCATCAAGCTACTAAAACGCATCCGAAAGCCCCATGGCACAGTGATTTTTCTTTCGGGGAAGATATGTGTCAAATACGGACACAGTCCTAGTCTCAGCGAAGCTTCGACTATGCAATTTGTCGCGAAGCATACATCGATCCCCGTCCCTCGCGTATACTGCGCTTTTGTGCACCGAAATCGGACATACATTGTGATGGAGAGAATGCATGGACAACCGATTGGAGCTGGGTGGACCAAGCGTTCAGTAGAAAGCAAGGCAAAGCTCCTAGGCCAGCTCAAACAGATTGTCGATGAGATGCGTCGCATACCGCCTCCGGAAGGCACTGGTGTTGCTCACGTAAATGGTGGTCCTTTGTATGATCCGCGGTTACCAGGAACATCGAAACAATTTGGGCCCTTCGATACGATTCAGGACTTTCACAGGCATCTGCGGGGAGGTTTGGAAGCTCATTCACAGCATAAGCCAGAGATCAGTGAGCTCATTTCCTTGCAGGATGAACCTCGGTCTGCTCTGGTATTTACCCATGGAGATCTGAGCAGCTTGAATACCCTCGTTTCCGGAGATGAGATTGTTGGTATCATTGACTGGGAAACAGCGGGATGGTACCCTGCATACTGGGAGTACACTACTGCCTGGAATGTAAACCCACAAAATCAATTCTGGCGAGATGAGGTCGACCTTTTTCTCCAGCCTATGCCTAAAGAGTTGGCGATGGAAAAGATACGGCTGGAATACTTTGGAGATGGTTGATTGAATCAAGTCCCCAGGACTTCACTAATCATAAAATCTTCTCCTTCCCTTCGACTAAGTCATACGTAGGCGCCTTGAACATATCAGAGTTCCCCTGTCCGTCGAAACGATGCTCGTCCTTCTTCCGTTGGCAGTATTCCATCGCGGTATTCCTGACCTTCGTCCACTCAGTCACGCTTGTACCAAGAGCTTTCCCGTCAGCTTCTAGATTTTGCATTGCTTCTTGTACCCACCCAACGCAATTCCATCCCGCTACGCCTTGTCTAACCGGTGTGTTTCGAACAATGGATATCAATCTATCCTCCTTCTCCACCTTGGTTATTGTCACTCACACTAGTAGCATCGAAGTCGCTGACAAAGTAGTTTTTCTCTCTTCGAAAACCCACGCAGACGCATTTGGCCCTATGATGCGCTCTTTTGCGTGATAGCGCATGCCTATGCCATCACCAACCTCGTCTTTGGGGCCGACCAGAAGTGCCCAGTGGTATCTGTATTATCGTCATGTTTGTCAGCATATTGCTCTACAAATTCGACAGTAGTTTGCGATGCGTGCCAGGACTCCTACTCACGTGTCTTCCTTGCCTGGCATAGAAGGTGCTCCTCCTCGAGCATAAAGTGCGACGTAAAGACGATCTTTTCCGGCAGGCATCGTTTTATAGAAAAGTCTCCGGTGTATGATGAATCAAGAACTGAGAAAATACAAATACACGCACTACGAGTATGTTGGAATAATGCATCTGAAGTACATATAAATAATGTACTGTGGCCTGAAGCAATTCTCCACGTCCCTCAACTGCCCGCACTTGCAGTGATCGCGACCTGCACTGTCCGCCGGCGATCGATTTCCTTCTTCAGCATCAGAAGAATCGTCGCAACAATCAGAGCTTCATCAATGCCATGATTCCCTCCGACATCTTCACCCAGTACAAGCTCACCACCGTTGCCAGCGCTGTAGGAGTTGCTGCCTGATGTGCGAGTGTCGTCGTTCCTGACTAGCACAGCGATGCGCTTCTCGCCTAGCATTAGGACTAGAGCATTACCCTTTGCTCCGTTTGTGCCAAAGCCCTTCTCCTTCCTGTATGTCCATGCGCACGTGCGGCCGTCAGGCAAGAGGAACTCATGGCTGCGCGAAGTCCATTTCGAGACTGTTTTGATCTCCTTGGGGATGCCCTCGGATGCATCCAAGCGGTTCAACACAGGATCTTTGGTCCCGCAGAAGTACTTAGTACTAATCAGCGTCATGCCATCTGCATCTGTTAATACGCAACTCCCCGAGCTCCTCTTCGCCCTTGTTGACGTGTATGCGACGCTGCCATCGAAATTGTGCACCCTCGTTACAAGTTCGGCAGGAGGTGCAGCGAAGCCCAAAATAGGAATGCCTTTTGCGTTGATGTGCAGCGACTTTGCGGGGGCGAAGGAGAGATCTGGGGTGCCGAACGTGGTGCTGTTGACGGAGATGGCATCCGCGGCAATGAGCTCTTTCTTTTCTCCTCTGGTGAGAGTGTTGGTATCGATGGGTGGCTTATCGTTCTCGACGTGTGTTGCGGCGCTCATGGTGGCCATAGTAATGTAGTACGTGTGTGGTGTGGTGCCTGCTTCTTTTGCTCTCACTGTTGCTATTATTTCTGAGATAGGTTATACGTCGTCTTTGTTAGCTCAGATCAACGAAATCACGCGCGGTGACAGTCCTTATACAGTACATTGCAACCGCGAAGCCAGTGCATAGGGGCACGCGTTGAGTTCGCATTGTTGCTCGATGCGAGCCTCAGGCTGTCGTGAGGTTGAATCGCCGGCCGTAGTGCATCAGGCTGTCGTGCTCAGCGCTCGTGTTTCGCTTTCGCGCTATGCGTGTATCGATAAAAGATAATTGATTGGCTCACATATGGTATTGTAACGTACGCTAACACGCGGTTTGTCTATGGGTCACTGGTGGAGGCAGTGCTGATCACAACGTGAACGCCACGAATGCGATTCACTGTCTTTGTAAGCCTCGTCGTAGCGATACCGAGTGTCAGTGTGCTAGGGCTTATGCATGGCCTCGACGGCAAAGTAGCACTGCCTACTGCCTTGTGCTTGTCGCGCGTCATTTCCGGTGACTCGTAGAACAGCATCTCACCTTCAGACACATCCATCCTTTTTCTCCAATATATTTCAAATCTTTGCCATTGTAAAGGCATATCATGCATATTAAGAGTTGTAGTGAGACTTATCAGCATTAGTCCCCAGCCTTACCATACCATCTTGCACCAGTCGTCATTGCTCTTTTCACCCACCTCATGCACACTTTCAAGAAGGCTTAGAAGCCCATCGAAGCCCCCGTTAAGAACATAGCGACCAGTACTACAGTAGTGAAGTACCTCATACTTGCGGATGTGCCATCGCCCTTGTGCATTGCGTCATACCACTCGGGATAGATATTAGTGTAGATAATTTCAATGCACTTGGCGACGGTGCGAGCATTTTAAGAAATTTCCGCGGTGAATCTAGATGGATATTCGCTATCAGAGCTGCTAGTAACGAAACGGGCTTGACAGGCTCGGCGCTGAGAATGCTTGGTTGGGCCAAGCTCAATAAGGCGCCATCATATGCTGGGTATTAGACAATATGTCGTAATACTTACGGGCAACGACAGAATCCTAAAACAGATCAGCTGGATTGGATTTTTAGTTAGCATTCAGCGATTAGGTGCAGTGATTAGTGTACGTGGGTAGATTCGAAATATGTTTATTCAGTCGCTATGCACGTGTTGATCATGTCTTTGTCGTTACTCCTAAACCTCTACTGCTTTGCGCCGTGGACGAACAGCCTCTTTCCCTCCACCTGTTGGAACTGCTTCTCGCCAGCCTCGCCACCCTTTCCGCCAAACACGAGCTGGGACCTGAGCTTCCACTCGAGAGGGATGTTCCAGTGTGAAGCAGCCTTCTGGTCAATGATAGGGTTGTAATGCTGCAAGTTGGCGCCAAAGCCCTCGGCCTCGAGCGCAACCCAGAGAGCGTACTGGTGCATGGCGTTGGTGTGCTCGCTCCAGGTGCCGAAGTGGTGGGCGTAGAGCGGGAAAGACTTGCGGAGACCTTCAACGGGCTCTGGGTCTTCGTAGAAAAGAACCTATGAGACGATTAGTTAGTCACTTGTCTTGTGTGAGATGTGAGATGTGGAGGGTGCAGCCAATGATGCGCGGAATGTTCCGAGGCCGCGGGAGTGGCGTTCCGAGCCTTGCATCATGCATGGTGGGGGTGCTCGATCTCTCGAATGTTCCACAACAGGAACCCTTTTCGCGACCACAATCAAGAGACAAAAAACTTACAGTTCCATAGCCAGCCTTGAATCCAGACACCCTCTGCTCGGTAGAGGCGAACTGGTCCTCGGGTACCAAAGGCTTCAGGGCCTCGAGAACGAAGTCCCAGAATTGGTCATGGTCCTTGTTGAGGAGGACGACGAGACGTGTGGATTGAGAGTTGAAAGACGAGGGAACGTGGAGGATGGCCTTCTCGGCGAGCTCCTGGATCTGCTTGTCTGAAATGGGCGCCTCCTTAGTGAGCTGGTAGATGGTACGGCGGTCCTTGACGGCGTCGATGAAGGATTTCTGAGCAGACATGGTGGATGGTGTTGTCGAGAAAGACTTTGTAGAACTGGACAAGAGGGTATGAGGTGTCAAGTTTGAAGATGAAGGTATGAGGGGCTGGAAGCTAGAGGGGAGTCGTGCGCTTTTGTATCCACCGGCCCACGCGCGCTGTCTAGCAGCTTGAAGAGTATTTCTTAGCACTTGCGCCATCGACTCGGACAAGGGTAGCTGCAATGTAGTTTGTTCCGCAGTGTTGTGAAGCGGCAATTGGGTCTGAACCACTTGTTGCAACAGCAGTGCAAGAAGTAGACCCGCTATAAGTCCGGTCAACAGCGGCCGTGCACCAAAAGCGGCCATGACGTGATGCGCCGTTCTATATTGCGAAGACAAACACTGAAAAGAGCGAACGCCGAGCGCGATTTGATAAGAAACTTAGCCGCCCGACTGATGAATTGCACACACGCGGCGCTAGGAGTTGTTTCTGGCTTACGCAATCCGTTACAGACTTAGAGGGGACTGGTTTGGTGGTTCGGATCTCGGGAGTGCCTGAGCCGTTGCTGGGTTGGCTTATGTGATACATTGGTAATGCTTTGGTTATGCTGTGCGGCAACATTCCGCATTATCACGACACCAACCCATTCGTCCTCATATGCTGTTTGACCCGCAACATATCAGCAAATCTATGGACAACTACAACTCTGCGCCCTGAGATTTCCCGGAATTCAGCAACCTCAGATACTCTGCTTCCGATCTTGGACCCAACAGTCGATGCACTTAGCTGATGTACTGAAGCAGTCGATCGGAAGCTGTCGGTACCCAAACGAATCGCGCATTGCGACTCTTTGGCGTAGAGTTGTATATTGGACGACTTTGAAAGAGCGACGACGTCCACTGTGGTCCATACAGGTCATCTCACTATCGCTACCAGACATGAGGGTTGATAAGACCCAAATTCTTCAGCACGGGCCACTGGTCCTATCGTATCAAATTTTCGCCGCGAAGTATTTTTGCGACAAAATTTCAATAATGTGGAGCTACATTTATCTTTTTTTGTCCAGATGAAAGAAAGCTTATATCTAAAGATAGCGAGGTGAGCGGGCGCGTGGACACCAATATTGCGCAGTCATCACGAGTCACCGCCATTTTGTACGTGCGCTCGTATATACCTATGTATATAACAACTCTATGAATATTTCCTCATCTTCCACTACCAACATACTTGCCGCCATCAAAGTACTACAACACCGCGCATAACCTTGCAGCTACTTCAACCATGTTCTCGTCGCGCCGGTTCTCGTCCATATGGGTGTTTGTCATCGTTTTTGTACTATTCTTATCCTTCGATTATCTATTCTTTCAGTCTTACGATAGCGAAACACCTCTCTACCTCGCACCGATTGAGCTGCTGAAAACGTCGGAAAAGCAAATGCTTCTCGCTCGTACAAGAGCAAGCAGGCAAGCACTCTTCTAAGTGTGCGAGTTGGACTTCAATACACTTGTACCATCCTGGTTACCAGGTTTGACTCGAGAAATGGAGTGGTATGATCCACCACATACGCCTGCAGAATCGTGGAAGTGCAAAGTCTTTCATTTGGATTTACTACAACGCCTTTCCTCGGTCTTCTCGATGCTTGCGCGTCTGGTTTTGGTCCACACAAATTTGCGGATGAAAAGCTTCTGCCCTCCTTTCGCTCTGAATCAACCTCAGAATCCATCCATCCGCCGCTCACCTACACCAATGGTTTCCTAGACAAACATAGAGCCAACGAACGAGTTCTACGACGAGCTCCTCTCCACCGGCATGTTCTCCGACATTGGAATCGACAGGGGCACCAAAATCTCGAAGCTTACACGCATCTTCCTCAATCTCCTGGCGCACACTTACGGTGTTGACAGCTCGGCCGATATTCTACTGGAGGACTCGTGCTTGCTTCTAAAACACGTCGAGATGATCATGAACTAAGCGATTGGGAAGGTGACTCGTTGAAATGTTAGCAGGACAAACACGTAGGGATCGACACGAAGGAGTGGAGGGAGACGGTGCTCAAGGGACTTGTATAGAGTATGAGACGGTGTTTCGGTTGTGAGGGCATAAGACCGACGATTAGTTTGCCGGTGAGGGAGTGTCCAAGTTTTATGGCTGAAGGGAAGGAGGTGTGAACGGAGCAAGTGGAGACTGAGGTGAAGAGTGGACCGATTGACGATTGATACCAGTGTTTGCTTCATCTATTTTCATCGGACCTTAAGTGAGCAAATGTATTATTTAGATCAGCCTATCAGGTATTTCAAGTCGAATAGCATGATACTGAGGCACCAGGTCCAAGCTTCCTACCTCTATTTTCGGTGCTCAATGAGCATATGCGCAAGGGCTAAAGACTGCCGATTCTTCCCTCGCACTTCCTTAAGATGGCCGGTGCATGGAATATCCATGCTTACCATTGGGCGCTGTCTTGATAGAAATCTCGAAGTTTCGCCTCTCTCTTTCGCTCTCGTCTCCATGCGAGATGTCCCCAGTTCCATTAATCTGTCATCCGTTTTCGCTTTTGACCCACAACTTCTTTATCCTTTGGGTTCACGTACGGCGTATCGCCTCTTGCTGCTCCTCAGTGATACAGCAAGGGCATATTTGAAACTTTGCACTTGGTTCTGACATTGCCGCATAACGATGTTCAGTGCCACACCCGTCGCAGCTCCAAGTTCTGGTAGGAAATAGCTCCCGACCATCTTTAGGCGTAAAGCTCTTTCCATCAAAGGTTGTTTGGCTGAAAAGATCGGCCGTGGCCTCCTGAACCCCGATCATGTATTGGAAGGCTTTCTCAAATTTGTTGTCGCGCAATAATGCAAGTATTCTTCGTCCAAAAACGTGAAGGCCGATAATGCGATACGCAAAGTGAGGGCCATCATTTTTAGTTGCACTACCTGCGTAGCAATCGGCGATCACTTCGATGGCCTCGTCGTCATTTAGGGTTTTGAGGAAAGTATAAGCGGCATCCCGAAATTGCTGTCCACTATATACGACAAGGTCGTTGATCTTGAATGTGTGGGCATGAACAAAGACTGAAACATAGAAGTCCACGAAACGATCCCATGTGGCATTGAAGACATCGTCTGGTAAACGAAGATCCGTGGGATCCCCAGTGTAACAGAAGCTTATCAGTGCCTTTAAAGCTCCCAACTCAATCTGGGTGCATTGGTGGCATTTACGATGTGAGAGATCAAGGACTTTCTAGCTTCTTGTTAGATCATGCTCTATAGCATGAAGACTTCGCTCACTTTGGAGGGTTGTTGATCAAAGAGCCTCTTGAGAATGGATGACTTGGCTGCAAGAACCAACTTGTGAGCTTTGATCTCGAGGTCGTGGTATTTGATGATAACATCAGAGAAGTGGCCGGTCATGTAAAGACTAAAAGTAGTCAGCACCTTCGGATTTAAGTGTTTCATGTCCTCTCATACTCGCGAAGGCACTCTTTTGACAATCCCTCGACGCTCATGGGTTGCGGCTGATCCTGTACAGCTGCTATTAGAGGCATTATTGGTGGTTCTAGTTGGTCAAAGGGCATTAGATGTAAGATGCAGTGGAGGATATCAGTTGGATTTGGGGAACAAATAAATAGTGGCATAAACCTAGCGCTCAGGTAAAGGTAGAGACGTGACAGAAATAGCAACGGTTTTAAGTGAAAGAAGACGTGATTGAAAAATCACTGTCACAGTATCGAATTATGGTGAGGCTGTTTCTCCTCAAAACCAAGCGCAGTAATGACTGCATGATCTCATTCCGGTACCCATCGCCGTTTCCATAACACGAAAGAAATAAGTACACAGTCCGCCGAATGGCATTCTCGCTTCGTCACTCCCTTGTTCCCTGCTTCACGCTTCCCTCAGCCTCACCCTTTGTACCAGCTTGATCAGCATCCACAAGCTGCCGACCTAGCTTCGCAGACGCTTGCGGTATACCCGCCATCAGCGCCATAAGCTTTTCTCTCTGCCCAGCCCTCTTGTAGTTCTCAACCTGTTGCTCAAACATCCACATCGCAGTATCACGCAGTAGCTCCAAAGTGCGACCTTGAATATGGCGCTTCTTGAGAAGATCAGGAGAGAAACAGATCTTCAGCGCTGACTCCACGTGTTCGTCAACAGCATTCGTGCAAAACCAGGCGAACGCGTCTCTGAACTTTTTCTCGGCCCCGGCAACAAGATCGGGGATTTCGAAGCGGTCGGCGAGCGCGTGCGTGAGCAGGAGTGGAATAACGCGTATGTTGAAGTGGATGTTGGTGTCGCGACGACAGTCGCTGCAATTCTCCAAGTAGCAGAACGCTATGATGTCAAAGAGAGAGTCCCGAAGCGCTGTATTATTGGCTTCGTCGTCACTGTCGTAGCCCATGATTCCCTCGCACGCCACTAGGTCAAGCAAGTCGGCCTTCTACGTTTGGGTTAGCAGCTATTCAAGATCTAGAGGTGATGTAACAGCACTACCTTGCCCTTGTGCGTTTCGAAGTACCATTTGAATATTGGTGATCTAGCCGACAGAAGTACCTTGTGCACTTCAAGACCTCTCTCGCCCGGTCTTGTGAAGCAAAAGTCGCTGAACTTATGGGTCGTGAAGAGCCTTTAATTGGTTAGCCTGAGAGTGAAAGTTTCATAATTGGTGACGGTACTCGAAGAGGTAGTCCCTCGAAAACATCATGATGGCTATTCGTCGAAATTATTGGCGCAATTATGGAGCGTGGACGGTGTGCTGCGCGGCAGTGAGGTAAGAGAGCTGAGGTGGATGTGGCGTTGAAGTAGACCACGCGCACCTGTTTGCCGGCTCAGTGTGAAGGTGAGTCCGCAAACTTAGCGCAGCAACGACAACCACGGCTCTAAAATTGGCGATGAGCATGATCTGAATGCGGCGAGGTAGAGGAATAATGTCTCTTTTGAAAATCAATCGAGAAAGAAGAAAATATCAAGAATATCGCTGCCCGCTTAGTATCGAGTGGAAGTGCATGAATTGAGATAAGAGAATTTCCAAAGCGCCTGCGCCCTAGTTGAGCTATCGCTGGTTTCTATGAAAGTAGTTTGAGTGCGGAGATGTTTATGAATTGAGATAGAAAATTTCACAAGATGAGATTCAGAGGCAGCTATGTCGGCTGCTACCGAACAGGAGGGTGTCGAGTGAGAAGAACAAAATCGAGTAAAGCAAGGGAAAACCATCCATACATTGGGTGCCAATATGAGGTCGCACGTCGCCATCATTGTCAGGAGCAGCAAATGCACCCGTTCATAGGCTGACAAGTCCTGGACGCATGTGAGAACGTGCTCCACACGGCTCGGCATTTCGAGCATTTCCACCTGAGATGCTGCTTCTTGCTGGGTTTCACAGAATCGGGTGAACGGGGACAAGCCATGCACTCGCTGGAAAACGCGCTAGTGGCCTTCAGTCCATCACTTCGCCAGATTTGATGGCAGTCTTTGCACTCTCAGAACGTCAAGGTATTTCCCGATTCTCGATTTGCAGTAGGTAGACGGATGTTGGTTGGTTGCATTGATGAGGAGTTGCATTTGTTGCACAACTTTGAGTCTTGTGTAACATCTTTCTTGCCAAGGGAATTGCGTCGTGTACATTTGAAACCAGACGTTGAAGTCTTCAATTCGCCGAGATTTGGTTCACCGAGGTCCGAGTTGCTTAGATCCAGCTCAAAAGCGAGGTAACTCTTGATCGCTTTGGGCATAGCTTTAGTGAACCCATGACACATGATATGGGAAATGATTTCTGCTTGTAATGGGCCTAACTCATCTCTTACGAGGCACTCTGTTTGACATCTAGCTGGTGCCAGCAGAAGGTCATCGGCCTCGAGTTCTGGTAGCTCGAAAACGAGGTTGATGAACTGTACAATCGACCTCTCGTTTCCGTGCAATTATCCCATTGCCATCGCACATTTAGGGAGTAAGCAGTCGACTCCGAACTGCAGACCAAGCATGTACATGAAAATATGCGACATGCAGGGTCAGGCGGTGAAATTCGACCACTCAAATCTTTGGTGTCGCGTAAGGTTGTAATTTTTCAAGGCATAGGAATACAGTGGGCGACCCAGATCTGCGTTAGGTCTAACCCGATAAGAATGGGTGCCAATCGACGAGAGAAATTAAATTTGGACCGTCGCCGAGCTATGTCACAAGGCCTCTTTCCAAGCGTGTGGACCCAGGATTACTGGACCCAGATTCTGAGATTCGGTTTACATTGTTGAATAGGACGATAAGGCGGTATTGAACGAGAACTTGGAATAAATCCACAATGATGCCGTCGGTCCTGGACTGAGTGGCTCACATGGAAAAACCCTCAAACACAATGAAAGAGTTAGCACTGTGCACTCCATGCCATGCCATAAATCAATTGAAATCGTCCAAATGAAAATTATGTACCCGCCATACCGATGTAAGCATTCGTATATTCTAGAAGCTGATGCAGGTGTTGCGTACTGGAAAGGGTGCTCGGTGCCGATCCGCTTGACAGGGCTCTGCATGCTATTGTAAGCTGATGATCAGGGTTAGGGAAGGGGAGAAAAGCCTACGAGGGCCACTGCATTGGAAAAAAGCACATAGTACGGGAGATTCAAGAGGAAGGGAGAGGTAGTCAGGTGCGGTTGTGCGCCTAGCCTGACTACGTGAGGTATGTGGGATTTTGGGCGTATACCCTAGTTCAATGTAAAAAGCCTGTCTACTCAGTACCAGAGAACCTAAAAGATGAATTAAGGTTTCATCGTACCTCTCTCTTGATGAACTGTTTAGGGACATATGGATGTTCGCTGCACTAGGCGCTTGTGGCGTTACATCCTTGGGACAACTTCACTTCTGCGGAGTAGCGATGCTTGATCATTACTTTCCAAAGCTCGAAGAATGATAAAACTGCCGTCTAAAGATTACAAAGGCTACTAAGCCACCCTAGCCGCTCCCAGACATTAACATACCGAATAACTCCAGACCGCATCGATCATTTCTATACATCCAGCTGTTGTTGGCGATCTCATCGATTTACGCCCTCAGGGATGCCTAAACCCGTAGAAGCCAGCAGTCCGGCCCATCTGCTGTCTTTGTGTACATGTCACCCTTTAATAGCATCTCCTCTTTCTCCCTCCAGTCATCGAATTTCTTCTCCGACTTGAAGTCCAAATCGCCAAGCTTGGATGTAATCGGGGACTCGGCAGCGTAAGGTATCAGGATGAATAGCGAACAGTCCCGTAGTGTCATGGCCAGTCGCAAATTGTGATCGAAAACAAAGCGTAGTTGCATTTGCTCTTGGACGATAATGCCTTGGGGATCAAGCCTGCCCTGTAAAAACTGCATGTGCAGTAGGAGAAGCAAACCGTCGCCCGTAGTGAGATAGTCGATCAGTCGTCTAACCATCGAGGAGACCAGTTGCTCTTTTTGCGGGTCACGCAGGACATCGGCGACATCGCCAAATTGACTTGCTACTATGTCACGAGCCCATGAGCTGAGATCGGCTGCACTACCATGGACCAGACGGAGCGGGCAAATGTAGTTCTCTCTGCCCTTCGGTATAGCGACCTGCATGGCACAAGTTCGGCAACGGACGGCGTCTTTAGGTGCTGAAGGAGACTGTATAAGCCATTTAGGCTTGATTTCCAGGGTGATCGAGACGCCTGAGACGGGCGACATGTCAGGGAGGAGGATGCCCATATTTCTTAGCGCCAAGAATTGTTCGCTTTTAAAACGTCCCATAGTGACCGTATTTCGTTCGGTCAGGCTAGCGAGATAAGCCAAGGTACCTGGAAAGAGCGCTACACGTTTGAGGTCCATGAGATGCTTTCTGAAGTCGTCACCTAGCTGGATCTCAGCTTGGCGTAGCTTGACTGCGCCTTCGAACGTTTCGTCGATCTCAAGGGCCTTTAGTATCCCGGGCGCAAAGATCGGTTCAACGGATTCCTCAAAGCCAGAGACGATGTCGTCACAGTTTAAATGCTTGGGCCTGCCTCTGGCAACTCGGAGCACTTGGTTGGCAACCATCTCACTTGGAATTCCTGCCGCAGCGAGGCCATCTTTCTGATCACGGACAGAGAGAAAGAGAAAGGTTCCTGCGTGTGTATAGTCGTACTCCCATCGGTGAATTTTAAAAACGACATTGGCGGCGCCTTTGCCGAGATATTCAAAGCGAACGAGCGCGTCTCTGGGCGCACCATCGAAAGCACGTAAACAGCAAATAGTCGTCCCGTTTGGAAATGTTCGAAAGTGGGCCTTTTGGTCGTCGGCTAACAGCGATTCGGTGTAGTTGGCATCCATGTTGGCGTGAGAAGAGGGTGTAGCGTCAACTCCCCGGAGAGGAGCCGAATGAGTAGTCGTGGTCGTAGCCTAGGAGAGTTGCTATAGCTTTTTCTGGTGAGGGCATTGCATCGGCTGCACAATCCTTAGCCTGGCGACTGCCGTGAGCGAAATTCGAGTAGTCGCACTCCCCTTGGCTAGCGCTAGAAAGTGTGTTGCTTGGAAAACTCTTGCCCGTTCAGTTTGCTGTGCCCGCCCACGCCTGTAGCTGTTGTATCTGCTCTCGTGTCTTCTCGGCCCAAATTTGAGGCCGTTATCTCGCAGTGCGCCTCCGGGCAAGTATAATCGGGTCAGAGCAATGACGTCGGCGGCCGTGACTACGAGCCGCTACTTGTCTACACGAAGTCTCGAGATCTCCTTGAAGTGTGTGCGAAGTGATGGTATGTTGCTCATATCGAAGGCTTCTTGATACTCTTACGAGCTAGATTTCGTAGCGCTCACCCAGTTCGAAGCTATTCACCTAGTTCGCGGTGGCAGGTGGGTTATTTGTGATTATGTAATGCTCATCAACAAATCACAGCGCGTCGACCGTGTGGACACGACTTTGGAGGCGACGGACGCGCATATCTGACCTGACGTTCACATTGCCGTTCATTTATACCAGCTCTAGCTTGATCGAATCACTTTTTCGTTTCTCAGAAATATTGCCAGCCAACATGCCTGCGCCCTCGCCGCTCCCAACCTACCTCTACAAGATCCTCCCCGCCGCCCCGCCCTCACCTCTCCCCGCGCGTCTTCCGCTCTCAGACCTCGACCGCAACGACGGCTACATCCACCTGTCGACATCTGAACAAGTGCCTGGCACCGCAGACAAGTTCTTCGGCAGCGTCTCGGAGCTGTGGCTGCTGAAGATCAAGTACGAGGTGCTGGCTGCGGGGACCGATGGGGATGGCGACGTGAAGAGCGAGGACAAGGCTGAAGTCAAATGGGAAGAGGTGGGACGCGGGTGCTTTGCGCACCTTTATGGCGGTGATTTGGGCAAGGGTAATGTAGAGAGTGTGGTGAAGGCTGAGAAGAAAGGGAGCTGGTTTGAGAGCTTGAGCTTGGAGTGGTGAGGCTGTGAGATTGGAGCGGCTGCCTGATGCAGGCTAGCATTATGACAGAGGCTGCTCTTTAGGCAGCAGCGACAAGGCTGTGCATTCATCACCTCATATCTTAACCCAAACCCTGCGCTGTTCAGCTTGACTATGGGGCAAGAAATTCCATGATTCAAGACCACGCATTTGTAACTTGAGTTTTGTCCGCCTGTTCCCCACACATTTACCATGCCGTCGCCGCTTTGCTCCAATTGCTCTTCGGTCTTTACGGAACTGGGGCACAGTGAAAGTGGGCATATTACAAGCGACTGTGTTGTACTTTCTCCACAACCTCAATTTTGCCGTCTCTGCGCGTTCCTGTGGCGGTGCTGCGCTGTTGACTCAAGCGATGTAATCTGTCCCGAAGTCCTCTACACTTGTGAAGCAGATTCATCCGAGTCTTGCCGACTCTGTGTACACTTAACGATGCCCTACGGCTTGGCCTCCAGATACCTAGATTTCCAAATCATTCCTTTCACTTTAGCTGGTAAGATAACTCAGCGCACTCACCTCGAATATCAAGTTAATATCAAGGATACCTCAGATCCTGGGTTGCGTTTGCTACGGCAACGTTCCACAGATACACTTTTCGAACAGGCCGTCACATTCCTAAGGTCGAAACTGAACGAGTGTCTGGCTACACATGCAGAATGTCACCACATCGAGCCTCTCAAGGAGTCGAAGTACCCGACTCGTCTACTCAACTTGAAGAGCCCATATCGATCCAGGGTTTTTCTCGAGGACACCAGTGAGGAGACCAAGGGTCATTATTTCACTCTTTCTCATTGTTGGGGTGGTCTACAACCAGTCACGCTTACCCGTGGATCGGAGCAGACTTTAAGAGGTGGTATAAATATTCGCGATTTACCGAAAACATTTCGAGAAGCGATATACGTCTGTCGGAAGCTTGACATCCCTTACCTATGGATCGATTCCCTGTGCATCTTTCAAGATGACTTGACTGACTGGCATGCTGAAGCGGCCTCAATGCGTCAAGTCTATGCGTCAGCAGTATGCAACATAGCTGCGGCAGGGGCTAAGGATGCCTCGGTAGGTTTACGGTTCCAGCATGATTCGATGGTGTCGGACTCATTTGAAATTTCTGCACCTAAACAGTTTTGGCTTCCTGGCCAGAAACAAGCTCCAATTGAGTACCTTGTTTGTTCTAGATCCTCATTCTCGAGGGACATTGAAAATGGTCCTCTCAACTTCAGAGCATGGGTCCTGCAAGAACGTGTTCTATCTCGGCGAACGATGCATTTCACAGCTTCTGGTGTCTATTGGGAATGTCTAAGTAACATCGCTAATGTTATGTACCCCGAACGCCTCCCGGACTGGATCTACCGAGAGGAAGAGATACAAACGATCAAACTCTTACTGCTCCAAGGGAACGATACCAATAATAGTCATGTAACACAAGCCTGGAAAAACAAGGTGTATGATGCCTGGAATCAGCTCTGCTATATGTATTCCAGAATGGGTATGAGCGTGGAAAGCGATAAGCTTGTGGCTATCCATGGCATTGCACAAAAGCTGTCACAAATTAATGGCGACAAACTGGTTTGTGGACTGTGGGAGCAACGTCTACTTCCGCAATTATTATGGTGCTCGGTTCAGATTCCCAACTTAGCGACTTCCTTTCCGCTCCATTGGCGAGCTCCAAGCTGGAGCTGGGCAAGCAACAATAACATATTTTTACATGCAGCGCATCTGAGTTGTGGTTATGGTCAAGCAAAGGCGATAGTTGAGAAAATTGAGGTCGACGCGTACGTATCTGGGCAACTGAAAGATGCCTCGTTGACGCTACGTGGTAAAGTCGTAGAGGCTAAGTTGGATTTACAAACAGAGGTTAAAAATTCCGTACGTTCAGTGACTACGGCGCACCTCCATTGCGGAGACGACGCAATGAAAGTATGCGCACCGTTTTTCGACCTAACTGCAGACGACTCAGACTCGATGACCTTCCACGAGCAGGTCCTCTGTATCGGCGTCTATGAGGATCGGTGCGGTAGGAATGCAGAGGAAGACTTCCACCCGACCTGGGAATTGGGCGTTCTCATTCTCCGACAATGCCACCTGGATCCCCCAAAATATCAACGAATTGGCATCTTCCTACTGTCAGGAGAAGACCTCGCTTTCTACACATCCCACGAATCGCAGGAGGAACGCAGCATAACCATCATCTAAGCACCGACGTCACTCCGCATCCGAGCATCTACTTCTCAACGCCAACACTCCCCCATTCACTCTCCGGATACTCCCTCTTCAACACATACAACCCGACCTCCTCCTTGACCAAACCCCCCATAACCCTCTTCGCCCACTCCGTCTCCCGACTCTCGCCCAACTCCTTCCACGGCAAAACATCGCCCTGGAATTCCCACAGCGCAAGATACCGCGGGGCATTCGCTGCAGTCGGCACAAACCGGTCGAGGATAGTCCCTTCGACAAACTCGTAGCGGCGCGAGCGCACGAAGCCCGGCGCACGGGAGAGAAGAGCCACATGCTCCTCGCGATACCACGCGTCGAAGTCTTTATGCGCTTCAGGGGAAGCAGGAGGTTCCAGGGCGGCAGAGATGATGAACGTTGCGGGCCCTAACTTGAATCAGCACACTATTGCAATAGCTTGGATGGATTGCACGCACCTTTCTTCACACCCTCGTTCTCAAAGACCTGCACTTCCTTGTAGAACCGGATATCGAAGCGCACGTTTTTATATATACTCTCTACCAACTCCTCCGAGGCCGTGATGCTTTTGAACTCGTCCGAGTTGCGGAACTCAATGTCTGGGAATGGGCAGATGTTAAGCCACGGCGCTTCATTGCTGTAAGCTTTCGCATCTGGTTGTGGTTTGAGCGCCTCGTAGCGCGCTGCGCTGGGGACGCCGGAGAGGACGAGGGCTTCCTGGATGTGTGTCTGTGGGGTGGGTTAGTGATTGGTGTATACGGGGGCGTTTGGTTTTTCTTTTCTAATGCAGTCATGGGTTCATAGGTTATCTTCTTTCTCAAATGCAGCCATGGATACATAGGCTATAGGAGGGAGAGGGATACGTACATTCTCATACCAGTCGCAAAACTTATCGTCTGCAAGACGCTCTCCATTCACCACTCGAGACGAAACCCAAAGTACCCCTCTTGCCATTATGCCTTATCAATGACTATGCAATAACGCAAACTGAATCCACGTCTTGTAGTTGTGCGTTTAAACCCGTAATCAAGTAAAGTAAGTACTGACAAGGGAACCACAAACAATAGAAGATGGGAAGACTGTGAGGATCACGTTAGCCGCAGCATGCGGGGGCATTACACCGTCTCGGGGCAATTATTTAATATAACTACCTAGGTACCCACTTGCCGCCTCGTTCCACGAGCTTGCTCTAATCGGGTTCTAGTAGGTAGTCATGAGTGATAATGAGTGTAGTCAGTAGACTCGGAGATCGACAGCCTTGCCCCACCACCGGACGAGACCACGGGGAAATTGCGTGATAGTAAACGTCTCGCACGCAAAAGTTTAAACGTAAAAGGAAAAGGGAGTGGGGGTACCAACTGTTGTCGGAGTACTATCTTCGAACCAACTAGTGAATTATCATTACCCCGTCAGCATCATATATGTACCCCTTCTTTTCTCACTCTCAGACACAGTCTCCTACTCTCCTCGTGTCGCGCTTCTCTATACTTCACTCCACTTCTGTTCCAAATCAACCTCCCCCTCCCCCCAAAAAAAGCAGACGAGAGTTTCGCATGCAAATCGTGTACGTGTAAAGAAGGAGGACCGGGCCGTGGCAACCCCTTCTACCCTTGTGAAAAATAAGATGCGCGGGAAAAAAACCAGCCCGCAATAGGCGGATGCAACGGCGTCCTCCCAAAGAAACAAGGGACGTCAATATGGGAACCCAGACGCTGACAAACGCTAACAGACGATCAACATAGGAAATTAGTACCGTGTAATGCAATAAGAATCCAGATAAGAGTTCAAGGAAAACGGTGTTGTAACAGTCTACAGCCAAGGGAATTTGGTGATTAGTAATTGGTGGGCGAACTGGCTTCGTAATAATGTGTGAAGGGCGGAGTGGGTGGTAGGGTCGGGTCCTCCTGGCAAGCAGTTGGAGCATCTCCCTAGCTCTGGTTGTCTACAGCCAGTGGCGGCGTCTCAGCCTCCTCTGGCAAGGCAGGCGGTGGGATAACACCCAGACTCCTCCTCTTGCTCTTCCTCTCCCTCTCCCTCTCCTTGTCCTTTGCCTCGTCGTCCTTTTTGACGCCATTTACGCTATCGGAAGGAATGGCCGCAAGTGTGGGGCTGGCTTTCTTCGATGGGGCCATGCTGTGATAACTAACGGAGAGTTTGGATGTCGAGTCGTTGTTCTCAGACTTGTCCGCAAAGTCTTTCCATCTGCGCCAACCGTCGAAGTCGATGAGGGCCTGCATGCAGCCCCATTCTTTGACTTTGCGCTCGAGCCAGACGAAGTTGACAGGCTGTCAAGCAGATTAGCACATGAACGCGAGGGGTGAATCGGTGATAGCCTACCTTTGTCAAGAAATCATTGCAGCCGGCCGCCAGGGCCTCGTGCCTGTCACTTTGCAACGAACTGGCCGTAAGCGCGACAATGATGACAGGGCTCTTGAACAGCCCCTTGTCGCCCAGCCTGTCGCCCTCGATCAACTCGTCCTGAGCCTTTCCTTCCTGCCCAAGCCTCTGGTTGGGTGCCTCGTTGCTCCCGCTGCTGAACACACCAATGCTGTTGACGCGCTCCAGCCTTCGGATCTCTTTTGTCGCTTCGAGCCCGTTCATCACGGGCAGTTGAATGTCCATGAGAACCAAGTGGAACCCGCCTGCCTTCCATTTTGTCACAGCTTCCTTTCCGTTCATCGCCCGCTGCCATCGGACCTTCAACCGCTGCATAAAGGCGCCCAAAACTCTCAGGTTGATAATATTGTCTTCTACAATAAGCACGTTGATCGGTGGCACTGAGCCGTCCAGCAGCCCGGCTGGTAAGCTCGGCGACTCTAGTGGTAGCCGCTTTCTTCGCTTCTTGGTCGTGGGTTGAGGCGATGAGACGCGCGGGGTAGGTGGATTCGACGTTTGCAAAATTTGCTGGCGTGTGATGGGATCGGTGGTGGCGGGAGGGGTGGGTATCGGGTTGTTGGAGGTAGCAGAGTTCTTGGCCTCTGAGGCTGAAGAATCATGGCGGGGTCGGGCCGGGGGACGACTCGAGGTAGCAGACGAGGGGACGCCGCCTGCCAAGATCGTCGGCGAGGCGGTGTTGTGTCTGAGATAGTTGGGACGTTGGCTGTGTAGTGGGCCTCTTCTTGAGCCACCGGGAGAGGGTAGGGCAGGGAGCTGGCCAGTATTGATGACGGCGATGGAGTGTGGGGCATGGGGCAATGGCATTCGTGCATCGTTCTGGTGGACGCCGTGCCGACCAGATGGCGAAGGATTGACGATGGGCATGGGCGGGAAGTACTCGGTCTGGTGGTTTGTCGAGTCATCATGATGCTCGTAGTAGAGGGGCACGCGCGGCGAGGGCTTGGGGGACTTGCGCTGGGGCACATCGATGACGAGGGCCTCGTTGACGTTCTGGCCGCCTGGGAAGTAGGCATCGAGGGTCCTGCACATCTCCTCCTCAGGCCCCAGTGTGCGACCCTGTCCCTGCTGGGCGTCGCGCGGCACGATGCGCAGCGTCACGTCGGGCGAGTCGAAGCTCCTGCCCAGCGAGTTTGCGTACTTTTTGAGGATCATCTCGCGCACGTCGTCGACCAGGTCATCCTCGCGTATCTGCACCAGCGTGGCCGAGGCATTGGGCCGCTTGACCCAGATCTTGCGGTGCAGCATGCCAGCGCTGAAGTTTGCGGGCGCGCCGCCAAAGTAGTCGGACGCAGTGGGGGGGCCTGTTGCTATGGCCGCCTGGGGGATGTCGGGGGCGAGCAGCGTCTTGATTATCTTTGCATCGGTGTTGGCAATGACAGACTGACGGCGTATGACGGCTGGTGGAATCGGTTTCGCAGTGGTGGTCGCGGGGAGTGGTGATGGAGATTCGACGTCGCTAGGCTCTGCAGACGAAAGTGACGGCGCAGGCACGTGGCGGTCGAGCTCGCCCGGCTGGACCTGGGGATAGATGGGCGTGGGCTCCTCGAGAGTGAGTTCGGGACAGGCGATGGGGGTGTTGACGTCGACGTCGACGTCTCCCTCTGGCTGGCGGGCGCTGGTGCGGGTGCTGACACTTGCGCTGGTGGCCGTGTTGGTGCTGGTTCTGGTGTATGCAGACTGCCGTGAGTGTCGATCTCTCGACGTCAAGCTGGCAGCTGGCTCGGCACGACGCTCGGCCGCCGCCGTCCCCAACACCTCGGACCGCACCATCCGCTGGGCTGTCGGGCTGTCGTCGTCGTCGGCCACGTCGGTGCTGGTCATCTGGGGCAGCTTGGAGAGGGAGATGCTCTTGCGGAGCGCGCTCGTGGGCTGTTGCAGCCTGTCGCTGCCGGCCGACGACGTGATGGAGCGGGTAGCCGTCGAGGTCGCGCTGCTTCTGCGCAGGAACTTGTGGCGCACATTGTGCAGGCGCGTCTTGATGCTGCTCATGCCGGCGACGAGCCAGCTCTGGCGGGCATTCAGTCGTCGGAAGCGCGGCGACGTCGTGAGGGTTGGGTGGTTGCAGAGGGAAAAGCACCAAGACGGGTCGCCGAGGTGTGGCGCAGGCGAGGGCCCAAGATCGTGATGGCGATGGCAATCCTGATCCTGATCCTGATCCTGAGGGGGAATCGAGGGCGATACAAAGGACAGCGGCGGGAAATAGGGGGCACAAGGGCAGCGAGGTCAAATACGACGCGAAAAGGAAATGCGCCTGTGTTGTGCTTCTGTCTGCAAGAAAGCAAGCTTCGTGAGCAGCGTGCCCATGTCCAATTTCCACGAGCTTGGGCGGAGGGAATGGCTCTAATGAGACTACCCGCATCGCTTCACTGGCTCCTACGCACCCGTACGAGCAATTCACCGTGTCAATCACCACCTTGCCACCGCACGCGTCGTAAGCCCTGCGGTGTTGCAGCACAGCAGAGTCAATGGGCATCAACTTGTCTTACGATGTGGGGAGGAGGTGTCAGTCTGGCTGATTGCAGCCTTCTCTCCTCAGGCCACCACCCACCTCACTCTTCAACTCACCATCTATCTCACTTGCTGGACAGGTCAAGATCAAGGTCAGGTTCGCTCAACACTTGCTAGCATTCCTACTTTTCGTACCATACTATCATACTATTGTCCTCGGTAGTTGGAAGCTTCATGCCTCGTACCGCCGTAGCCCCTATGCGTCTCCGAGGACTCACATTCAGCATTCGCCACACGCCACGGTTATGCGCGCTTGAGAAACCTGATATCTGCCCAACTTTGGTTCTCCAACGCCACAAGTGGCTGATGGCCAGCTAGCTCGTTGAGCGTGTCCAGACTCTATGCAACTATTCGTGCGACTGCCCGCATTCTTCCGCTTCTGCTTCACCACGCTTCCAGCGTCAAAATGCAGACGCTGCTATATCCGTTCGTATTGGACAGCAAATGTCTTGCCAACTATACCCGTCAATAAACAAGTACCCCGCTGTGGATACGCTACTACAGCCATGGGCTTGTCAACGGGCTGTTGTCTATCTATTGCCCGGTGCGGTCAAGTCCACCTTGGACCGCTGAGAACCGAACTCCACAAACGGCGTTATCGAAAAGTAAAAATCCCATGTCCGTCTGATGGAGAAACAGCAGCCTCCCCGTTTAGTCATCACGGTCAGGATCATGGCAGTCAACACCTACCCGAGTACACCTTTTCAGTTGGTCTCAGACATGTAGCACTGTTTCGGGAAGCCCGAATAGTCAACGACGTGGAGCGAATTACTGCTTTAGACACTCAACTCTCGCTAAAGCTACTCAGATTACGCACGTCTCAGGTTTGTCTGTAGTCAAGATGCAGACGCGAACGAAACTTACAGTAGTCTAATAGATGCTTGGATAGGATCGTCCAAGATATACTTCAGCTGTCCGTAGACATTGGAAGACAACACATGCGCGCGTGAGCTGGTCGTGATAGACTTGACACCACTGCATACGTGAGGCCCTCCCCCTAGGAAATAATTCGTTCACAATGACTACCCACGTACTCGCACATTCACACATGTTCCACCCCCGTACGCTTCAAACTCGCACTATTCTATCCCCAACACAGGCAAATAGAGGCCCCATCAACTCACACCCCCCATCATACCACTAAATATCAACCCCCAACTGACAATGCCCGCACTCCTCCCCCTCAAGTCCCCACCAACAACTTCCATCGACCAAACCCTCAGTCTACCCCCTGTCCTCTCCCCCCTCCCTCTCTGTAAACCCCACCCAACGCTCCTAACATGCAAAACCTGCACCTCCGTAGAACTCCATCTCCTCTCAGAAACAAACCGTGCACCTACATGTCCTAGATGTTTCGCGCAGTTTCGCAGAGCAGAGACAGAGTGTAAGACGCGGAGACGGGAATGTGAGAGGGGAGTCACGTTCTTTCCGCGGTTGCTTATAGAAGACGAAGACGAAGAAGAAGAGGACGAAAGGGATGTGGATGCATGGGGTAAGTTAGGTAGGATGCTTAATATCTCTGGGGGTAGATGGCGGTGGTGGTGACGAAGAAGGGAGATGTAGTAAGGGAGGAGTGTGAGTAGTGAGTGCACGTATTACTATACGAAGTCGGGAGAAAGACGTAAAGTCAATTTTATCGAGGCGACGGGTAGGGGAAGGGGAGTTTCCTGAGTCTAATCTAGCACCGTACTGTCTCACCAGAGAGGGAATAAGCGTAAGCATATTCTCTTCTCTTATAAGACAAATGTTGAAAAGAGTAAGCACTGCACATCGGCACCTGCATCGATGCATCTAAAGGAATATGTATCGAGACTAATGTACAAAGGCCTGCAATTCGTGGTGTGGGTAAAGATGATTTCGTTCGTTCAAAGCACAATGGTATCGACAAGGACGCTGATCCGATCCATATACACACACCCTGTCCTCCCGTCGTGGATGACGAGAGAATCGTCAATCGCTGATAAACGTCTCACAAAAAGGGAACATGATAATGAAAAACAGGCATGAAGCCCCAACCATCCCTGTTCCCGGGATCCAGGTCCAGGGGAACGACGAGCCAATGCTTCCCCTGCCCTCCCCTGCTGTCCTACTCTTGCTCGTACGCTAATCATTTGCACGAGCTCGCCCTCTCACTTCGCTGTAGCGGTCGGGTGGATCTCATTCTCCCTCACTCCGCCTAGAAGTCGGTGAAATACTCCTCCCATTTGTCGCTCAGCTCCTTGGTATACGGGTCTCTCTTCGCGCTCTCGGGCTCATACTCATCAAAGTTTCTCGTATCTGCTGGCCCCCTGAGATGCGGAACAATCGGGCCATCCACCTCCCTATTATATAGTTTATCCCAGTCGATGTTCTTGAACCAGGGATGGTCTTTTACACGTTGCGAGCGACCAGAGATATTGCCGAGGCGCTTCGACGTGTCGACAGTGCAGAGGCCGGAGATGAGGTCGCGGGCGTCCGAGGACATGGCGGAGGGGTAGCGGACGCGTCCTTCTACGATTCTGCAAAACGTCAAGATCCACCAAGATATAGGAACATCCAGAAAGGTGACATACTGTTCGTAGATCTTCATCGGATTCTGGTCCCAAAAGGGCGGTTGGCCAACGAGGAACTCGTAGACTAGGATGCCGAATGCCCACCAATCGACTGCGGTTCCGTGACCTAATGCGCGTGAGCCAAGACCAGTGTCGTGGTGTCGCTGAACGTACCCGTGTTCCGTATCACCTCAGGCGCCAGGTACTCGGGTGTGCCACAGAGGGTGTATGTCTCCCCTTGTCCACTATTAGCCTCGCCTAACACGTTTGGCTAGATAACGTACGATTCTCTACTTTCTTTGCGAACCCAAAATCCACCAACTTAAGGTGTCCTTGGGCGTCAATAAGAATGTTCTCAGGCTTCAGGTCGCGATAGGCAACGCCCTCTCTTTCGTGCAGAAACTCTAATATAAGGACAATCTCGGCGGCATAGAACTGTGACGTGGGCTCGTTGAAGCGGCGCGCTCGACGGAGGTAGCTGAATACTTCGCCGCCAGGGCAGTAGTCGAGCTGTCAATCGCGTGTCAGCCATTGACCAATCCATGGTTGACGTGTGTAGCGTACCACCATGTATAACGAGTCGAGGGATTGGAAGCTGGCGACCATGGTCGTAATGAAGGGGTGACCTGCGACCTGTGCGAGGATGTTGCGCTCGTTCCGGACATGTTCGACTTGCTTAAGGCGAATCACTGAGACATGGCCATTAGCAGCTGCAGAGGAGCAGTGGCGGGGAGTCGGGCGCAGACGTACCGTCGACTTTGCGCAAGATCTTCAGGGCAAAGACTTTGTTCTCGTCTCCGTTCTTTGCGTCTTGTAACCGCACCAGCCAAACGCGCGCAAACGTGCCTGGCTCCAAGTCAGCAAACCAGTTCCTTCCTGCGTATAGAAGCATCATGGCCCACCGGTCCCCAGCGTCTTGATCAGCTCAAAGTCCTCCTGTCGCAGCACCTTGGACGAGTGGCCCACGACCTTCTTCTCCGGGTCCTTGTCTATCTCGTCAGGGCTCAAGGTGCGCTTGTGATCCTCCCACTGCGCCAGGGTGCGCTTCTCTTCCTCGCGCGGGCGGTCCATGGCCGAGTCACTGCGGTCGTGTAGCGGGCCAGACTGCTGAGACTGGGAACGGCCATCCTTCTTCTCCCGGTGGTGCTGCCGCGGGTGCAGCAGATTGTGGACGGTAGTCGCCATGGCCGCTGTATTGTCTATACCTATCGAGTGTATACCGAGGGCGAGGCGGGTAGGGCAGGTTGGGGTCGGGTAGGGCAGGAGGAGGGAACGAAGGGGGGCACTGTTTCCTGGCGTATTCGGTGTCAATACCGCATGGCAGCAGACGGCAGCCGGCAGATTGTGTGGGTGGAATCACTTTGATTCGAATCGAGCAAACAGAGGGAGCGAGGGCCGACCGGGCAAGTCGCAGCAGTCAACAACCATGGGCAAGGGGCCGGGAGATGATATAAAGGCGCTGGCGCAACAGGAGCATGGCGGGGGGGTTACATGAGGCGCATTGGCGGGCTTTCTGCTCGAGATGACGCAGCGGGCGTGGGGAACGAGAACTTGCACAAAGCAGCAGCCGACAGGCCCTGGAGGGAGAACGAGCGCCCGCCGGCGACGCCGTTGACTTCAGCCTTTCACTGCTGCGGTGCTATACAGTAGTCTACTATGCTGCCTCCTTGCATGTGCATGCCCTCACACACGTGCGGGCTGCATAGCCTTTTTCTGCCCAATTGCGCGAGCGTGGCCGTGTTTCGCACTCGTCGTGCAACACAAGCCGCACTGGCAATTCACCCTTAAATCACCCGCAACGCTGCAGCTACCCGTATCACCGTTGTTTGGCGTCTCTCGCGTGTGCCACAGACTGCCGCTGGCTTGTTGACGGGCTGTCATGTCGCAGTCATCGTGCATCGAGCTACTTGGTACGGTGCAGAGGGGGGAACCATGGTACTCGACTTCGACTACTTCGACTACTACTACTAATAATACATCTCACACAGTTTTGCCGACATTCTGCCCTCGGCCTACTTGCCATTGTTCTCCTCGATTTGATATATTAGCATGTCCAACTGCCGCTAACGCTATGCACATATAACAGTCACATATAACATTTAGAAGCCCTCTACAGGCTCTACTCAAGCTGACCGCGCTGACCATGGCAATAAAGTGTGTGTGTGTGTGTGTGGCCCGCGTCAGCTCTTGGGTTGCATCACCCCAATATTTCCCGAACTCCAATATGTTGCATGCTCGTCCAACTAATCTACACCAACTAGTCGTACAAATAACGGACAGCGTCTCTGCCTTCAGCCACTTGCCCGTGTGTTTAGAATGAGAGCGACGATGAGTCTAGAGGCGTCAGCTGGTGAGCAGGATACGCTGGAACTTGGATTTTCCGGTGTAGACATGTGAGACCAATGGCGGTCAGAGTAGCCCCGAGAGCAGAGCTTCACCGCATGTCTGACGCAGGTTGGATTGGGACCGACTCACCCGTAAAGACCCAGGACTTCGGCAAAAATGAGAATGAGCACCATGCCGACGAAGATTCTCGACTGACTCATGAAAGAGCGCACGCCCTGCACGGGTTAGCCTAAGCACACTTCAGTGTTGGTGTAACCAAACGCACAGCATCTCCAACGATTCCAATCGCATAACCTGCAGCAAGACCTGAGAGGCCGACGGAGAGGCCAGCCGCCATGTGCATGAATCCAGCGTATAGCGAGTAATGTGTGTCCGGCGGAGGCTTGATGTCGCTGGCGATGAGGACGGATATGACGAGGGCGTAGACAGCCAAGATACCAGACATGACGATGGGGATGAGAGACTGCATGTGATCAGCTAGAACTCCAGCACTTCTATTCAAAGCGCCCATACCTTCATGATCAGGTCTGGCCTGTATGTTCCAATGCCCGCAATGCCGATGCCTGCCTTTGCTGTGCCATAGGCTGCTCCCATGCCTGCTCGTCGTTAGCTGCTGTCACGCGCAATGTAAACGGGCGAGGGGTCGTACATCCGAATATCATCTGGGTGCGATAGGTTGGTATGTTAGTTGAAAGCCATCTGGGCGACAGGACTCACTGCGAAGGCGATGCCGCTCTGCGTGCTGTTAGCTATCATGAAGTCATCAGCGAACGTCTGGTGGCACTCACCATGCCGAAAAAGGGCGCGAAGCTGGGCGCCAGATTCTCAGATTGCGACGACATGCTGGCTCGTTGTCGGCTCGGGGATCAGACGCGTAAAAAGGTACAAAGCAGGTTGGGGTCCTGTTGATGCTTCGAAGATGGGTCGGCATCCCCAAGGTCCGTCCGTTCGTTGAAGATGAGCACGCCAAGAGAAACCCGAACCAAACACACCTGCACCACGACCGTCCAAGGTCCTCTCCACGCAGCGAGCCCGCCCGCCCACGAACCCCTGGCCGCTGCTCCCACCCTACGCGCTCCGCCGCCTGCGTCTCCTGTTCTACTCTCTAACCATACGACCATTAGCCCTGCTGTCTGCTCGAGTGTTCGCAGCCCCTCGTTGGGCAGGTCCAGTGCCAACTCCCCCGATTCCACGCATTATTACACGTCCAGCCCCCCGCGGCGCAGAAAAGCACCACTTGCACCATCTCCTGGAGAACAGAGAAGCTTCTCCATCTCGTCTGACAGGAATCTGCTCCTGCGCCTCTCTTATCGTCGCCGACGCCTCATCGCCCGATCCGTCGCCGAAGACCCCCCAAAAGCGCTGCGCAGCCATAGCACGAGTGCGGATGCCCACGAAAAGCTCGGAAACCACTGCGGACTGAAGAGGCTACATGGCAGACTACGGCAATCAGCAGAGGGGAGAGTTTGCGCGGGGGCCGAACAATGGCCAGCCCACGGGAGCAAGGGACGCGGCCTTTGCAAACATCTTCGGTGCCAGTCCAGCCATGGCCGGCCGCTCGCAGACGATGACTTCGCAGTCGCAGATGCGTATGCCAGACCGCGCGGCGACCATGTCCTCCCAGACGGCAGACATGATGCAGCGCGCGCCGCCAATCCGCCCGCCAGTGAATGGCTACGATAGGCGGCCCCATCCGCAATACGATCCCCGCAATGTACCCAATTCTGGGGAGCAGCGCCCCATGGACCCGCCAAACAACTATAACCGTCCAATGCCTAATGGCTATGCCCAAAATTCTCGCTATTCAGAAGGACCCCAGCAGCCCCAGCGCCAACCCCAACCGCAATATCTGCCGCAGCCCCTTCGCCCCGAGCGCCAGCCTTATGGGCAACCCCAGCGATTTGACTCACGAACCTCCCCTCCTGGCCAGCCCCCCTTCAATAAGCCCATACCGAACCGTTTTCCTGGCCCGCCCGGGCCAGCCATGAACGCTGATCCGTATCGCTCGCAGTCGCTGGCTCTGAATCCTCGACCGCAGTTCACGCCTGGTGGTCCAATGAATCCCTCGCAAGCAAACACCTTCCGCCAGCAACCGTACATGAATCACACGGCGAGGACAACAGCACAGGGCCGTGTGGTGCCAGAACGCCCAGATGAACGAACCATGTCCATGAGCTCCTATGCCAGGGATCCCGACCACACACAGACGATGATGAGCGGACGGGTTATTCCGAATCGCAGGCGAGAATCGGGCGACACATCAGTGTCGCCCGGAGAACTGAGGACACCGGTATCTTCGCAGTCATCGATGAACATGGGTCCCCAAAGGGCGAGAAACACCAGTCAGGGCAGCATCACTCCGCAGTCACGTACCATGTCCATGGCTTCCACCGTCGTCGCTCCTTCAGAACGTACCGACACAATGTCATCCTCTATGACACGTCCAGGCTCGGTCCAGACAATGGCTAGCACTAACAGAAGTTCTAGCCAGTCTCAAACCGGACAGGGGATGGTCCCAGCTGCTCAGCGGCGAGCTCCTCTGGTCTATCCTGCCCTCCTATCTCGCGTGGCCGAAACCTTCCAGGACAGGGTGGCCTTGGCAGAGAGAGAGAAGGATGGACTCGAATACAAGAGCGCATTCACAGGTGCAGAGGCTGTCGACCTCATCTCCTTCATCATCAAAACTACCGATCGAAATCTTGCGTTGCTCCTGGGCAGGTCCTTGGATGCGCAGAAATTCTTTCACGATGTGACCTACGCACACCGATTGCGGGACTCGACCAACGAGATATATCAATTCCGTGAGACCGTAGTGGAGGAGAAGTCCGAGATTAACGGTGTCTTTACCCTTCTAACGGAGTGTTATTCGCCAACATGTACGCGAGACCGTCTGTGCTACTCGATTGCTTGTCCGCGCCGTCTGGAACAACAGGCCCGCCTTAATTTGCGCCTTCAGCCTGGTCTCAAACGAGAAGAGTCTCGTGCGAGTTTGCACGAGGACAAGGACAATGAAGAGCAAAAACTCTGGATTAACACGGTTCCGAAGGAGGTGTCCGAGAGTGTGTCCGAGAAGGAGCAGAAACGCCAGGAGGTTATTTCTGAGCTCATGTACACCGAGCGCGATTTCGTCAAGGACCTTGAATATCTTCGGGATTTCTGGATGAAACCCCTCCGCAATCCTCAGACTTCCCCGATTCCAGAGCACCGCCGCGAGAAGTTTGTCCGCACAGTCTTCTCCAACTGCCAGGAAGTGTACATGGTCAACTCTCGAATGGCCGAAGCCTTCACCCGACGGCAGCAGAAGGAACCTGTGGTAAGGAACGTTGGTGACATCTTCCTCGAGTACGTTCCGCACTTCAGCCCCTTCATCAAGTACGGCGCAAATCAGCTCTTCGGTAAGTACGAGTTTGAGCATGAGAAGCGCACCAACGCCAACTTCTCTAAATTCGTCGACGAAGTAGAGAGGATGAAGGAATCAAGAAAGCTCGAGTTGAACGGATACCTTACGAAGCCCACAACAAGATTGGCTAGGTATCCATTACTGCTGGAAAACATTGCCAAATACACGGCGGACGACAACCCAGATAAGCAAGATATTCCGAAGGTGGTCGCAATCATCAAGGAGACCTTGTCCAAGGTCAACATAGAGTCCGGAAAGGCCGAAAATCACTTCAACTTGATGCAACTCAACAAGGATCTAAAGTTCAGACCTGGAGAATTTGTGGACCTAAAGTTGACCGATGAGAACCGACAGTTGGTATTCAAGGGCAACCTCAAGAAGACACCAACCGAAACGATCGGCGACATCACATGCTATCTCTTCGACCACGCAGTTCTGCTTGTTCGAGCCAAAACAGTCAATAAGCGAGAAGAACAGAAGGTCTACAAGAAGCCCATACCTCTAGAGCTACTTGTCATCACACAAATGGACGATATTATACCAAAGCTGGGCATCGCCAAGCGGCCATCGGCAAACATAATTGGGGCAAGGGCCATTGCTGCTGCCACGCCGCGAAATGACGCCACCAAGCAACAAGGCTACCCCATCACCTTCAAGCACCTCGGCAAGGGCGGCTATGAGTTGACCTTGTTTGCTAGTACTCCAATCTCTCAGCAAAAATGGATGGAGCACATTGAGTCACAACAACGGAGCTTAAGAGAGCGAAGCAACATCTTCACAAAGACTATACTGAACGAGGGCTTTTTCTCGCCGACCATCAGGGTTACTTGCGCTGTTCCTTTGGGTAAGTCTTTTGCTAAATTGCTCGATTTCTTCATTCTAACAAACGCTAGATGGTGGTCGGAAATTGGCTCTTGGAACGGATGCCGGTGTTTACATTGTTGAGCGAAAGCCCAAAGACTCGTCCTCACGACCCAAGCGTGTACTGGACTGCAAGGGTGTCACGCAGATCGACGTTCTCGAGCAACATCAGATCGTGCTCGTTTTGGCCGACAAGACTCTCTACTCTTACTCACTGGAGGCTCTGGATGTGGATGAGGCCCAAGCCATTGCCAAACGGCCACGGAAAATTTGTCATGCCAATTTCTTCAAAGCTGGCATCTGCCTTGGAAACCAACTGGTTGCTGCCGTCAAGACCTCTGCGCTATCGACCACGATCAAGGTCTATGAGCCCAAGGAGAGTATGGCCAACAAGGCGAAGAAGTCTGGATTCACTAGGATGCTCTCACAGGGGCAGGATCAACTCAAGCCGTACAAGGAGTTCTATATTCCCACCGAATCGACGTCAATACACTTCTTGCGCTCCAAACTCTGTGTTGGTTGTGCACGCGGCTTCGAAGTCGTCAGTCTCGAGACTCTCGAAACTCAGTCCCTGCTCGATCAAGCAGACACGTCTCTCGATTTTGTTGTACGGAGGGAGAACATCAAAGCTATCCATATCGAACGCATGGCGAGCGAGTTCTTGTTGTGCTATACCGACTACTCCTTCTTCGTCAATCGAAACGGTTGGCGAGCGAGACCAGACTGGAAGATTACCTGGGAGGGTACGCCGCAGGCTTTCGCCATATTCAACCCATATATCCTTGCCTTCGAACCCAGCTTTATTGAGATCCGGCATATGGAGAGTGGCGGCCTGGTGCATATCATTACAGCGAAGAATATCAGATGGCTACACACATCGACCAGAGAGGTATGTTGTAAATCGGATCCTTGTGACGACTATTGTGCTAATGATTGTAAGATCTTGTATGCATATGAGGATGAGCTGGGCAACGATGTCATAGCCAGTCTCGATTTCTGGCAGACGGCAAATGGCGGAAGGCAATCCCTGGATCAACATCGGGCAGGCTAAGCTGAGGCTTCAATGGACTGACTTTCCTCTCCATCAAGGTGCGGCTAGCCCTGCATCGTTGTTGGGCAGCCACGACGTATTTGCCGTGGCCTGGCCTAGGTTCACTTTGCACATTCTCTGCCCAGCTGTAGCCTCCCATCCGCGGACATCTCCCAGCTTCGCAAGGTCGGCGAGCTGGCCTTCAACGCGTAACTCGGCCTTCTGGGGCCATCAGATGTGCTGACTGAGCCGCGGTAAGGGGCGCATGTGGATTCACTTCACTATAGCCTCCCTTTGGGGTCTTTGTATCATAATTAGCTAGTCTAGGACTGCGTTTAGCCTATCGATGCGGATATACGCGTCTAGAAAAGAGAGCGGGCTAGCATGATGAACGTAATTGAAGCGATTTGGCGAGCAAGATACCTGTGGGCAATGAGTATTGAAATTGTGGCATCTATCAATCTTTCACAGCTTTGTAAAGTGACCAGAGTGAGTTTCGACTGCAATTACGTCCCACGTACGCGCTGGCGGTTGCCAGGTCGACGTCGGCTAATTTTCCCAAAGTGGGCCGACGAAAACACACCCTTGCACCTCCGATGAACCTCACCCATTGCCAACCGCCAGCACCACTCACTCAGCACTCGCTCAACGCCCCAAGATGCCTCCAAAAATAATATACGGCAAGAAGAAGACATCAGCCCGGCCACGGACAAGCTTCACAAACTTCATTTCGCCAGAGAAGGCTGTCGTGCTGGCCGAGACTGAGAGCAAGAAGACGAACAGCATCGCAAAGGAAAATTGGCGGCAACAGCTTGAAGATGCAGCACAAAGCACGACACAGATAACGGAGAAAGACGGTGATGTGGTGCTACTGGAGGACGGCTTGGGAAGTTTGTGCTTGGAGCAAACACAAACTACTGAAGACGAGGTTGTGCCAAAGAAAAAGTCCAAGTCACAGAAAGCCGAGCAAAAGTACAAGGCAGGCGAAACGAAACAGGATGGCATTGTGATAGACGACGCTCTGGAGCTGAGCATGAAGGCTTTATCGATCGACTACCCCGCGCAAGAGGACGCGGTAGCGCGGCAAAAGTCGGGTAAAATGCGCAAAGTTCTCACAAATCGGGATGCAAATGCTGGGAAGGAATTCGACTGCCGGAAACAAGCTACTCAGAAACGACCAAAGCGAGTGAGTCTGGAGTGTATAGAGCCCAAGAAAGAGGGCGACACACCTTTTCGGAAACAAAAACCTAGGGAAAAGGTGCATTTGAAGCCGCAATTGCCCACTCCCGAGCCAACACCCGAACCTGACGACATCTACTCTGCATATGCTTCTCCGCTCTTGGCACTCAGCGATAGAAGAAAGGTCTTCTCCTTTAAAGACTGGTCCGCAGAGCTGGAACCTCATTTCGAGATTACCAAGATCGCAGAAGCTTCATTCTCGGAAGTATACCGTCTATCAGCTACATCAGCAACGAACGGCATTAGGGAAGAGTCGGTACTGAAGGTTGTCCCGCTGAAGACGCCTCCAGATGCACCTCTTCCAAGTCAACTGCAGACGCGAGCGGTTAGGGACCGAGAGGGCCAGGCAGCAAAAGAGATGGCGGAGCGTGAGGAAAAGGACCAGTGGAAGTCCCATGTCCCTGATGTTCTCTCGGAGGTCAAACTCCTGCAGAACCTGAACCACATTCCCGGCTTCACCGTCTTCCGCGACTTGACCATTGTCCAAGGCCGGCCATCGTCTTCCTTCAACAGCGCCTGGACCAGCTGGAACAAATCAAGACCGCGGGGCAAGAAGAGTGAATTTCCCGATCCAAGCAAGAAAGCCAGCTACGACGACACGCAACTATGGGCTATCGTCGAAATGCAAGACGCTGGCACGGACTGCGAGAAGATCATGGAACTTGGCGGCTTGGGCTCGATATGGGAAGTGTGGGATGTCTTTTGGGGCGTCTGCTTGAGCGTCGCGAAGGCGGAAGAGGCGTGCAAATTTGAACATCGCGATCTACATCTGGGCAACATTTGTGTTCGATCTTCACGGCCGGAAGGTGATACGAAGCAACCGAATATCAAGGACCCGTTACGGCGGAAGCTGCGTTTCACAGGCCTCGAAACAACAGTCATCGATTACACACTCTCCCGTGCGGATATTGTATCTGCATCTTCACGACGATCTTCTGCCCTGTCCTCTGAATCCACCGCCAACTCTTCGTCGAGCCTTGGGGTACCTGAGGCGGACGTTGCGTACCTTGACCTAGATAAAGATCCCGCTCTCTTCGAAGGCGACGCTTCCGAAGAATACCAGTACGAAATATACCGCTACATGCGCGGCGCAGCACTCTACAACAACCCTTTGCAATCAGCTCCCACCACCGTTGTAGAAGCACCAGCGACCCCGCGCCGCTCGCCGCGAAAGAACACGCATATACGTTTCGACGAGGAAGACACTCCGCGTCGCTCGCCACGGAAAGCCGCAGCAGCTCAGATTGATGACGTGGCAACGAGGAAGACAGAGGTTGAAGGAGATGTGTGGAGGGCGTTTTATCCCAAGACAAATCTCGTATGGATGCACTTCTTGCTGCACAAGCTCCTTAACCATCTGAAAAGCTACAACGCCACGCCAGACCAGCTATCAACCAAGGACATCATGCAGAACATCGATCTCAATCTCGACACCGCCGACGAGCAGAAGGTCAAGAAGAAAGCTATCAATTTGTACAAGGTCTTGCTGAAAGTGAGCGAGCGGCTGTGTCCGGTTGCACTGGGTCGGGACGACGGCTTGAGCAGCGTGAAGGAATTGGTTGTTTTGGCGCTTGAGGAGCGGTGGTTGAGAATCGGTGATGTTGCAGGGTAGACGTGCCTGTTATGATTTGAACGAATGGAGACGACTTGCATTTCTGGGTGTTCGTGGGAGTATGGGTATTGCATAGTATAACATGACGTAGCGATGCATTGTTAGCACAGATGGCGTTTTGGTTTTAACGATTTACATTGCGTCACGCGACTATCTTTTTCTGAGATTGAATTGGAATGATGAAAATGCATTTACGATCTATTACAAGCTCTTGCACCGATATTATCTCGTGCAATTACTATTACTTATTGTCCTTCTTCTCTAAACTCCTGGTTCCTCTGAACTATTATTCGTAATCTTCCTCAAAGCAAATCGCCTACGCTCCAAACTTGCAAATAGCACCGCAGTAATCTATTCAGATCAATCAAAGAGAACGCGCCTTATCACTAGCACCCTTTGGACCCGTGAGGCGCGCCTTCTTCACTGGTTGCGACCGCGTCAGTGTTGGCAAAGGCGAAGGTGTACGCGGCGATTGTGAAGCAAGCGAGGAAAGTGGAGAAGACAACGCGGGGCTTGGGGCGCGTTGCTGTACGCCTTCAGCTTCCTCTTTCTCTTCACTGCTCTCTCCGCTGACATTCTTCGTCACAGACTGTGCGGGTGCAGATTTCGCCTCCTCTTCGTCAGCCTGATTCTCGTCGTCGTCTGAGGAGGAGGAGTACACGAAGCCATATCCCCTGCTAGTGGACTCTTGCATTCCTCCACGCTTGCGCTTTGTGCCACGGGCACGCGTTGAAGCAGATGGGTAGTTGGATGAAGAGGCCTTTTGCGAGGCGGCAGGGGTCGTTCGTGGAGTGTCGTCGTCCGCTAGTGAAGGTTCTCCACGGACAGAAGAGGATACGTGTGGGCCTGTGGATGAAGAGGTTATGGACTGAGTGTGGTTGCTTGGATCCGCATGTTGCTCGCCATTCCAAGAGGATGTTCGTGTGACGGCTTTGTCGTCGGCAGGATGAGTGTTTAGTACCTCTTGACCCTCTCGTTTGCTGGGGTCCTTGACACCGTACACTGCTTTCTTGTCGACGATGCCCGAATCATGGTCATCGGGAATAGGAATATGCTCCACTTTGATATTTATGGCCGGCTCCTCAGGCAACAGGCCCTTGTAAATACCCGTTGTGAGCCCGTTCTTGTTCAGCACACCTGCTGCTTTTCGCGAGGACTTTTGCTCAGCGCGCTTCATGGGCTTGTTGAGATATGCCTGACGAACGGCCTCGCGAATTTGGAAGGTCAGCAGTGTGTTGAAAGAAGGTTTGAAGTCCTCTTCGTACAGGAAGAAACCTTGCGGAGGAGCGTCGGGTATACTGGTATGTATTCCCAAGAGGAGGTTCACCAAGTAAGCCAACCGCGCCTCGCTACCGTTGAAGCTCTGTGATGCCGATGAGGGTTGATATCCGTTAAGACATATAGCAAGTTCATTGAACTGATCCATGATCAGAGCAGCCTTTTCCGCTTTGTGGAATACGAAAAGCATTGTATCGGCGAACAACTTGTTAGGAGCTCGCTGCTGGATATACGCCTCCAAGATGGGGAGCCAGTTACTGCACTCTTTGAGTGCGGTGAGGTATAAGTTGTTGTACTTAGCCGGCCCCGGCTTGGAAAGTATGGCCTGGAGCTCAGGATGCGCCATGCGGTGTAGCACCTTCGCCGCAGAGGGAAGATATGCCTCGAACGATTCGGCAATCTTCATGCCCGACATGGTCATCCCCTCGACATAGGCGCGGAGATTGTTTAGTTCGCCCAACTCTTGTTGGTCGTAGTCGCCAGTAGCTTTTGGGTTGACGTGAGCATGCTTCTGCTGTACACGTTGGTCCCCACCGCGCTCAAGATCAATTTGAGTCCGGCAGTCTTCGCAGTGCCCGAAAATGTTTTGATTTGCTACGATTCTGGTCGGGGTATCTACGGACGGGATGCATATGGCTGGTGCACAGTCGATGCCCTGGACAAGATGGAACATCCTTGCGTAGTCGCAAAGCAGGGTATTTTGGGCTGTAGAGGAGATGTCCTCATGCCCGCACTCGGTGTAAAGAATGTGGGAGAAGCCGCACATGTTTGATATCTAGGTGAAGCGGATTAAGGTGGTTCGATACGAAAATTTGCTGAAGTCGAGGCTAAAGTGCTGAAGTAGTGAAGTTGAGTGTTGAGCTTGAAATTGAGTTGATTGTACTTGAAAGCTTTTCCGTTATGCAGCTAAACAGACTAGAGAGGATAGAACTTGGGTGAATGTGTGAGGCTCGTGGGGGTATTACTAGCTGGGTTGGAAGACCAGAAGAACAATAGAGTTGTTGGGCAACAATCAACGTACATTGACATAGTGAATAATCATTGTCCCAAGCCTTTGAAGAAATAATCTGGTCTAACAAGTAACTTCATCTTAACTATGTTGGCATAAGAGAGTTTATACAATGTCTGACTGAATATTAACAAAGGGCACAGCGAGCATTCATGTACGAAATACCGTTTGCTGGGTAATTGTGCTCAAGCAAATCAAAATACCGACGAGTGTCTCACTTGTTGAGTGCATTGACTTTCTCTGCATGCTCATAGACCAGTTGTTTAGCCTCTGCGTCCTCCAAGTAGATTGTGAATCCGTCGTCGTGGTTTCTGCCGTATGAGTAACCCCCGTACCCAAACTGCCAGTACAGATCCGACATCCCCTCCTTGATGCTGGTAGCCTGCCACAGACCAAGGGCTTGAGTTCTCGTGATGTTGGATGTCTTGTTCTGGACCTCTTTTCTCTTAGCATCAGTTAGCCAGCCATACTCTTCGTGCACGACTGGCTTCCCGACTTTGCGTCCGGCTTCGGCATGGTCAATGATCCATTGATTGGTCCACTCGACTGTCTTCGACCACCAATCCGGGTAGGAGTGAAGTGTGCCGAAATCAATATTTTTTAGGGTAAGTTCTTTGTCGAAATCACCCCCGTCATATCCATTGTAGAATCCATCATCGCTTGCCCTATTAAAGCCGCCTTCGCTACCTGTGGTGACGAGATGGTCTGAATCAATAGATTTGATAAACGTGCTAATCTCATCAACCCAAGCAGTGAGTGTGTCGGGTGTACAGTTGGCACTTCGAGGCAGGTTGCGCACGCCGTCAGCACCACAGCGAGGCTCGTTGCCGAGTTCCCAGGCAAAAATAGCGGGGGACTTAGCGTAGCGCTTCACAATCGCTTTGACGTATTTCTTGAATGCCTTCTTGATTTTAGGAACTCGGTAGAACTACTGTGTATCAGCTTGGATGCCGACGAATGTCCACAAAGAAATTACAACTTACATCGTCGTGGTACTTCCCACCTAGGTTCGTAGTATAGACGTCCATGCCACCGTAATCAGCCCAATTATTTGTCAAGGCAACAATGAGCTTGATTCCAGTCTTCTCTGCGGCTGCGACAACTTTGTCAAACGGTGCAAGGTTGATCTCTTGAGTACCGTTGCTCCACCATTGCATGACATTCGGGCTGGGGCCAGCACCCTCACCACCGTATTGAGGCAGCCCGCCTGGAATGGTCGTTCTGTTCCGCTCATTAAAGCCCCAGGTTCGGAAGACATTCAGTCCCGCCTTCTTTGCAGCAGTGAGACCAGCTTCGACGTCCGATGCGAGCTGGAAACCTGTCAGTATGCCAAGAATTAAAGGAAGGTATAGACTTACATCATTGAAGGGGAAGTAGTAGGCATTGCTTCCGGCGAAGTAGAAATTCTTCCCATCAAGCTTGAAAACATTGCCTTTGGTTGTGACGAATCCAGCTGGAACTTTCTTGCCAGTCACTGCAGCTGCAGCACCGGAGGCTAGCAGAAGAAGGGCAGCAACCTTATAGAGCATATTGATAGTCCTTCCGTTCGTAGGAGCTCCAAGTTTACAACGGCGAAATTCTCAATGCCTCCACGCACAATGTCACATATGTACTTCTTTAGACCCTGAGCAAGTCCACGCTATGCCTCTTCCAACACGGAGCGACGATGTTTGAGATCGCCCCGTGCTCGAATGTACTCCCCCGCATTATATTGCGATCGTAGTGGTGAGTCTTTCTCTGATTGGCGCAATTTAACCTTGTCAAGCTTCCGTAGCCAGGGTCGGCTTTTCCAGAACATCCAGAGCCCGGGAGAACCTATAAGAAGTGACGCTGAGCCAAATACCTGGAATTGCGGACCTGCAACCGTTGAATGACCACTTTGAAGTTCTTGGAGCCGAACTGCCTGTACCAGGACGAGGTCTGTTCATGCCACCCTTCCTTGCATCCTTCGTCCGGAGGTACCCTCCGAAAGCACATGTCCTTCTCTCTATGCTGATATTTACTTGGCTGCATTTGCGACGAAGCTGCTCAAAGATACAGGACAGACGGTTTAGAGGGTATTATTGCTGGTATAGCGAAGAAGTGCAAGTATATGGCTTTATTGCTTCCGATTTTGCCCTTTTCCTACATCTTCTGGTCCAGATTGGCATGACGGAACCAAGGATGCTCCAGAGCTTCTGGCGCAATGATCCTCCTTGCTGGATCTAAGTTCGTCATCTTCGTTATCAAGTCCCTAAACTCCATATCCACGTAATGCCACATCGTAAAGGGCTTTCTCGGCCTCTCCGCGTCAAAGTCTCCCGCGAGAGCAATGAGGCGCTCGAAAAAAGGGTTTTCTTCTCCAATATGCTGAAGTAGGCCCTTCAAGTCATCCTCGTTTCCGAAATAAGAGATATGTCTCCGGAGGATATGCCACCAGGCGTCGTCCCCACCCAGCTCTTCATCGCTTATGCGAAGGACCATGTCGTTGAGCATCACGTAGATCGCCACCAGCCCGAAGGAGAACATGTCGGACGGGGTGTTCTGTCGTGCTCGGGCCCAAGACTCCGGGCTTCTCCAAAGCTGGTTTCCGCAAAGGCAACCCTTCAGGTTTTTCCCAGGTGGGAGGAGCACCGCATCCTCCAAGTCTGATATTTGAACTCTTCGGATAGTAAGATCACTACCGGGGATCTCTTCATAGTCAAGAAGGATATTATTGGGCTTGATGTCTACTAAGCTGTTAGCCCCTACTTTTCTTCTAGGGTTCTCCGATGTAAAACAACAGAAGTAGAACTTACCAGTGTGGACGATTCCTCTCTCGTGAAGCTCAGCCAGCCCAGTGAGAGCACTTCTGAGGATACTTCTCCTCGTCTCCTTGGATAAGGGCCTCTGGATTATCTGAAGGAGGTCATCAGCTAGAAAGTGATAGACGAACAGCTCAAAGTCTGGAATGGTATCAACCACCGTCCGCAAGTTGGAACATGAAGCTAAGGGTTTTTGTAATTCTTGCTGATACTCGAATTCCCCTGGTATCATGTTTTTGATGATAAAATTCTCGCCTTCAGCACTTGACATGACAGTTTAGCATGATATTAGAGTCCTTGCGTAGGGTTCAGAAAGTACATACCTCGCCCGGTATACGCATGACAACTGGGTTCGTCGCTCAGCAAGGATTTCCTGGATGATGTATGTTTGCCCTGAATAGCCGCGAAGAGTTGCTCCTATTGAGAAGCCTTCGAACTGTTTTTGTGATGAAGACGACATCGTCCGGTGACGGGAATAGCGGCCGGTAGCTAATGAGACTGTGTATATGCTCTGCGCACGGGAACAAATAATGGAAAGAGAATTGCGAAGACAGGGGGGTAGCCTTAGCCCTAGCATCATTATCGAATTGTTACGGGGCGAGATAGTATCATAGTTGTTGAGGTTAAAAGTTCGGGCCAATGTTTACGAGTTATGTGGCACAACTTCAGGTACACGGTCGGCGGAACTCCGGTGGTAAACTATAGCCAATGATATGTTAGTTCTTAGTAACATTTAATATTTACTAGTAATAGAAGGAAAGTAGCTTAGAGTAATATACTAACCTAGTAGTAGCTAAGGTTTGAATATCCTTTGCGGGATAAACAGTTTTGGTCCTCCAGCACTCCATTTCCATTGAATAATTGATTCATTTATAGATTGATCTGGTTATACCCCGATGCTTACTGTACGAGGTCTAATATTCCTAGCTTACGGTCGCGAGTTCATAGCCGTATTTAAACAAAAGGCATGCCTCACGATCTCCACGTCAAGTCCGAGATTTGAACCATGGTTGAGTGTCGGCTTAGACACACCTATCCGAAGAGCCGTAACATTATGAACATGTTCGCTCTTAAGGCAACCATATAGGCTAGTAATGGTTTAATATTATAATTCTGGGAGTAGGAGCTTCTAAAGCCGTTCCTTCCCCGTGATTACCGAGGAAAGCGCTCAAGGAAATACGTTTGCCAAGGCCTCACTGTGCAGGCATGAGGATTCAATTGCCTCGCGTCGGACTAGATCACGCTGCAGCTCGTCATGATCTCGACCCCCTCCGTGAACCAGTAGGTGGACCGTCTTGACCCCTCATTGACTCTTGTGTTGAGGTGAGAGAAGGACTCGAAACTGTTTGCTACAAAGCTGTTCATGGTCTAATGCTGCGGACAAGTATAACATGTATCACCTTCTCTCCCATTATCAGGCCCGTAGTAAAGGCACTCTTATATCGCCGCCGTAGCAACGGAGTGTTTTGGTCTCACAGGGCTTTCCCCGCTCAACCGCACGAGCCCCTCAGCAAACGGGCCACGGGTCGTCAGCCTTCTACTTACACTACTCCTAGCCTTGCTTTCTACACCTCTATACTCAATTCAAATATTAGTGACATTAAACTCCACTAAATTGTCTGCAACTACTAATCGTAGAACCACGACAATTAGCCACTAGCCGCGTTTCTTCGCCATGAAAGCCTTGACCTTCATCCTCGCCCTGCTAGGCTTACTCACGATCACTCTCGCTTGCAATGAAGGGGAGGAGAAGTGCTGCTCTACTTGGTTTGGCTGCCAATGCGAGGGTGGCAAATGGTAAGCAAGCACTCCACAAACGACATGTGAGACAGATACTGACCTCGTGTCTCCATCCATTAGGGTCAACAAGCTTGGTTGCCAGAAAGGCTCACGCTGTATCATGAAGAATGGAGAGTACATCTGCAGGCGTCGAAGCACGCTTTCCCGCAATGAGGAGGAGAACATTATCGGTCTTCCCATCAGTCCTATCGCCGTGCCTGTGGCTCCTATCGACGCTGCCCATGATGTCAACACTGCACTCGACCACGGCCCTTTCCCGACTGTGAGTGAGCTATCTCCTCGCGCTGAAGCTACGCCGCCTATGTGCTCAAGCTTCACGGTCTTCTGTGCCTCTTCTAATAAAGGAGGCCTGGTGTCTTACTGTGCGCCTGGTATTGCCCCCAAAGTGCTTTATCAGTGTGCTCAAGGCAAGTACTGCGTCGGCGTTACCGATGAGTCGAAACACGTCGCGGATCTTCATTGCGCAAAGGAATCCCCGCCTCTACCGCCTAACCCGTCCCCTCAGCCTACTCAGCCTCCTCGCCTTGCCGAATTCACTATCCCGGTCGATATCGAGGCTAAGGTGTACTGCGAAGGCAAACAAATGATGTACATAGAGCCTGGTTCTTCGCCCGAAGTTGTGCATACTTGCAATGAAGACTACTATTGCACCGGAAATGACAACCCTTGGGAGGGCCGCATTCAACTTTCCTGCCAGTACGAGGACCCCGCTGTCTCCACGCCCGGACATTCGCATCCCGTTTCGACTGCTACACCAACTACCACTCTTTACGATACTGGGCCTCACATGGCTCGAGCCGATCCCGTGCCTTCAGGAATAGCTGCACTCATCGAGAACGTGCCCAATACCGCCGGGGACACTGCCGACACATCCACGGTGATGTGTGGTTTCTGTATCAACATGCAGGACCGTAGATCGGAGCTCACAGGCATCGGCGTGTGTAACACTATCGCCAATGATGGACAGTACCGTGCGTGCTCGAACCAGTATTGCGGTCTCTGCGTTATCTTCAGGTAACTCATCCTAACCCCCGTTGTGAAGGCTTCCGGATATTCAAGTGCTAATTCATGGATAGGGGCAAAGGATGTCAGGGCGACATAGTCCACTGGGGGGGTCCGGGCGCTGGCTCCTTTGACGCCAAGGGTGGGCAGAGTCATTACTGTCTCTAATGCCGACTCTGGATGTCGAGATTCGGTAGAATAATCCCTAGGATTGGAGCGATTGCTCGCAGGGACGGACATGGTCAGCATGTGTAGTACATAATCACGGCTCGACACGACCCATCTTTCCGGCTCTTTGCATCTTCGATTTACCTATGTGGCCTGCTGAATCTGCGGCTAGGATAACGGAGTAGATAAAAAAGCAATGTGACTCGTATACCTCCATGGAGTGCAAGACGTTACTGATGTGCTGTACGACCTTAGCTGTTAAAAGATGTCTAATTGAATATACACACGACTTTCTGAAATCAGGTACGAGATCGTAGTCTCCTGCTGACCACAGCAATAAAGACGCATACGTCGTCGCCAAGGTGCTAACGATGTCTTGGTCGGAGCGGCCCGCCAAAAGTCCGAACGCCTGTCTCCTGTAACATCAACTCTCCACTCCTGCCTGTAACACAATCACATCACATCACTCCCAATCTAATCTCGCTCAACCCTTGGTCAAAAGATGTCCCCTTCTAGATTCTTCACACGTCATTGATATCTCAGCGAAAGTCCTTCCATCGGCTTCGCTGTTATTGAGTAAACCTGGTATACCAAGCCAATGCGGAAGGTCGCCAGCGCCGCCGATCTACTAGCCGGCAATCAATCACAATCCCCGGATCTCACGGAAACAGATGGATTCGAAACACCCCTCATCTACGCGTGACCATTCGCTAGCCACAAGGCTCAATCACGCCCGTTGTTCATGCACATGCCCGTTCGGGAAGCTCACTGGCTGCAGGCGATTTAATTCCCTGTCGATCACCCACATAGCGGCAGGGTGGTTAGGCTAGATTTAGGCTTATCGTGGATAGCGATATTAAATGGCTAGGTGAAGGCTTGCGGAGTACCACTATGCTGGATGCAGCTTCCCTGGCGAGCCTTTTGCCCCGTGAGAAGTTAAGGCGCGTTGGGCAGGTGTAAAGAATGTGTACCGCAAGGCTTCGTGCCTAGAGGTATATAAGAGGTAGCCACATACTCTTTTTCACATCCTGTTTCCTCGCCTATCCTTCACATTATTTCCTAGACTGCGGTCATCATGAAGTTCCTTGGGGTCACTCTCGCCTCTCTAGGTCTGGCATCCGCCGCCTCGGTCACGAAGAAGGTCAGCTACGACGACTGGAAGGTGTACCGCGTGAACGTTGGCTCCAACACAGCCAAATTCAATGACGTGGTGAGCAAGCTGCAACTCGAGACATGGAAGGGCAAGCCCGCGTCCAGCGACGTAGTCGACGTCATGGTCCCTCCCTCGCAAATCTCGGACTTTGTGACATCTACCGAAGGCATCGAGACCAGGATCATGCATGAGAACCTTGGCGTGTCTATAGCTGACGAGGAGAGCTTTGGCGTGTATGCTGGTAATTTACTCCACAAAAGGAATACTATGAGCGTAGCGCTGACCGGGAATATCAGCCGGCGTTGCTCCGGATGCCACCTGGTTCAATTCGTACCATTCGATCGCCGACCATCACCAATGGATTACGGATCTTGTAGCTGCATATCCTAGCAACGCTGAGGTTTTCTCTGCGGGTAAGTCTGTCGAAGGACGAGACATCAAAGGCATCCATATCTGGGGTAGCGGCGGCAAAGGATCACAGAAGGGCGTAGTCTGGCACGGAACCGTCCACGCGCGAGAATGGATCACTACCATGGTAAACTCCAACCCTCCAAGGCACTTCTAAGTTCGAATCATACTAATCCGATTCAGGTTGTCGAATACGCAGCCTACCAACTGCTCACAAACTCCGCCTCCGCCGCGTTGAAGAACAAGTTCGACTACTACATCATCCCCATTGTTAACCCAGACGGCTTCGCTTTCTCCCAAACAAGCGACCGCTTGTGGCGCAAGAACCGCCAGACCACACCAACTGCATCTTGCGTCGGGCGCGACATTAACCGCAACTGGCCTTCGCATTGGGACCAGCGCGGCGGCGCCTCCACGTCGCCCTGCGCACAGGACTACAAGGGCCCATCGGCCGGCGACGGCGTCGAGACCAAGGCGCTCAAAGCCCACCTCGACAGCGTCGCAGCAGGCAAGGGTGTACAGCTGTATATGGATATTCACTCATACTCCCAACTTTGGATGTACCCCTACGGCTGGACGTGCTCTGGCGTCTTGCCCAACGCTGCGAAATACCAGTCGCTCACTCAAGGTGCTATTGCAGCCGTCAAGGCGGTGCATGGTACGCAGTTTACCGGTGGACCCATTTGCAACACGATCTACCAGGTGAGCGGCGATAGTGTGGACTATGCTTTCGAAGTGGCAAAGGCGAACTACTCCATGACGGTTGAGCTACGGGATACGGGGGACTTTGGCTTCGTTCTGCCGGCAAACCAGATTGTTCCGAGTGGTGAGGAGACGTGGGCTGGGCTGTCTTATCTGCTCAAGAATATCTAGAGTAGATAGCTGTAGCGTAGAGACCTCAGAGTTGATATAGATTGTACACCGTTGCCTAAGATTGTGTTGGCGAGAAGAGTGCATTGCTCTCTGAAATTGTGCCTGTGGAATTCTGCCGAACCAGAAAAAGGATGAGTTTATTACGTATACAGATTGACCTCGCCTAGGACGCAAGCCCTTCTCCTTCCACCCCTTTTATATAAATAGATACTCGTTTATATATAAGACAACCTTGATCAAGTTTCTCTAGAACCAAAGTCAAACTAGGGCCTTATTGACACAGCTATTTTTAATTTTAAGTACAGTCAACGATAACAAAGAGTAGGTATGCAACGCACAATTAGAGCTATAATCTCATCTTGACATTTAATCCCCTACACGACGACATGTATGTAGTAAAAAAAATATTAGCACTTGGTTGTACATTAAAAGTCGAAGGTACTTAACACGAGTATATATATAGTCCATCAGAACAGCATGCCCAGCTCGTTGTTATCGAACCCCATTCCCTCAAATCCTAAGCCCTGCGCATTCCACCCCATATCCAATGGCAAAAACCCATTCCACAAAGCAGCTTCATCCTGCGCCTGCGCTCCACCACCACCATGCACTGCAAACTCACTTACAGCACCCAAATCTGTCCACCCAAAATCTCCCATCTGCTCCGTCAACGCAGGACTCTCGCCAGTCCCCACACTTCCCGCGCTAGCCTGCGGACTCTGTTGTGCAGCCGGCACATGCTGCGGGAACCCGTTCTGATCCACAGGGTTAGAAGCATAATGCGTGCCCGGATGGCGAAAGTTAGACCGCGCCGTCTTGTCCTTTCGCGGGACTTTGGCCCAGAGCAGTTTAAGCAATTGACTGTACCGACTGCCTGGGTGCTGTATTCCACTCCCAGTGGCACTTCCCACGGCGCTTCTTTGTAATCTGGCTACTGTTTCGTTGATCATGGCGCGAATAGCGCGATCTTCGTCGGCGGAGATGACGCCCGTGCAGCGCGCGCGGTACAGGAAGACGCCTGCGTACACGAGGTATAGATAGTACCGCAACGGCATGAAGCGTAGCGAGCGCTCTGGGTCAACAAAGTTGTTCACGGTTGTTAAGATGGCTTTTGCGGCGTCGAGGCCTTCGTATATAAATCGCGCGTCGCCTACTGCGCCGACGTTATTTACGAAGACGCGTTGGGGAACTTGCATGCCCTGTCCGCTTCCTCCTCCACTACCACTAGTCACACCGACACCCAAGTCTGCACTCGAAGAACTGGTGGTACTAGCGGGAAGAGCGCGCAGAACCGTGGCCTGGAACGCAAAGGCATTGGTGTACAGACGCAGATAGTCGTATGACATGAGAAGACTGGCTTTAAGGGGCGGAGAGCATGTCAGTGTGCCCCAGACACTTTTCCACCCATAGATAGCCGAGCGGAAGTCGTCGATGAATTTGATGTAGCTGCCGCTCATATGTGAGCGAAAACTAGACCCAGGGTTTGAATACAGCGTGTCATGAACGTTACTGAATAGCTGCGTAAGCTCCAGGTTCGCCTGGAAGATGGAGGCGTAATCTTCCTCGTTGGGACTGCGCGGTATCAGCGAGGGATAGTCTTCTCGTCGAAGGGTAGTGAGTGGTCCTGGACCGCGGGACCAGAATGCTTTTCCGATTCTGATACTAATGTGTCGGTCGGATACGTATGCTGCTGTCCATATGAGTCTTTTGCGGTTGTGATTTGGGTCTTTTCCTTGGTCGACGAAGCGGAAGGAATAGCGGTCCAAGGCAAGGAAGTATGCGATCCTCAGCGCAAGGCCGACGTGCATCCAGCTCTCCTTATCCTCTTCTCCTTTACCAACGTGGCCCGAACCGCGCTGCGTATAAGGTGCCCATTCTGCCAGTAGTAGTAGCGCCTCTACAGCCTCGATATCAGCGTCGCCCCCTGCTGCTAGGTCCGACACCAGGCTCTTCATGTGTTCGGAACAAGCTTCGTATATGTGGGGTTCGTCGACTAGATCCTTCGAGGCGATGAGGAGGATGGCAGTAAGGAGGTGAGGTTCTTTTTTGACCATGTCTGCTAGCTTCGACGTTTCGAATGCATGCGCTGGAGCTAGTGGGTAGTACGGATGATACTGCTGCTGGAATCGCACGAGAAGCTGACACAGCGAGTGGACAGTGAGTATACCCCGGTCTAGTAACGGATATGAAAAGGACAAGGGCGCTGGCATGCTGGATATCGAGGGCCCGACCTGTCCAGTATTCATCCCATTTCCCTCGTTCTCGTTGGAGCTTGTTTCGCCCGCGACTCTGGCTAGTATGCCCAGCGCATCGGAAGGGTTTTGTAGGTTCGAGAACGGAAGCTCGTCGGTATGTGAGGACTCGGATCGCGTCGCGTGGCTATCTTCGTACTGCGGTGGCACTCTGGATTCCGACCATGTGCCCAAGTTTCCCAACGTATGGAAGCTCCCATCTTCAGGCGCGACGACCGTCAACGATGGGAGAGGTGGTTGAACATGCGGTTGCGATTCGTCTGTACGTCTTTTCCGGACTCGTCGCCCGCCGCGGTTGCTGCCACCTAGTACGCAGTCGAGATTGTCGCGTTTGCATCGCAGGCAGGGTATCGAGTTGTCAGAGTCTCTGGAGGGAATTAATATCTGTACAGCAGCCTGGGTGAATTGAATCCTTTGTGGCCTCCTCGAAACACAGCTGAAAAGTAGTCGAAGACAAACATCTCCTCTGTCTCGACAGAAGCAATGGCTTTCGAGGCTATAGCCGACGCATAGAAAGAAGCGCAAACTTACAACAGACATCTACTCTTTCGCTTCCTACAGTTTAGACAGGCAATCTGTGTTCTTTTACTCTTTGACGCGTCGTCATCCTGGTTGACGGAACCCTGCGCGCCAAAAGGCGAGGATTGTGGGGCATTTGTTTCCATGCCTCATCCTGGAGCGAGGGAGATGTCGGTGTTTGAAGATGTCGGGAACTATAGAACGCGGGGGTCTGTTGGCGTCGGGTACTGGCGATTGTGCCGGCATGTCGAGGTCGTCGCATTATGGCCGGTACAAGGAGGACCTTCAATGAATTTTAGTATTGGGATCTTGAAGTATGATATCTATGGAGTAAACTGTGAACTTTCGAGCTTAGGGAGCTTGATAAATCATGTTGTTCACTACTTGCTCGTTCGGCTATGTGTCTCCACCGCACGCGGGAGCCCCTGAATCCACCAATCACGAATTTTTCGCACGATCCGCTTGGCAGTTCCTGAGCTAATAAACCTTCTCTCGAGGAGAGATCTCATTAGGCTTGCTGTGTGACAGGTGAGGATTGATTTACCTTGGTTATAAGATATACAAAAGATCATTTCTTCATCAAATCACGGCTCGGTGGTGTAGTTGGTTATCACGTCAGTCTAACAGCTATTTAGCGCAACACTGAAGGTCCCGTGTTCGAGCCACGGCTGAGTCATCCTTTTTGTTTCTGCCTTCTGGGGTATCGATACGGGTTGCCACACCAAGCTCAAGACATGATTGTGATTTCTGTCGACGGCCATCGGGATACCGACCTGCGGTGATCCAACACCCGGCGCTTCTCCTTTTTGCACCGCCTGCCATGTCTCGTCGCTTGAAGTACTCTGGCCTTCTGCGCCTTTGCTCCCTTTCACGGCATTCCCATACCGTTTTCCATACTACTATCCTCATTCCAATAAGACGAAATGAAGGGAGGAGCCAGAGTAGTAGACCTAGAAGACCTGAAGCGGCGCGCTCGTCAGGCAAACGCACCACCAGCTCCTCTAACCGCTGAGGCTGTCAAGGAGAGCCTGAAACCATCTGCATATGTATCATATAAGTTTGCGATACAGAAATGGTCTAGGTAAGTTACCTCTCATAGAGTTATTGACTATGCTGACTGTCTAGCTTTTCTGAAGACTATCTCGGGAAGCCGGTGGTTGACCAACGATTTACGGAAGCACCGACAATCCACGAGATCAAGCTTTATCTAGAATGGCTTGCTCAAACGTGCACCGGTACAATCGACGAAGCTATTACTGACTCCACCGCTTTCAACCGATTCAACAGTCTGAAGCGTGCAATCAATATTCACACGGGCCACAAATACACCAAGCAGGAGAATGAGGCAGTGAGTACTTTCATCCTCACAGACCTGGTTCGACGAGGTCTAGTGTCAACGTCCGCCCATGCAAAACCAATTGCTACATATCCAGTGGCCAAAGACATCCTATGGTTTCTCATCGCTAGCGACGAGCACCAAACCCTTCATTCTCGCACAAGGGTTCAGCTGGTTTTTCTTATCCAGATCATGGCCTTCACAGGTGTCCGGCCAGGAGAAGTCATCGAGTCAGACGCCTGGCCTAATAGCAACGAAGGCTTGCTCTACAAGGATATTGACCTCGTTTATTCGCAAAACAAGGACAATCCCGGTTGGCGCATCAACGTTAGGCTTAGAAATCGGAAAGGGCATCGAGAATACAAGAAACACGCGTAGGTATCCTTCGTGGCTGGCTTTTCAGATCACTGACTACTGTATAGACCTATCATCATCTTATGTGAACGTCCAAGGCAGCGATGGATGTGCCCCGTGACATGGTTTTTGTCACTCGCTTTCGCAGATAACGCATTTTCAGACTTGGTGTCATACGATGATCTCGAGAACGCAAAGCCCATTGTAGGCAGTGAATTTTACACGGCCAAGTACAAGCCTGGCGTTCGGGAGCGACCTGTTATGCGAAATGCGCTTCAGAATGGAACCATCTCCGATACCAGGATCTGGACCTACGATAGTTTGAACAGCATTCTGAAGAATGTCGGTCAGAGAGCTGGCTATCAAGAGAAGCTCAGTGCGTACTGCTTCAGGAGGGCTTTTGCACGTGCGGTAGAAAGTAAGTGTTGTATTTCGACTATGGGTACAACGCTTACATGTTGACAGAGGTCGCTACAGCCTTGGAGAGAAGAACTTTGCTATCACATAATAGCGATAGTACAGGGCAAAGTTACGTCTCGGGATTCGTTGGCATTGACTGTCAATCAATAGTTCTAGGAGAAGAGCAGCGTCCCAAACTTTACGACGAGGCCAGCTCCATGATGGCAAAGCGGAACTTACTTGCGCCCCGTCCGTCGGGCTCCACGCTGACCGAACCACGGCGTGTAATTGATGTGACTATGTCGTCGCTGTCCTCGGCACAGATGTACCAGCTCAGACGGCGTGGAAGAGCGGAGGCTTACCAAAAAGACCGTGAAGCTTTTCTTGAGGGAACGGGCAGTCCAACAAGAGCAGGGGAAATGAGACAGGCAACTTCTCTCAAACAAACACCTTCTCGCAAGCCGTCTCGTTATTTGAAAGCAGTCCTGAAGTTCGAACTGGAGCGCAAAGCCATCATCGATCTTATGTTTAGCGATGGCGAACTTCATGACGAGCTTTCTTTCCAAACAATCCTTGGACCCCTGATTAAGCTAGCCATGCCTCAGAAGAAGTGCTGGGCATATGTAACCGCAGAACCGACCAATGACGGCCGCTGCAGAGTTTGCAGAACGGATCTGACCCAGTAAGTACATCTTCTTGTTTCTCTGATTTCTTCTAATAGACAATTAGGTTGCGGGCATACCAAATGCATGGCCATTTGCTTCAATGTGCACGCCAACGACGTATCAATGAAGAAAGAGAACGTATGGCAGGCCAGTTTGCGCTGAGTCGTACGTGTCTTTGGAACGATTGCGATTACCGTTTCGAAGGTAAACCCTGCGAGATGTATGTGCGCCATGTCGCACGCCACCTCGACCAAATGAGATCGCATCAGTGCCTATGGGCCGGCTGCTGCAAGAGTTTCGAAAGAAGCAGGGACCTTGCCCACCACATTTCCAAGGAGCACCGCGTCCCCAACGAATGGACGATGCCCACAAGGATGCATTACTGTTATGAGCATGGCTTGTGGTGTCAGTCTGACGAGGTGTGGGATGCGCACCTTCAGAAAGAACATTTCGACGTCCTAGACAGATTCTGCGGTCTTATAAAGGATGGCGGGGTGGTTGGGGTCGCTGCACACTGTTTGTGTTGCCTAGGGGCTGATAAACCTCTACCGGTGCGCTTCGCCCAGTTCACCGACATCGATGTCCTGCACCGGCATATCAAGTCGCATCTGGAGCGGTTTGGCGTCCCAAATATGTGCCCTCATCCACTGTGCGAAGATGCATTGAACTCAGAGTCGGACTTCTGGAGTCACGCTAATGTTATACATGGCGTCACACCATTCGGGCCCCGAAGGACCAAGCGGAAAACGCCGGATTCAGACAGTAGTGAAATGGATCAACGCCTGAACAAGCGTAGTGTCGTGGAGATAGGCACAGTAACAGGACACAGCGACGAGGACGGGGCGACTTAGAGCGGGACGTTTCTAGCGTTTGGAGCTGAGCGTCCGCCCTGAGGTCCTCGCAGGATAACAGGACGGCGGAAAAGCCTAACTGCTGACGACGACGACGTGGCTGGTGGCATGCAGAACTGCAACGCCGCATTACGACGACGGGGAGTAGTGCTGGGGTCTCGTACGACTTCAGCGCTTAGAGTGTGTACCGGTGGGGAGGTCTTGACGCGCGCTGGAAGGTGGTATGTCGATTCGCTGTAGCTGTAGTCATACAATAAATGAGCTATTTTAAGAGTGAAATAACAAACTGGAGGGATCATATATAATGCATTGATGCCTCGTAGCAAGAGTCGCAGACATGACTTCACCACACAACGTACGCAGGATGCCGGTTCACCGCGTAAAACAGTCCGAGCGCCGGCTCGCCAAGCTCAGTAAAAGGCGTGCCACAAGCGCGACGCCTTCACCTGTACGAATACCCTCACCGCTGGCATTGGAACTTGAGCACCAGGCTCGACTCACTGTGGACTTTGAGGACCCGCAAGAGTCGCAGGCATTTCCGCTCTTTCGTTCGTCTACTTCCTGTGGTTCTCCTCACCAGGCATCGAAACCGACGCGCCAGCAGCAACTCGAAGCTCAACTGCACAACATCCTTCAAGAGTTGGACGAAACTTCATCTGAGCCTCTCCCCGCGTATTGTGAAAATTCAGCGATCCCACGCAGCTCCACGCCTACCGACTCTGCTCTTGTGACCAGCAAAGACGTCTTGCCGAATACCGTCTCGGTGCACCAAAGCCAGGTGAGTTTAGAACCCCAAGCCTGATAGCAAACAAAAGCTTACAATCTTAGACCTCGTCAAAGACGTATCACGTTCCCAATCCCCCTCCGCGCATCTATACGCAAGCCCCTAAACTCCAGTCTCGACTCAACACACTAGTTCGAAAGGCGAGTCAGCTCTGCCAGATGTCCGAGACGGAGGTATACATGATAGTTCGCTTTGGTGGGAGCTTCTACGTATACAACTCAGTTGACTCGGCATCAAGGTCTGCTCCACAACCGAAGGTTTGCTTCCACTCGCCTTGTACGGCGATCGCTCACTGATTACAGGCCTACGAGCAGGTTGTTAACGTAGCCGTCGCGGCTAGTAGTAATGGTCAAATGGTATGATACTTTGTAGTGAGAAACCAACATTGCAGGCGAATCATCTATTAACTACATATAACGGTGTATCTAAATGCCCATATCTATTCGTTCGTCAGCTTTATCTCGTTGTTTCGTGAACTCACACACCTCGATAATCCCAGGATTCGCAGCTAGAGAGGTACTCGTAGTGCTCCACTACCGCAACCGGGAATATTCTGTTACGTAGTTTTCGTGGAATTGATGCTGTCCTTTTGAGTAGCTCGATGTATTTCGTAAGAAAAGTCATATTTGCGTCGAGAGGTTGGATGGTGTGGTCTTACAGTCGGATACACTTACAACTAATCGCTAAGTACAGCAAGCGTGTTGCGCGTCTCCCGGAAGTAGCTGTGAAGCATCAGCTTAGGGTTGCAAAGATCCTGTGACTGTAAGCTAGAGTACGTTCACGGTTAACAGTTGTGCTGTGACGCTGAATTTCTATGACTTAAAGATTTTGTTGGCTAATCTAACACTAATCACCCTGAGCTATTCGACAAGCAAGTATATCATCCCTCCAACATTCAGCATAAGAGTAACGGAACCCCTCTGTAGTCTCCCAGAACCACATACTATATTGGTTAAGATCAGCTTTGGCTTCTTCTGAACGAACCAGCTACAAAGAAGATTAGAAGATGGCGCTAAAATATGATGTGGTAACCTTACAAGACACGGCTCGTCTTCACCGAATTGTGAGTCGAGAGGATAGTGGTCTCGGATGCAGTAACAGGGCCGAAGGATTGAGAACGTTGCGTTCACCGCAAATCCCAGAGGGAGAGTATAGCAAACGTCGTTTCCTACGGGAACAGAGGATTGGGGCAGGCCTGACACGCCACCAAGCAACATGATTGAAGAGAGAAAGCCTAGCATGTCTAGAATTAGTAGCTATAGATTTGGCTGGCCGTTCCACCTTAATTTAAGCGCGGCAGTGACGAACGCAAGCGAACCTGCCGGGGATACGGGTCCTGGCCCCAGGACTCGGTACCTATTCTGCGAACAGGCTGGCCCAAGCGCAAGCATGTTAAGCGCTGTGCTTGCAGGATACAGGGATCGGTATTGCTGATCGCTGCACGCAACAACCATCTTCTAGAACCCGTAACCTGATCAAGATTAGCGATGGCACATGATGTGCGTACACTGCACGTTCCAAGCGCCTGCAACAATGTCAGCCAAAGTACGCCTAAGTTGCGGCACAGTAACTCTCCACAACCCATAGGAAGCGTGAAAGTTATCAGGTAGTCGCTCGATCTTCTGCTGTCCCTTCCACCGCCAGTCACCCGCCTTTTCCGCTTAGCTATCAAGTCTACGCAATGAATTCAACCTCATCTCCAACAGCTCCACCCCCCTACGAAGCGGAAGGAATAGACCTTCAATGGAGGATTAGAAATGCCAAGTACCGCTCCGCGTTTGCCACGAACGGCCGGCCCGGAGTAGAGGACTATCGAGCTCATATAGAATGCATGAAAGACTCATTCCTTGAGTTCAGCCACGTAAGTTAAGCAAACCACTTGATAGGTGAAGACTAAACATGCTAGGGTGTTGGCTCCCCGGCAGAGTACCAATGTCTCGATGCTCCCCAGGTTATTGACGTACAATACAGTCAAGCGTTCAGCAATATCGAACGACTTATTTGCGAATATCAGGAATCTCTACGCAAGATCAAACCGCTGCATGAAGAAGACGTTCTCTTCCTTCTACTTGGGCGCTTTTCCCAGTCCTCAGGCGCGAGCGTATACATGGAAGTTAGGAGGCCTGGAGATGTACAGGTCTATGATTCGACCATTTCTGAACCAAGTGTGAGTTGCATTGATCGTTTCGAAACGTGTTAATTCTAACGAGAATAGTATACGGCAGCAATGCAAGAACATCTGGTCCATGCATCTGGCGTCATCAATGCCGAATACTCCCTACCCCCGGCACGAGAACCGTCTCAAATAGATAGCCCACGAGGTAATCCGTTGGAACAAACCTACTATGTTCCAATTCCACAAACGCCATCTGATACGGAGATCGAGTGTTCGGTCACCATGAATTTTCCAGAAATGGTACATTCAAATCCCCATCAGCCCGAGTACACAGACCCCAGCGACACGCCGCCAATGTACATGGATGTGCACAATAATTTAGTTGCACCTACTAATGACTGGGCCGTGCTCCCGGAAAAGCTGCAGCCCCCAGTCTTCCGCGTGCACAGGTGCCATCATCGGTGTGTGGAACGTGGCGGCGAAGATGACGCCTTTGAACTGCCATTCGGGTTTCCCGAAGTCGTACACCATATATACGAGGCTCCAGAGAACGTAAGTCCGTATGTTATGTCCTCTCAAAATTGTACTTACTCTCGACAGTTCTATCATACTGGGTTTTACGTTCATAATCTATTTGGTCATTCCCTGCCTTACACCGACGGCGGTGTCCAAGCATTCGAATGCCACATACTGCCGAATGAAACACGAGTATTCATCACAATCGAGCGTAAAGGAGATATGCTAGTTTACAACTGCTTTCGGGATGAGGAGGTAAGTCACGCTGATACACTCGACTATGGTACCAACACGATAAGCAGGTCTGGGTCTCGTGCCATGAGCATCACGAGGAATGCTCCGGGTGCTGATAGGAGTCCAAGTTGGTTTGAATACAGTACTCTGAATTGTAAACTAGTTACGTAAATTAAGCTTCTTTCATTATAATGCATGTGTACATATCTCCCAACGCGCATGTGGTTGCTGTCCAACGGATGCCCGAGTGAATTTGCAGGCATGAAGGTGAAACGCCCTCCCCCATTCCTGTTTGCCGTTCAGGGGGCAGCACAGCCCCATATGTGACATCGCCCCAGACTTTAAATAGTGCCCCGAACTACAGCAAACGGGTTCACATTAGGATGGTTCAGGATTCTGCCGAATTCTGGAGCCTGTAATTCATGCCATATTACGGGTATTTGGCACAAGGGGAAAACTATAAAGATGCTCACAAATATCCCAACCGTCAGATATACCAAACAAGCATGTGCTGGATAATCTTAAGCTACTCTCCCGAAACCGCGGCAAAGAACTCTCAGGAAGAGTTCAGCGACGAGCCACCTCGATACATGTAATTAAGTCCTCCAATGGCCTGTCAAACTCACTGATTCATAATTGTAGTGACCTCACCTCCGAGCAGAAGCTGGAGAAAGCTGGAACTCTCCCAGAAACGTCAGGAAAGCAGCGCCCACGCCAATTTCGATTAATTGAAGCATTTCATTCAACCCTCGAACGCCTTCTGAAGGCTCACTATGGTAAGTCATCACGCTGCTTCTTACGAATAGAACTAATGAGCGGCAGAGGGTAAGGATAGGCGGCAAAATGACACCCTCGAGTCCTAGAGGGTCCTCACGGGGAGCTTCGAAAGGAGGGGGGCTTCACGGGCCTGTACTGATCGGTCTAATTGTGACAATTCTTATCACCATAGCATTACTAGCCTTCATTGTCTGGAAGCGAGGTCACTTGAAAGCACTGTTGCAGAATTGGCAGGGAGGTTCATCCCCAAAAGACAAGGCTGTAGATGCTAGTAGACTAGACACTGCTTAATACATGAAGTACCAATAAGACATGCCGCATCATCCGGATACCTGTGGCAATCATTGCGTCAATGGCTATCCAATAAAGTGTTGAGAACTCCTTCCAAAGAGAACAGAACATGATAGAGTTGAGTGGCACAACATCGCTTTTCCAGCACACCTCTACCTCATTTGAATGGTCGTAAGCATGGTGCAATGCGCTTTCGATATCCATACAGATAGTGTCGGTGGAGTGACTCCCTTGCAGCTTCGCACTTAAAGAGTAAATGACAGCGTGCGGGGGCGCTCTACAACTGGCTAGAAACTCGAGGATTCGCTCAGCTGACATGACTTGATCCACAAACTCCACTTGGATATAAAGGCCCGTGGACTTTATCAAGATGGCGGAGCATGAAGCGATAGAACGTATATCTGAGTTATTCTGGTCTTGCATCCAGCTCAGACGCGGCGGTGTCCTCGGAAGTTGTCTATCTTGAAAAGCTGGGGCTGGAAGCAATTTCGCGGGAGGGCTTGAGATATGTGGTAGATCGTCCTGGACCTCCGTGTCAAGAAGGTGTCCAAGGTGAGCGTAGATGAGGACGCTAGCATCTCCTGATGAGCTGGCATTGGATGTAGACTCTTGTGAAGGGTGGATGCCGCAAATGTGTTCTTGGGGGAGGTTGGTGATGGTGCAAGGCAACAAGACGAGGGTGGCAGATTTCTCGGTACTATCCCACTCAATCGTAAAAGGAAGACCTTGTCCACTGCTTGACTGTTAGCTCTTATTATTGGGGTCACACATGCCTTACTTACCTTCGGAAGATTTCATCGAGGCCGTATTTCCTATGTTGAGAGGACTCCATTGATCTACTGCTTGTGTCCACCCAGACAGCTTATATGTCCTTAACAGATCCCAGCCAGATCGGGGGCTGTCGGAGCACGCTATCACCGTACCAGGTTCTGCATGCTGAGACACGCTACCCTTCAGGACAACGCTTATGACGCCGCGTTGGTGAATATGCATGCGTGATCTCCGGGAGGTGGACCTGTCGGAGAGGAGCGGCACAACTTTGACACCAACAAGCTCCCACAGCCCCCCCATCATGAAGCCAGGAAATGTTCGCTGCGGCCGATACAAGCCTCCGTATGGGTCACATGAACTAATAGTGGCATAGTAGCCCTTCACACGGTGCTACCAGAGCCAATGATGCAGACAGCATAAGTCAGGTGCCTTGAATAGTCAACCCCAAGGTGGCGGCGCAGGATAACATGGACACCATGGCGGCAATATGTTCATGCGATGGAGTTGAACTCCTCCGTATGGGTTACATGAACTAATAATGGCATAGTAGCCCTTCACACGGTGCTACCAGAGCCAATGATGCAGACAGCATAAATCAGGTGCCTTGAATAGTCAACCCCAAGGTGGCGGCGCAGGATAACATGGACACCATGGCGGCAATATGTTCATGCAACTATTCTTGTATCCCCGTGCAAAGCCAATGGGGGCTTTGGTAGAGCATAAGATGGTGTGCAGCTGAATCCACAGTGCAGCTCGGTGGTCTCGGAGTGCCATGATGCGAGCCACTAGCAGTACGTACTTGAACGCCCTCCAGTGTGCCCCGTGTCGGCATGAATTAACCGTGAGGCCGAAGGGGACAGAAATAGAACCATCGGCGATTCGTCGTAGCCTAAAGCAACATGTATAAGTATGTGCAGACTTCCCAGCGAGGAGAGAGACATACTACACCATGCATTCCATTCTCCCCATGCAATTACCAGATGTTGGCGAGATGATGGAGGAAGCTCTTCATCTTTTCGCTTCCGGCCCTGAAGAGGATGAGAGCACTCCGAGTACCACAACTTTGACCATGTCCAAAATCACCACCATATGGAGCTCCGCCCCGAGCGAGCACTTGATCGAGAAGCAGAGCGCACCATGCACCACCAGCTTAACCATCTCCGAAGTTACTGGCATATCGACCTTAGCACAGGGCCAGTGCTTAGACAATGCGCTCCACGCCCACCAAGTTCCGAAACACGCGCCTGACCACACGATAGCAGAAGCCCTTCCAGATGAAGAAACCAAGACGGATGATATCCTTCCGACGCTGGAACCGTTCCAGCAAACTTCCGAACAAACAGAATCAGTAGCGTGTGAGCAGCGTGCGTTTCGGACTCTGCCAGATCAACTCGAAGCCGACCGGGGTGCCCGATTCAATATGACGGCGGAGCCTCAAGCCCCACAACGGATGGACTCCGAAACATGCCATATCAGCGGCGACACCAAAGAACAAGAGGCTTCGGCGGCTCAGAGTGAATCGATGGGAGTGCCAGAAGATCAGGATCTGGACCATCCTTCTTCCGCTCAGCAGATATCGGATCGCAACGAGGAAAACCGTCTTCAACCATCACTTCCACAATATTCGGGATCTACGCAAGAACATCACGTTGCAAGCACCGAGTCATCAATTGAAGGACTCTCAGATACAGATCGGCAAGAGATTACTGGCAGCCAAGAGTCGCCAGCCAATGTTCATGGCACATTGTCGCCTACCCAACATCCTCCATCGATGGATCGAGACGCACCCGGTTCAGAACCTGGTACTTTTGCGAGGCCAATTGTGATCGACGAGGATGAGCCACTGCAAGATGCGGACAAAGACGTTGCTATGGCGGATCACACTCCTGGCAGCAATACTGAACATGGCGACTTGCGTTGGCCGAAAAGGACGTCCCGTCAGAGGACTGAAACCAACATGGTTTCGTGGGCCTCGATCAAGCAGAGAAATGTGGAAAAGTGGGAAAAATATTGGAAGCCTGTACAGGTCCAGTGGAAGGAACTGATGGAGTTACCAACGATGAATGCTGTGAAGGGTGCGCAAAGATTCGACGGCAGGATGCAATTGGCTGAAGACTGGCTTCTACAAGATTGCTTAAGCCATGAAGACGTGGTGGAGTTGCGCCAGAGTTACTTACGTATCTCGGGCAAACTCCATGAAGTGGTAACGTCAAGCAATGAGAGAAAGCTTGTGATAAAGCTAGGTAAGAGTATGCTTCGGTTCCGGAACATATCACGTCAGTTAACGGGGACGGAAGTTGAGCCTGAGGAGGATGGAAGTGACGAGGACTATGCTGCTGCAATGTAATGATGGGTAGCTCAGTAGAACATTTTTTCCGGATTGATCTAGTTAATGAACATGTAGATTTTTATTTACACCTATGTATCTCTATCCGCTTTCATTTCCACAACAGATCATACGCTCCTGCGGTCATTGAAATGCTGCTCGATATCTCGAATGAACCCCAGACGCCACGATCCCACTTCCTCCGCCTCCTCAATTTTCGGCAGCACGTTGTTTCCCATCGCAATTTCTCCTTCGACAGCGGCCGTGGCTTCGTGATGGACGGAGCAAGGCTAGAAGACCGAAATAAGCTTTAGTTGAGACAACACTTGAATGATAAAGCGTACCTGCTGCTGTTCCTTGAGGCGACGAAGCTCAGAAGTGGCGGCTTCTAAGTCAAGCTTCAGGTTCGCATTCTCCTCGCGATGCTCATTAAGTGCTCCATACACTGTTTGGCATGTCTCTTGCCATTGTGCGAGATCGTGTGAGGCTTTCCAGATTTGGGCCTCCAACTCGGTACGACGAGTAAGTTCTGAGCATAGTCCAGCACGCGTTTGGTTGTGATTCCAAATCTCCCACTCCAAGATCTGCGATAATTGCAGATAGAGGTTCGGCTGAGGTTGTGCGGCGACGCTGTTGCTGGGTGTTGGCAGTGGTGCGGGCCATGTCGGAGTGTGGGCCTCCGCGGTTTGATTGGCTGTATCGTTCTGCCTATGACGCGACCAGACCAAGGAGGGCCAAGTTACTTCTGCTGCGGCCATCGTTATGCGTGGAAACTCGTGTTGGTGAGAATGAAAGAGTATGAATGAGAACGATACGATGAAGATGGACCATGTCTGGGAGCGTTCGCGAGGACTCTTTATGCGCAAGCATATGGACCCAAATCCTTATCCGGATGTACGCCCGCGGTTTCTTGGTCACGTTCCTGTTTGACGATGTGTACAGCCACAACCAACTACGGGAACCGCGCACTCGCCCAAGATCTGGTTCAAGTATACCGACTTCCGACAGTACAGTGGCAGATTCTCGTCATGCACCCTTTTGGAGATATACCCTACTACCCCATTGCGAACTGTCCCATCCGCAACAATGACCTCAGAAGCGATTGAGGAGGCTTTCCAGCGACACCCAAGGCCACAAGTGCCTACCAAAGCAGCACTACTGAAGAAAGCACTGCAGAATGATAAACGGCTTTCATCCCCATCCAAGGAGATCCGTGGGAGCCCATGGAAGACCTTGAACCGGCAAGGAAGTCTGACCGAAGGGGAGCACGTCTGGATTGTGTGCATCCAACAAGGCCAGCTAGTAATGGTGAAAGAGATGAGCCTTAAAGCAGGCCGAAAAGAACTTGAAGTATTAACTAAGCTGTCGGATCATCTACATGTTTCAACTATCAAGCAAGCATTTGAGACGGAGACGTCGTTATATTTTCAATTAGAATACGCTCGTTGCAGCCTTGCAGGAGTCTTGACGTATCATATGCAGCTTGAGGAAGCGCATATTCGCGTGTTAGCTAGCTCAGTAAGGTTCGTTCTCGACTATCCGAGATAATGCCCTAACACCTATAGATCTTCCTCGCTGTGAAGCACATAGCTTTCGCTGGAATCGTGCACAATTCGATATCGATTGCAACGATAAGAATTTGTCCTGGGGGAAAGCCCCTCCTATGTAAGCCGTATTTTGGGACATGCAACGACCAACTGATCACATCGATTAGCAAACTTCGAGGAGGCCATTTGGAATCCAACCAAGCTAACTCCAAACCGTGATCTCGAATGCCTTGGAGCAGTGATTCTCGAGTGCATGAACGGAAGGACAAACGAGAAACTAAAGGATCCTGTGGAGGTGAGGCGTCTCAGAAAATCCAACAAGATATTCGGTCTAGAGAATGGAGAGCAATGGAGCGGCTTCAAGCTCCTGGTTGACTTCGTCGACAGTATGTTCAACGAGGGTGTGCCGGCCATCGCCAAGCTTGAAAAGCCTGTGGGTGCCCCGCTCGTACCTTGAAAGTATGCTAATCATGTCAAAGCATCGGTACCTGACACGAGATCCAGACTATGGTATCTTGGAACCGTTCCCGGAGCTGGTACCGTATGAGTGTTTCGAACATTGGTGCGCAGCAACGGCGGCTAAGTCGTAAGGTGGCGCAGAGATATGAGGGTTGTATAATTTTAGATTTTGGCCGTATGATGATAGGCGCTTAAAGTGTCATCGCTTGTTGGACTTGCTACGTATTGCTATATCTACAGCTTCGTTCCTCCTTCATTTCTCATCGATAACTGTCACATAACCTCATTACCAACTACAATATCAAAATGTCTCTTTTCTCACAGAACTCCAAAGACGAGGATTGGGACAGTATGTTCCACCTCGATCCAACTATCAGTCCGTTCCTTCCTCAACCGAACTCGGAGCACGCTTCGAATGCTGCCCTGGACCTCAGCTGCAACCTAGATTACTTCAATAATCAACCTCTTCTCCCCGCAGTAAACTACCTCCCACAACCGAATTACTACCCCGAGCCAACACTTCCATACAAGCTGGTTTCGGCCGATCATGGCGCTGTCCAAGGTGATCTCATGAGCTCAATCCGGGAGGACTTGGACAGAGTCATCAGATCAGTCTGGAAACTGAGACGTGATACAGACACAAAGGTCCAGAACCTGGAAACGTCAGTTCTCGTGTTAGAAGTCAATTCCATATGCTAACTTGAAGTAGAGAAATCAAACAGGCGTCAAAGGTGGCCGGAAACCTGCGAAAGGACGTTGATGCGATTGAAGAATGGATGAACAAGATTACTGCTTTTCTGAACGCTGCCCGTGCGCCTTCAGAGTTGCCTTGCGATGCCGAAGACTCGATGGCGCGAGGCACCGAAGAGAAGTAAGCATCGTAAACATAATACTGTAGATAGTCCTGTTTCAGTTCCCTGTGTATGGTGTTGGCATCAGAAGTCTGTAAATCGTTAAGCGCATATATATCTAAATAGTAAAGCTATTTTTCTGCGATCTCCAACTCAACCGTCTTACCATGATCTTCCAACGTCCCTTACATGTCCGCTGGACGGACCCAGTTGTCCAAAGGATATCGAGAAAGCCTACACGATCAGAGTTCCTTCATATGAACCTCCTGGAAAACCATGCTGAGCGTTGTGTTACTTGTGAGGCGCTCATATACAATCTCAAGCCGTCATACTGCCGCCGTGGCCGTATGCTCGAGGATGTCATTCTTGGAGAGTTTGTGGTAGGGAGAGATGGCTGGGTGTATAGTACACGGAATGAGCGGGGACCTCCGGTCCGTGTTGAAGTCTCAGCTCAGTATTGGGCAGTCCTCGCGCTACTTGGGCAAGTAGATCGTCGTGTTCCTCGATGCGGCACAATTTAGTTCAAGGCAGACAATCTAAACGCTTCAACCCATGCTTTGAGTACTGTTTCACATTTCCGCGCGATACCAATGAGGAAGTTTGCCCTTATGGTGATTGGTAGGAGCGAATACATTCACGCAGCACAGCCCAGGCCGTTCGCAAGCTCTTACGGTGTACTCCAAAAATGCAGGCGCTTGGGTTATGACCGCGGTTCATGGTTTACCGTGAGGGATCACAGGCCTTACAAGGCCAGAAAACCTGGACCTGCGAACCGCGCGGGTCATTCTCCCGTATACCTTGCACTGGTGCACGGCTAGCACATCCACCCAAATAGTTTACCGCAAGGGATCGCAGGCCTTACAAGACCAGAGAATCTGGAAGGTGTGAACCGTGCGGGTCACTCCCCCGTATTCGCTGCACTGGTGCACGGCCAGCACATTTACCTAAATGGTTTACCGCAAGGGATCGCAGGCCTTACAAGACTAGAGAATCTGGAAGGTGCGGACCGTACGGGCTATGCTCCCATATAAGTTGGACTGCTGCCAGGTCATCATCTCCCTCAGGGTTTACCGCAAGGCAACGCGACAGGACCGCGAACCTTTGACCTGTCAGGTCGATGGGGAAATGGCCCGCGCGGTTCGCAGAGTTCGGCCCTTATGGTCCCTTATGGGAAGCCCCTTTTTAGCAAGGAACGCTTTGACGCTGTAGACAACCAATCGCTCTTCCAATGCTGCGCGCAACCCGTGCGGTCAGCACTCGGGCGTCTCAAGGTAGGGACGCGTAAGCTGGATGCATACCGCACAAGGCTTGCGCGAACTGTTTGCCGAAATAGGTATGCGGTCTTCAGGCGGCGAATGGAAACCTTGCATGCAGCCAAACTGTGGGGAAACAGATGGCCAATGCCATCGCATGCAGCGATCGGCAATCGTTCTCGATGGCGCGATGCATGCATATGCGTAGCGTCTCACCAAGCGCGTAAACGTGGCAAAAGCGCCAAATTGTGTGCCTTGTTGATTTCATTGGCTATCTGGACTCAATAAGCGCCGAGCTTTGGACGCCATCCAGCATGCCCGTCGGCGTGATCAAGGCCCGCAAGCAAAGTGGGGCGAACGACTTGCATTTTTTATCATCTTTCTATCTATAACTACACATTTTCATTGGCCTTGACATGGTCAATAATCTTTTCCATGCCCTTGCCCTCGCCGCTACCCTTGCAGTATCTAAAGCCTGACAGCTTGCTAGCTTGAGTCTCATCGGGCTGAAATACACTATTCTTGAGGTCGATATCATAGGGAAGGGACTTAACAGCCTGCCTCGCACGTAGCTCAAATTGAGGGCTCCCGCAAACTAGTTCGGGTTAGATGTGCATGGATTTCCAAGTGACGACGACCTACCTCCGACAAGCATGTTTCCTGCCTCTGCGCACCATTCATGCTCAATGAGCCATGCCATACTAAGCGTGTCATCTCGCGGAATAATCCTCTTCCTCGGTGTTTCGAAACTGGACACATGACCTTCTGCGGAGCCGTCAGTCTGGTTGGGATAATAGCAAAAAATGGTCAGGATTTGTCGATCGTCCATATCCACCAACGCACAAAGAAATTCCTCTGCCCAACGCATTTGATCTGATCTTGATTAGCAGAGGGGCATACGGGAGGGCTGCGCCAAAAGTACCTTGAGTCTCTAACAACCAAGTCATGGTCAATCTTCTTACTCGCGCAGTCCGAAGGTCATGAGCGAGTAGCAAGTACCTGGCTGTGGATAGATGGCCGGCAATACCGATGCCGCTTGACATAAGTAGGACCTTGTCGTAGTTATTGAACGAATTTAAGCCGGCTCCTCCATAAGGTCCATCGATAAGTGCAGGAGTAAGCGTATTCGCAAGATGTAACCTTCGCGTAAAACCTCTGCAAGACTGTACAAGAAGCATGATTGAGGTAGCTTTACCTTCTTGGTCTACAGTAGCCCAAGCAATCATAAAGGGATGCGATTCCAACATTCCGAGACCCAAACTTCGAAGGTGTGGCAACGTGAGATAAACGAACTGTCCAGGGGTTACGACCCAACGTTTTTTGGTAGCAATTCGTACTTGAAGAACTTCCTCGCCTCGGCCAGAATGCAAAGTACGCGAAATAGACGCTTGACATGGTGGCCCGGACCCAAAATTCTGATAAAGGAAATATAAAAGCCATGATACTTTCTGGAGAAGATAAAGGGAGGCGGCGGTGGAAAGACAGACGATCAAATATGTATCCAGAAGACGCACATGCATCCAAAGTAGGATTAAAGAGGCAACGGCAAAAAGAGAATGTGTTTGAAGGAAAATTTCATACATCCTACGGCGGATGCAGACTATCGAAACCACAGCGATTAAGCCTACAAGCACGTATAGCTGCTTTGATCAGGTACTGCGCATCTAAGCTTCATATTCAACATACCGAGAGGTCTTTTGGCCGTATCATGGCCTTCAGTTCAATTATTCCAAGCGTACCATGGATCAACCCCTCAGCGATAGTTACACGGCCAATCCATCGATGTAAGACGTTTTGTTCCGTATGAGAGAGTCGAAATATTCTATCCAACATTATATTGGATCTACCACCAAGGTATAGGAATACAAGGTTAGTAGCGCAGAGTCTCGCCAAACGCAATGATGCTTCGGCTCGATTGCGAATTGAGAGAACGGAACCAATAATGTTTGCAACGAAGAGGAGTGCAATGATGAGTCCGACCAGTATGGTTACATCCGAGCTTCCGTTGAATCTCGGGAGAATTACTGTATGAACGACCCATCTTGAAACTTTGGAGAAAACATGTTCGCGGGCCTGCGCGGTAAGAAATTGACATAGCCTCCAAAGTAAAAGCAGTCCTAGTGCTGAAGCGTACGAAATGACATAAATGATTGTGACTTGCATGTTGCCCTGGAGTTTGGATGCCGTGCGCCATACGCTCGGTCGGGCTATAAGCTGTTCATCTTCTAGGCTCTGGTCTCAAAGCCGCAGTCTGAAAGTTGTCTGAGGTCTACCGTGACCTTCAACGGTTTACTGTAGTGGTACGTACAGAGCCCATGAAGCTGTACCTTGTTTGCGTGGCAAAGGGTGACGCAAGCCGTGGCGCACACCTGCCGCTAATCCTCAATTCTGGTAGCGCGACATTTGGTAAGGCGAATTTCGCCTATTAACCGCTTTACTTCACTAGCGCGTTTCATACAACGCTGCGCCTTCGATGCGAACTACCGTTTCCTGTTAACGACCTCCTGGGAGGCGCTGCAGGCTCGCGAGCTTGCGCCTTTAAAATGCTGGAGAACAGCAACCAGGACTACTCATTCACTCCGATCAAACACCTTTCAAGCATCTTGCTCGATCAATACTCCCAATTTTCTACAACTCGTTTCTCAATCGCTCAGTCAGCTTCCAGCATGCCTAAAGCACTTCCCCAAGACATCACCCGATCCTTCAACACTCGCTACTCCGGCATTTTCAAGAAATCTGCGGAGCTCCATGCCATTGATCGACGGGTTCGCATTTCGATTATTATCGAAAAGCCCGGCACAACTCCCTTCGTGTTTTCTACAGAAGAGAGCGGCCATAGCTGGCCACCTCATCTCCAAGACTATGTACGTTGTCTTTCCTACTTCACGGCAACTTTCGCGTACTAATGCCAATAGGTCGAAGATCGTGGACCTATCGTGAAACGGCCATCGCATTATCAGAGTCTTAGCCAAGGGATCTCCGAAGGGCGTGTGAGGGTTATTGGGGCTTCTTCTCTTTCCCCGCCGCCACCATATATGCCCGGAACAAGCGACAGAGAGCAAACCCCAGATTCGCTCGCAAGTGGGAAGATGGCAAAAGAGATGCAGGAACCGCCACCAAGCTACCAGTCAAGAGAGGGCTGGTGCCTTTCGGCCACTCCGCCCCGTATAATTCCAAGTCGTACCTCGAGTCCGTTGCCAATGAACGTGGTGCTCCCCTCGAAGATGCCAGGCAATGATCGATAAGTCTGAGAGTGGCTTCTCAACATGCTTGAATAGATTAGATACTTTCAGTTTCCTAATTTACAATGATTGCATCTAATGCTGTGAATCTGAATCTGAATCTGAAACTGAATCGTTAGCGTTAAACATTCCTGGGAATTTCCTTCTTTTCTTCTTCAAAACAGTTTTCGACTGCATATTTGAATCCAGAGGAGCCCAGGCTGGCCTGACAGATGTAGTAGACGTAGCTTCAGCGGCATCCCTTTCCTCTGCTCCTGGTGCTGGTTCTAGAAGCCTCCCTTCCTCTGCCGCGTCTGGCGCCGGTTTTAGAATCCACCTGTCCTTCACCACCTTTGGTGGAGCTGGTTCTATGAGCCTCGCTTCCTCTGCCACTGCTTCTGGCGCTGGGGCTGGTGCGGGTTCTAGAAGCCTCATTTCTCCTACTACCTCTTCTGGTTCTGCTTCTAGAAGCCTTCTCTTTTCCGTAAGCTTAGTCTTCGCATATCTTATGATGCGTCCGTCAGTTGTGCTCGCTGTAATAGTCTCCAGGCGTTCATCATCATCATCGCTATCATCTCGTTGCCTCCGTATGCCCCGAGTAACCTCCGCGATAGTGGATGGGCCCTGCAATGAACTTGCCTTCATGAGAGCTGTTCCTGTGTTATATGCCGCTAAGATGGATGATGGACCGATGAATATAGTGCGGGTTTGCGCCAAACATTGTAAGAGATATGTAGGCGTCATTGGTGTAAGATGCTTTCCCAGGATGGTCATGGCACCGTATTGACTCTGGCTGAATCGCTCTTTAGCCTCGCGCAATAATTTTTCGATGCTAGTGATAGCCTCAAGAGGGTCTTGACTCAGCAGATAGCTATAACCCCGCATGTTGCCATCTGCGGCGTTAGAAAGAGCGATGAATATCTCATGCTGCTCCCCATTATAACACGAATTCCATTCACAAGGTCGCTGGTCCTCTAGTATGAGCTCGTCATTACCTTCCAGAAATTCCACACTCGCTGCCGCAGATTCTATCCTGATCAACGCATTTGACTCAGAACTCTGCTGAACGTCGTTGCGCTCCTGCTGGATTTGTGCACGTCTGGACTCAAGCTTCTTCTTTCTCTTTGTCATATCTGGTGCCTTGTTGCGAAGATGGTCGATAGTCGCCTGACAGGTGCTATGTTTTTGCTTCAGTCCAAGGTAAAGTGTGTTGATCTGGTCATATTCGAAGGTAGCTCGCTCGATGCGCTCCTGAGCATTAGTCAAATTGTTCCGGAGATCGCTGCAATCTGCGGTGTATTTCCCTTCGAGGGCATCACGCTGAAAGAGGAGGCTACGATTCTCCTCGTGAAGGGCCTCATAACGCAGGAGTAATTCCGCGGTGTCGTTAGGCGTCTGCTTTAGCCTAAGGTATAGCGTATTGACCTGATCATATTTGGAGTTAGTGCTCTCAATTCGCTCCCGGGCGATGGCCAAATCCTTCTTAAGTTGCTCGAGTCTATTGTGATCTGTGGTGTATTTCCTTTCGATCTCATCACGCTGAACCTGGAGGTTACGATTCTCCTCCTTAAGGGCCTCACATCGCAGGAGTAATTCCACGGAGTCGCTAGGGGTATCAATATCCATTGCCTCCGTCATTGTTAGGACACTTGTGGGTGGCCCAAAGTCGTCAATCTTAGTCATGTCAGCATAAACGAGGTTTGGGTTAATGACGCTGTACCAACCTGGAACTCGAAACGACCGAAGATACGCGAGTAGAGGTCGTGGCGCATAAGAGATAAACTAGCGTGTTTGCAAGGCGTTGTGTCATATATCCGTGGGAAAAAAAGTATCTCCTTGTCCTTTGCGAAGACTCGTGCGAAGGGACGACCACTTCGCCTATCTATATTCATATGTTCCGTATCCGTGTCAAACCTGTCGCTACTACGAGCGGTGTCCTCTACTTGGCTAGCAACTAGAACTTGCTGGACGTGAGCACTGCTAAAGCGGGGTGTGGTTGGGTTGGCTTTTTGGAGGTACTCTAAAGCAAGTTGAGACTGAAAGTCACCCTCCTTTTCTACTAATGCTTCAGCATGTGGTATCCTGAAACCTCTCGATATCGCAAATCTAGCAAGGTGCTGCCAGATCACTGGATTTGGCCCATTGACACGCGGTTTTGCGCCACTGACCTCTTTTCTTGGTGTAAACGCAGTCAACCCATCAGAGTGACGCCCACAAAATGCCCACAACTCTGTATATGCAATCATCGCCTTCGTTTCCTTATTGATTGTTGGTTTAATCTCCACATCCTCGGTCTCCGAGGCCTGTACCAATGTTTTGGCAGGGGCAAAAAACCGTCCCATAAGGCTCGACCGAATGGTATTCTTTAGGTTTTCGCCTAAAAGTTGTCTCAGAGCCTCGCATATTGGCTCCAGATACTTTAGCATCTCGAAGAAAGTTCGCAGAGATGGAATGGCACCTGGGAAGGCGCAGATGTTGTCGACCAAATTCTTTCGTATCCGTTGGTCAACTTGCGAAGGAAATATGACCCTGCGTTCCATAAGATCAACCACTGATTCTTTGTCTATATCTGAATATTTAGGTACCAGAAGTTCGAGATTTTGCACGGTGGCCGTGTCCACAACCGAGAAAGGCAAGGTCGTTTGTCCGCAGCGTAGAAAGCCTTTCCAGGCCTCTACGACATGGCTCAGATACTCTATCATCTCCTAGGAACGTTAGAAACCCAGCGATCTATCCAACGCATATAGAAATATAAGTACCTCATCGCATTTCAATACTAGAAGTCTGTGAAGGGCCCCAATCTGCACTTTCGCCCACAGCCCTGGCATGTCTATAAGTGCATCAAATTTTAAAGCAAGCTTAGTTCTTTTAAGTAATTGGCGCAAATCTTTGGGCTTGGATTTATCGAGGCGACTCCACCACCGATTTTCAGCCTCTTCGTTGCCTTCCCTGTGGTATAAGCGTATCTTGCGGAAGATCTCGCCATCTGAAGGCTTCTCTTCGTTGGAATACGACTCAACGATGCGGATGAGAATTGGTTTGGGTGTTTCTGTTATTTAGTCAACTCATTTCTAAAGTCGTATCATCATCATGACTTGCCATAAGAATAGAGTCTCACGATCCACCATTTGTCGTTCTCATCTAAGAATCTTTGGGCCGCCTTGATACGGTGCAATCCTGACAGACATTTTACATTCCTTAGATCCAGTACCGGTGCATCCTGTGGCCATTGAACACTGCGCAACTCATCTAAAGTCATTCCACGTGAGGCTAAAGCTACGCTTAGGTCGTCATCAGGAATAACTGCATTAACCACATTATCCTCTTGCAATCGGAGACAACCAACTCTTTCGAATATCTTTTCTAGGCGTTTAACATTTTGTTGCGCGACTTCCCGGTGTTTGTTTACGGCTAATCGATGATCGAAGTCAAGCGCATGTAGCGCCACTCGGACGAGGCCTCGGTAACAAGTTGATTTTGCCGTAGCGAAGTCTGCATCAGGGATATCCATAGCGTTTCGTACATGTGAGTATTGCAAGGTCAATGCCATTTAAAATCGACAAAGACACTCGAAGGTCGAACACAGGTTCGAGGGCGCATCGCGGTGACGGTGAAACTGTTGGCTGTACCCGGGAACGCGAATCGTGATCTGGATGCCCCAGTAGACAGCATGCCAGATAACAGCGTCTTCGAAGGACATAAATTGCTGCGCATGGGCTGTTCTCTGTTCTTCACTTCACCATGAATCCTTTTCCGTGGATATCATTCGAGACTTCCCCAGGCGAGAATAAGCTGACGTACCACGAAATTGCCGCTTGCGACACAGGTAGCTCTTTGGAGAATAACTGCAGGCCATCTTTTGTGACATTTGTTGGAAAAAGGTCGAAGGCTATTCTTCTGGACAGCCTCCTCGGCGGCGACGTCTCGGTACCCGTACATAAAGAGGTGTACCTCTGGTCCTCTGCCCGATTGCGAAGTGGTTGTGCCCCGCTTCTTATCATTGATTGTGGTATCCAGAATCCACATCTCCATCCGCCTAACCCTGCACTCGCCCAATCTTCGAGGCCGGCAACATCATGGCTAATCTCGAAAGCTATAAACATCAACACGACATTATGTGGACGCATCTTCTCACCTTTCTCTAGTGTTATTTGCTGCTTTGTGAGCGACCTAGGTGGCCCCAAAGCTGTTGCCAAATGGTTAGCTAGCCAGGCGACTACGCTAACGGCTTCCGGTCTGCCAACGGTGCCCCGCATACTGTTAGTTGTGGAAACTACATCCGACACGTTTGACGAAAGAATCGCTGCGAACAAGGCTGCTATCCTACTTTTCCAGGCTATGCAGAATATGAGGAGCTACCAAGATCCACTTAACATACAGCGCGACATTAAGCGACAGTTTGGGGAGATCGAAGTTCTTGGTCTACATGCCTCTAAATCAACGGGAGTGCGTGCGCGAGCACTGAAAAGACGCGTGTTGGCCATGTCTGAGGCATCAATGCAGGAACGTGCTAACACTTTCACTCAATTCAGTTTCAAACATTTTCAAACACTCACAAAACAGGCTATAGGCAGCCTAAGTAGCGATGCCTCTTTTCATTTCTCTAGTGCGTCGCGACCCCACGGGTTTTCAACCGAGCTTCTCGAGGCCTGTCTCGTAGACTTCCTAAGTCAGCTTCCTAGTCAAGCTTGGCTTTGGCATTTTGCTGCACCGATTATAGCTTCAGCTTTGCTGCTTGCTAGCTATCCACCAAATGCCCATAGTAAGTTCGCCGTCATAGCCTAAGATCTATCGCTTTAATATCTGCAGACTTCGCACCCGAATATCTTTTCGAGGAGCTTTACGCTGCTTCATGCAAAGCTGCCATTTCTTCGCATACTGCTCATGAAGACATTCAATTAAAATTCCTGTCTGCTACCCTTCACGAATTTCATGATGTATTCACACTCTACAACAGCGGCAAATCGTCTGCGAGCGAAGTACACCGCCAAATACTTAGCACGCATCACCCTCACCTAGCTAACCTTAAAAGCCACCGCTCATGTTTCTGTTGCTTGTTGCGGATGCCAGAGAAGGTTCTTGCATGTGGTCATGCGCTATGCGATCCTTGTATTAAGATATTTGGTCGTCGATCGCACTCTGAGAAGAATACCTACGATATATCAGAATGTGTTTTGTGTGGAGTGAGTTACCAAAACTCAACCTTCCGCTTCGTCCCCCCTACGGCAGGTATACGCGTTCTCAGTCTAGATGGCGGAGGTGTACGGGGAGTGGTCCCTCTTATGTTTCTCGAGCATCTTGACAACTCGCTTGCCCCGCTTGGCTGTTCAGTCAAAGACCATTTCGATTTCGTGTGTGGCACTTCAGCTGGTGAGATCTAGTCCACGGTATTTTTCCTAGGCTAACAAGAACAGGTGGGCTAGTTGTTATTGGCATGTTCTTGCTGCAATGGGGTGCCACGGAATCTATTCAACGATTTGAGCAAGTCGCTGGCAAAACTTTCGGCAACAAACGTAAAGTAATGCTTGCTAGAACACTTCAGCTACTAGTAGCCTACCTTGAGGATGGACAGTACAGTCTTACTGCAGTGCAAGAAGCATTTAGGATAACCCTCGACTCCCCGATACAAATGTTTAACCCATTACGCAACGACACCAAGGTTGCAGTCACAACGACGGCTGTTCATGACTGTTTGCCATGGCTCTTCACAAACTACAATGGGGGAATGCGTCCTGATGATCTCGGTGAGCAAGATGACACCCTCAGATTTCCAGTCTTATTATTGTAGGGTATGACGTTGTCCGTGCTGAGAAAGCACATAATGACATCACTGTTAGTGATGCGTAAGTTATGTCTTCTAGACCATGTACTTCAGCTAATGAAATAGGGCCTGTTGTACATCAGCTGCACCTTGGTAAGCATTATAGGATCTCTAGATTCTTCGCATTAATCGCGGAGTAGGTTCTTCAAGCCCCAAGCGATTCGCACATTGGGAATCTTCCAGGATGGAGGGCTTCAGCATAACAATCCTGCGAACATAGCACAATGGGAAGCAAGGTTTATATGGCCTAGCAAAGTAGATCCCGATTTCTTTCTCTCACTTGGAACTGGCACATCTTCGGCGTCCGCAAGTTTTGGACCGCCTACCAGTCTCCGATTCTACAGGCGACTATTCAGAAGCTTCGAGCGCAGCTTAGACGGCGAAGACGCCTGGAAACGCTTCTACAATTCGATTGCACTAAGTTTACGCCCCAGATATCATCGTCTCAATGTACGCTTCACGGGAACAGAGCCCAGACTGGATGATGTGCTTCAGATTCCGAGTCTGAAGGCGAGCGTATTGGAAGTAGTCCAGGAAGACAAGATTGCAGTAACGGCAGTCTTAGACGCGATGATTGCTTCGATGTTTTACTTCGAGCTTGATGAGCTTCCCCAACTTGAGAATGGCGACTACATGTGTACTGGCTACATTTTCTGCCGTCTTGACATCCCAAAAGAGGGCTTACGACACCTCTACAGTCAACTTCTAGATACGACGTCGTGGTTTCTGATACAAGGGACTCCTGTTCGTTGTGTGCAATCTGTACCTAAAGGCCTCCCACCGTTCAAGAGGCGCATCACATTCCGCGCCGAATCGGTAGATGAACTCATTGCCTTCTCTATCCGAGGCATTACAAGCACACCAAAGTTACTCAGCGGCTTTCCGACGACTCTGGCGAAGCTCATTGAGGATCAAATGCTAATAAGTCCATTCGGCACAATCAACCATGTATCAAACGAGAAGCCACTACCAGCACTTCCAAAGAAGCGATGCAGCATCTCACGACCTCGCCAGAGTAAACGTGGTACAAAACGTGTTCGTTTTCAGACCCGGTGTAGTAGTGAGATCGCTGTATATAGATGTGAATAGATGAAACGAATTATCCCGCTCTTAATCATTCCCATCTTGGCGTCCGCGGCGCGATACTAGCATAGTGAGAAGGACCACACGCTGCCGTCCCGTTGCGAATTGGCAGGGGCACTGCTGTTGCACTTCCTAACTAGCAAATAGTAATACCTATACACTATAACTAATCCTGACTGTAGTTTAGTTTTTGTTGATGCTAGAGGGAACGTCCGTCCCTGTGTAGCGAGACAAACCCTGTCCTAAGACAACGTGTAGGTACCTTAACTATACGCGCCTGCTACGGGTGATGCGCGTTAAGAGGTCGATATAGAGCAATTAGATACTATAGAGTTATTGTGGAAGGCCAGACAATGGCGTTGTCTCGCTATAGGGGCTGTGATAGACGTTAGTAGAATTTAGGTGTATGTGGAGGACAAAGCATAAAGGTCGCTGGCGTGTTCGTAGGTAGAGTCTTCTAGACGCAGTACTAGTTAATCCATACTAATACAAGGTTTGTATAATAATACGGTTCTATTAAAGGTGTTTATACGAACGTCTTTTGCCTATTGAGTTCTAAGCGCCGCTCGGAATCGACTTTCGCGATTCGTAGACGATGCCATGATCGATAGATGTGGTGGGAATATTTTGATATCAAGAAGGATTTTCAATTACACGCGTTATACGTGGAGCCTTATGGACTCATTACCTTCGCCTGGAGCTACATAGACCGCATGCCGCTTGTCAACAGGAAGATACTCATAGAGCGTAATCCATTCGGTGCTAGAAAACTGAACCCTTGCTTTCCTATATAGTTCCTCGTTTTCTGCTTCCGACTCTTCGTTAATAGTTTCTAGTTTGGAATCGGGTATTTTCTGTCGCCTGAATCTGGGGAAAAGGTTTCTAAACGTCGTCTTGGGAGGTGGGCATGGTGGTGGGGGTAGGAACAAGGTGATGCCCAACTCGTTTGTACTTATTGTATCGAGTTGAATTCGATGTCGTGACATTATTCGAGCCAATCGTTGGATCCTTGGGTAAAGAATATTACCCGCTGCTTTGCGGCGGAGATTATCGTCGTCTTCGCAGTGCTGAAGTATGTTCTTCACAACATCAGTGTTGGGGACAGCAAATCGGATAGAGAGATCGGTGTGCCGGACATAACTAGGATAACTTGGGTACATGATGAGAAGCAATGCTACTTTGTCTCCACAAAAGACTCCTTTATCTCAGTTCTTCGCAGATACCAGGTTTCGTCCCAACAGAAACAGGAGCCGGAGCCGGGACCGGGATCAGGATTATATTTGCGTCCCAATCAATGTCTCTGAATACGGTGAGAAGCGACGGAATGCTGTTACTCGTAGGATATTCATGGGGCTTGAAATGATTTAAGATGGTGCCAGGAGCAATGCACATTTTACGACAGCAGAGTCCCATCACAATCATAAACATCCATTTCTTCTTTCTAACAATGCCTAGCATCTTCAAATACCTATCTCTCTTTGCAAGCCTTGGAATGACCCAAATCATTCCATTCGATCAGCCATTGCCAATCCTTACCAGTCCAGTGGTTCAAGTACAGGCTGGGAAGGAGCTTCATTACCAGTAACACTACCCTTGCCAATCGAAGAGCGTTCTTACCATGAAGTAGGCTTACGAACTTCCGAAACTCAACTTGTCAGGCGACATTAAGCTTTCAGAATGACACCTTCTTGCCAGTCTCTGCTTTCGCGAGCCCAAGGAACTGTGCAGGCGATCAAGTAGCGAAGCTCCGAATCCCAGAAAGCGTGCCAAACGGTGCGGCTGCTCTTGAATGGTGCGTGCGACTCGAACTCTTGGTTAGGCACAGGCACATACTAATGAGATCAGGCAGTGCTCTGGTACTGACGGTACTGCTGTGAACCTCATGGTCATCTCAGGTGGAGATGGAGACTGGGAACGATTTGTGGCGGAAAGCGAAGAAGTTCGCATCAACGTGCAATGTTGGGCAAATGTAACAGGCGCCATCAGCCCACCGGGCAATTCATCTTGTGTGTAGTGTAGAGAATAATATACTTTTGTATTTAAGTGCATATCGTCGAGCTATCGATGTACACAAGAGTGTCGGCGGCGTGTGTGTATGTGTGTGGCTGAGTTTGTCGCGTGGTGCCAAGGCCTGCGATCACGTCACCTCCGGTGGCACATGCCTGTAGTCTGTTTACCTCTTCGCGTTCCCGTCAACGCGATCCGTAACTCGTGAAACGGACATTGGCCATAGCATGCTACTGGGCCCGCGCCCGCGGAGAACGTTACCTTCCCGTGCGCTGTCGCACCCTCAACGTATGGTCATGATCGCGTCCGATGGTTACTAAGCGTGTCGAGGGACAATTTCATTACTACGTATCTATCTACAGAAGGGCTAAAGCTAACAAGAATCCTAGTCCAGATGTCTTCCTCGCTCCACCGGAACTCAGTATAGGAGGAATTATCGCGGCCGAACTCACGCCTACCCTAGCAGGTAAGGTTCCGGTTGAAGGAATAGAGGTGCTCCTGTTCGGGGCCATACCAACTGCCGGCAGTTGGCAAGATGTCTCTGTCTCCGTCGGTGGAGCGTCTACAACTGCCAAGGCGTTCTGGAGAAATTGAGAGTGCGTGCCATTGGGGTTCAGGCTGAAGACCATACCCGCTTGACAATGGGAGCGCTTCACCCTTTGAGCGCAGAAGAACCATCTTGGAGAAGGATCGGTCACCTGGTATTCTAATACGAATCTTCCACTCATATTTGTAGGGTTGAACTGTTCGAACCCAGAATCGAACATCTTGTTGCTTTGACAGGGATCCCAGAAATTGCTTTGAGTTAGACTATGATTCAATCCTAAAAAGTCGAATGCAATCATTGAGCCAACGGTAGCGTTCAGCGACAATGGTGAAAAGACCAGCTTGCCTGCATCGCCGACGGTAACTGTAGCTTTTGGTCGGAGGGATTGGGGTATCGTCCCAGTAGCTTCCACTGTTTGAGTGACATTCCCAGCCCAGGATGAGATTGATCCCGGAGTGTCAACGACTGATGCATGCGCCGTGTGTGTAGCGTTCCAGGTCCCTCGCAGATGTGGTACAAACGCGTCAGTAGTGGGAGTCTCCGTAGCAATGTGTGTTATGTTCTTCCACGGTAGATGTGATATGATCCTGCGGTTCAGAAGGTCAGCGCCGCTTGGTCCTGCCTGCTTTGCGTGTGCCGTGGGTGGAGAAGTGGCTTCTGAATTCCCTGTAGAGGCCAGCAGAAGGGTGCTCAGAAGGAGGCAGTGGACTGTTCGGAGAGGAGCCATCGTTCATTGCGATCAGTATCCTGGTCTAAGCAAAACGTTAAATAGCACGCCGCTTCGTTCAGGTGCTCTGTTTGCGGGTAATGGATACGGAAACATGTCCGCAGCATTGATAAACGGAGATCAGTTTCAGGTATCAGCTCCGTATTATGTTTCTATAGTACGAACTCAGGAAACTGTTTTAGGACGACCTCATATAAAAATTCTCCCGCCCTACGGCAGATATCTCTCATACCCTCAACGACTTCCTCCCGTCATCAATTGAGCAGGCCTCAATCAGAATCTTATATCACACTATCCGAAGACTTTCTTCCTCCTTTACGCCGACATGACAACCTCAATCGAGAATCGATTTTTGGCGTTGAAGCCAAAAAGCAAACCGAATGCCGAATCTCCTTCTGAAGGTTTCACTTACCCAACGCTTCCGGTTCCTTCTCCATCTGCGGCAAATGAGCTTGAAACAGCAGCTCACGAGTCACCCGCAGGATCTTCGCAGCAGGAAGGCCAAAGTAAGAAAGCGAAGGGGAAGCAGCCCTTGCGAGGTTGGCGCGACAAATACAAACCAGCCTCCGACCCAGTAGAACCGGAAGTGCACCCAGAATGGAAGCCGGAAAATGGCGTTGGTGAAGAATATAAAGAAGATGCTGATGAAGGCGCCAGTAGTGATTCCGAGCACGAGGGGGTGGATGCATACCAAGGACGAGTGAACAACGTGGAAGCTCGCAATGCGCCAAAAGAGGATCGCCCTAAGGAAATCGAAAAACATTGGCGTAGTCTATACCACCTTGTCAAATTCTGGTGGGGCATGCATGGGAAAGACCTGAACAAAGACCAACAAGCGACAATTAACAAGATTCAGGATAAGATCCGTGATGAGTGTAGGAAGTATGCCGAAATTGAGCTCAAGGAGCCGTCTGAAGCCATCAAAAAGCGCATGACTGAGAAGATAACAGAGATTACAAAGCGTGAGAACAAAAGGAATAAAAAAAGCCGAGCATCGGAAGCACAAATTAGCAAAGACGCTAATAGTATTATTCTCCAACAGATCGTACAATCGCTCTTGCAGAAGTACAGGTTTCCAGACAGTGCTCTTCATGGCCAAATAGCGGCGATGTCTACAATGCTAGGGGAAATTGAAGAAATGGAGAAAGACCCTCCTGACTCTGAAGATGCTGAGCTGATCGCGCATTACGAAACGACTCTTAAAGATAAGAAGAAGAAGCTTCTCAATGGGTTTGCAGTTTTTCCTGAGAAGCTCAAGGAGTACAATATCCCGGTTCAAGCCATAATGTCAGATTATGCCAAAACCACATTCGACACGATTACGAATCAGTCTAAAGAGTCTCAGGCAACATATAAAGACGCTGTCGCTGAAATCACCAAGCCCACGAAAGATCAGGAAGAGATTTGGGCGGTGGCAGCTCGTAACATGTATGAAGTATACATGATCACGACAGAATCAGACATGCTTACGACAGACAACGAACAAGAAATAAAAGCCCTTATGGACGCTCTTACTAAACAGGATAATCAGATTCAACAAAGTAACACCAGCAACGGTGTCCCCGCGGGAACGAATTGCCTTCCCCTCTCCCTTCTACATCAGCTGACGGATGGCTGGGAGAATAACAAACAAAAAGAATTAAGAATCACCGCTGGAGATTTCGACAAGTACCTGAAGAGGCAGCCTCTAGCTAATAATCTGGCTAAAAGCCTCGAAGTTGATAGCCAGTCTGAGGTCGAACAGTTGTTGGGTCCATACGTTTCAAAGCAGCCGAAAGCCATAGAACCGAACCCGAAACCGTCTCCACACTCCCAAGTGATCTCGAATACGCGGAATGGAGCAAATCCTCCTGCTGTAACTACAGGAAATAGCGCAAACTCGTCATCTCCGACGAATAGTGTGAACCCTCCATCTCCAACTCCAGGGAATAGAGCGAACGCTTCTGCGACTCTTGAATCACTACTCGCAGCTCTTGATGGAGATGATACGCTTGAGATGTTCAACTATGAGGACGGTATGACAGAGTTTGGCTCCCTAGTGGCGACACGGCCATGTCGAACGGGTAACGTAAGGTTTGATCGACACATTGTGAACTCCGGTACTTCGAAATACCCATGGCACAACATGGTGAGGGGTTCCGAGCTTTGTCCTGGAGGTGCTGAGGCTCTTTCGCAGCTAGAAGGCAAAGACACGATTTTCGACCTACGCGCGGAGAAGAAGCGGATTAAGGAAAACCCCAGCTATGCGAAGGTCAAAACCGGGCCGGCCGCAATTGTTCAGTTAAATGGACCCAAGGGACGCCGTGAGATGTATACAAAAGTAGAATATCCCGATGGGAGAGTACAGTGGCCCAGTAGGACTGAATATAGTCAGCTCGTAGGTAAGAAGTGTGCAGATCGTTATTTCGAACTCATGGAGGCGAGATGGAAGAAATTATCTGCATATATGTGTGAATGCCGACGAGAAAAGGTACATCCTGACACTGGTTTGGCATTGGAAGAGAAGGATCGGCAACTTCTGCCATGGTTCTTCCTAGGGGATGCGCCATCCACGATATCACTTGGCAGATCAGCAGACGAGGGGGATTTTAAGGCTGAATTGGCGGAGGAAAATGATCTGCCGACACGATGATTTTGATGTACTAAGTGTAAGAGGGAGTTTAGTGCCGAAGAAGCTTCTCCCTCACATATCGAATTAAATGCTGCTTTTGATGTACGTCTGCTACCATCCAATCTGCGAGATGTCTTTCGGCAGCGTCCCAAAAGCTTGGGCAATGTAAGCCACCAGGCAACGGGGACTCGGCCAAGTACACCCCGTGCCGTTGACATAAGCGAAGGACCGCTGTATTAAAGGTGCAGTCTTCCCCAGGGCTGATACGTTAACATTTACCTAAGTTCCACTACTCTCTATAATGGAATCCTCCGGTTCCCCAGCAACTGCATCCACTTACGCCGGCGCTGACGCCAGCCCATACCAAGTGTCGCACGGTATGCAGCGTGATTCAATGGAGCTCTCGATACTAACACTCCTATAGCGCCAGTTCACGAGGGAGCTTGCCCTACTGACGACGGAAACGATATTCGCCGCTTCGAACTTCTTCGATCGTTCAGCTATGTCATAAGCTGTGTCATACTGAGCAATATGTTGATTGGATCCGCGTTCATAGTATTGGTACAATACGTGTTCCCTTTATGGCACCAAGACGAATAGCAGTGGGCAGGAAAGCGGTTCATCGTGGGTGATGGCGAGTGTTGTGGCGCAGCCAGACTTGTAACTGTCGTCGTTTTGCTGTTAGCGAGGTTTCTGTTTCCTGAACCCAGATCCTGTATCGCGATGTTTGGTTCACACCTTTATACATTAAATACCTATAAGCAGGCAGCTTTGATTAAACATCAACAACAACATGGATACCTCTTGCGACTATCGTGTTTTCGACTTTGCCTCATTTCAATCTTCCCATGCTCAAGAATTTCAGCCCCTGAAACCGCAGCTACTCGAGACCGACCTGCATGACCTTTTTTCCTTCATCTGGGCTCATGATACACATGCGTTTGACCATCCTCGATACCGCATTCAAGTCGCGTTTACTATTCTCTTGGCATTTCATTTGGGGTTGCAGCCCAAGGGTGCTTTAAGGGAGGGGTTTTACTACAAAGACACCAGAATCCTCTTGACACGATACGAGAATGAAATGCGAGCATTGCTTGTGATATGCTTCGAGAACCGAGAGAACACGAAAACATCTCAACGGCGATGCAGGTGAGTTGAGCTTTGGGTAGAGAAAGTAACACTGCTAATCAAGAGTGGAGCAGAGAGATGGTTCTTGTGGATGATCCTACTAAGCGCCATATGTGTCCCGTTACTCTGTTCCTTTCAATGGCAATTGCTGATGGGCTGATTGATGCAATTCATCAAGCTAGTGAAGTTCAACAATGGCCCAATTGGACGCCTCTCCCATATAGCCCAAATCTCGTTCATTTGCCTGTACTCCGACGGACTGGAAACAAATCTAGGCTCATATCATCGTGTGAGATGAAGCCAACTGTGTTGCATAGAATTATGCATGCACAGATTCAAAGAGCAGGACATGAGGAAACTTTTGCGACCTTACTTCGGGATGTTAGAACGGCTACCCAGCGAGACAAGCGACTAATAAATATTGACTTTGCGCCGCTCTTGATTGGGCGCGGACAGGGTCAAACAGTGTCTAGATTGCTAGGACCTCAACTAGACCTCCGCAACTTATGTCGGGATACGAAGACTTTTGCTACAGGTTCATCAATCCTCAAGGATCCGTTTCCGCTGCCCTCAATTGTACAAATTCAGCTCAGATACGATGTAACACGGTTGATGATAATCTCCTGTCTTTACGAAATTTCCTGCAACACAATCCCTGATATATTACGGCCATTTATCAAAGCCGCTGAATCCGTTGCGTATGAACCGTACTACTTGGATGCTGAGCCTGATGCACAAGGGGCTTGTAGATGGTGCGGTATTCGATTACCTCGGTAGGTCCTTAATTATTCACCATTCTAACGAAGACTAATTTCCTGCAGTATACCTCTGAAGATGCATTTACTTAGATGTGCCCAAAAGGCTAAAAGTCTCGAGGCTTCAAGGCGGCTACAAGACATTACATGGTGCTGTGAATGGGCATCGTGTACTTTCCAATTCTCCAGTGCGGACTCAGCTGCGTCTCACATGAGCGACCATGTCAGTTCTAATTCACTTCACTGTCAGTGGAGCTCTTGTGACTTCTACGCAAAAGCTCCTGCCGCCCTTCACCTTCATCTCCGCGAAGATCATAATATGTATACTCAAGCAACCATACCTACACAGATTCGATTGTGTGTAGAGTGCAAGGTTTGGGTTTCGACGGACCTTGAATGGATCAAGCATAACGAGCTACATGCGCACAATCCCAGCATCGTTTACGGACCTGTGATTGCAGAAGGGATTCTAGCGGCACCTCGACGATGTCCGTATTGCACGAAACAGGGCATGTATTTGCAGATAGAAAACCATAGCAAATATGTCGAGCACATAGAGGAACATGTTCGCCAGCAGATGGCAGATAACAGCGATTCTGAGCTTCATTGTCCTCACTATTCATGTGCACATATGGGATTTGACAAGAGGAGGCTTTTGAGTCATCTTGACAAGGTTCATGGTATATCGTTCTGAGCTCGTCATCCTAATAGAATTAATGAAGATTTTTCGCATGAGTGCAGAACATGTGATTCCGCCATATATCTAATTTGGCGTCGGTCATCTCTGCAATGCATCCGGCAATCCCAAACTTTGCATCGCCCCGGGACCAGGAGTAAGAGCAGCTACGCAATGGACCAAAGCTCACGAGAAAGCCATAAGGGAGGGCGATGATATGCAGCTTCAGGACTTTGAGAGATATTGCTCTCTCGAATGTCGAGACTGTCTTGTTCCAGTCCGCCATATCCGGAAGCAGCATTCTGAAAAGCTCCAAGCTCACTAGTTCGGATGTAACTTGTCTGAACAGTGTGTGTAAGTAAGTGTGAGTTGTGATCATGCCAGCCAGACTGAGATGAGTAAGGCTAGCAATGTTCAGTGTCTTGCAGAATTCGTCGCTGAATTGACGGTGCTCCTCCACACAAGCCCTTGTCCTGCTACTAACGAGGATGTGGATGTCGAGTCTCCTCAGTGTCGTTATGTTGTTGCATCCTTGCGCGATAAGGTGCCCATACTGATTGCCTAAACATCGTGTAAGCCCTTAGACCATTCTCTAACAGAAGCCAAATTTACCGTGTAGACTCGCAAGACTGATGTCTGAGGTAAGGCCCAAATGTAACGTAGTAAGGCTCGAGTAGTCTGCAGTGAAAATAATGTCCGACATGTTCAGCGGAAATAAGGTACAGGTGTCGAGAGCGGTCCCTAACTGCGGCCTTGCCAGTCGTAAGATCTGAAGGTTCTCCAGATTGGGCGTAAGGCTGGACAAAACCTGTCGCACCGACATAATCCAGCGATCGTAAACGGCTTGCGTCTGATCCACCGGCTGCGATGGAGGAAGAAGATTTATCTCTACCAGGCTTACTAAGTATAGGGAGATGCTCTTCAACATGGTTGTCCAGGTCCAGTCCGCGAGTAGTGCAAGTGCTTTGCAGTCTCGAAAAGTCTCCCGGGGCTGCGGGAGTAAAGAAGTGCCATCGAACGAGATCGATTTCACTTCTTCGAATAGGTGGTACCCAACGCCCTGTTGAGCATGCTGAAGTCCGGGTAATGTGAAACGGAGACTATAATGACAGAGGAATTCTTTGCGAAATGGCTCGTGTAGTATGTTGTTGTAGCTTCTGCATGTCATACGTAGCTTCGCTGAAACCTGGAATCGGTCAGATCTTTCAGGTAGTATTTGCGTGAATAGTATAACGATTTCTGGAGGCACTGTAATGGGCCTATCAGTCATATCTGCGTTGGTGATAATACATACAAGAACATGCGGTTCCTTCATCTCGCGGAGGTCCTGGAGAACGCGATACTTGTCACTGGCATTTCCTCCTGCAGCTTCCTGCATACGGAAGCGAGATTGCTAGCGTCGGCCTCTAGCGTCGGCTTCTAGCGTCGGCCTCTAGCGTCGGCTTCTAGCGTCGGCCTCTAGCGTCGGCCTGACTTGGCATGCACCGTCCTCTCGAAGGAATGATGTGTGGCAGGGTGCAAATGTCTGGCAGTCAGCGCCACCAGTTCGGAAAACACAGGTGAACAATCTAGTCATGTGAAGCGAATCTACTAACCGTACTCTGGCGGGCACGGTTATGGATGTAAAAGCGATATTCACCTCCAAGTGCTTTACGCCAAATAAAGTTTCGCATTTGGGACAATTTATTGACTATTATACATAGCGTCTTTTGAGTTCACCCCAAGAACCATCTGGATTTAGTTCAACAAATATTTCCGTGTAAGACCCATCAGCCCGCCGATAGTAGAGTTCTACTCCGCCACACTGAACGCGTTAATTAAGTAGGGTACGCATACGGGAAGACCTTACCTCTTCATCCTCTTCCCCCATCAAGACGTATTTAGTCTTGTCAACATCCGTCCATGCATCGTCAAGTGCATCCCGCCCCTCCCTATGACACTTCACAGTTTCGTGATCGGTAGTGAGTGAGAAACTACTAAGCCGGCATGTCTTGACAGTTCCGTCAACCAAGGGGATACATTTCACCATCGTAAACCCACGGCATGGACCTGCCTTTATCGACGATAAACGTTGCAGAACGGCAAACTTAACGTTACCATTCTCGTCTAGATCTAGAGGCTTGTGCCATAAGGCTTCCAGATCGTCATTTAACTGGCAGGTAGGCGGCGGCGAAGATGGTGAAGATGGCGAAGATGGTGAAGATGGTGAAGATGGCGAAGATGGCGAAGATGGCGGGGGTGGCGGGGGTGGCGAAGATGGCGAAGATGGCGAAGATGGCGGGGGTGGCGGCGGTGGCAGATCTGGTGGAGACGGGGCTGAGTAGGCCGAGGAGGAGGTCAGTGAGAAAGACTCTTCTCCGGGTGGTAAGTCATGAGACAGTAGCGGTACGAGTGTGGATGTCATAGCTGGAGAAGGCGATGCTGGTTGTGGAGATAAGTGAGGAGACATTTGGCTGAGGAAACCTAATGGTCGAGTCCTGTTTCCTTATGTAGAACCGTTTGAAGATACATTCTACCCCTTTCGCGAGTGGTGTCATGCATAAATGAAGCGGCACCGTCATTCTGGAACAGCGATCAGCGGCCTAGAACTTGAGCACTGCGTGTGAGACGGACGGAATGGCGTGTCCATCCGTCATCCTCTTGTTTCTTTTTGCGGACATGTCACTACATACCATCCTAGTGTACTCGAACATGAGCATAAAGACGGAAAGACTAAGCGGGAGACTTGAAGTTGGCGGCTCCCCCCCAGTTGGCGGCTCCCCCCCAGTTGGCGGCTCCCCCCCAGTTGGCGGCTCCCCCCCAGTTGGCGGCTTCTCCCTAGTTGGCGGCTCCCCCCCAGTTGGCGGCTTCTCCCTAGTTGGCGGCTCCCCCCCAGTACAGCTAGGGTTGGCAGATAGCAACAGACGAATTGCTAGTTACGGTGGCAAACCCCTGACAGTGTGCTCCTCTTTTTCTACTTTATCATGTTGTGCCCTTCACGTGCGCTACGGTACACGCAACATGCCTTTCTACCAACCATTCGAATTGTGGCCTGCCAGCGGACCTACTCCACAAGCCGAAGCCTTCACAATGCCCCAGACCACGTTGCGAAACATCTATGAAAAGTGCCTCGATCGGCGAATGCATCGTCCCTTCGATGAAACCGTTCGGTCAATGGAGGCACTCATCACAACCCTTATTAAGGTTTCATATGCCCGAGTTGTCTTAGGACTTACACCTCAGAATATCAGCAGTTCACTACAACTTTTTGATAGAGAGACCGACAACGTAACAACATACTCTACGATTCAGATATCCTCCCTGGCGTCTGAGTTGGGCATCAACATTGGCGAAGGGCCGAAGTGCCCCAACACGCTCGGATGGGTGCGACAAATAAGCCAACTGCCGCAATTTTCCGATTTGGTTCAAGAACTGAACAATTACTTTCAGCGAGACCACTTTACACCGGAACCTCATCTACCTAATTCCTTACCTCGCTTCTCTCACACTGGAAACTCGGCCAGGCTTAACGCGCGCCTCGCCGCGAAGGGAAGATACCGGCTGCATAGGCATGTATACGACCGACATTTCGGACTGCGAACAGACACGGCTTGCCGCAGCAGTGGACATCGGGCAGTAAAGTATCGCGGAAGGTACATGGACCGCGTTGCTAGTGTGAGGTAGTCGGACCATGTGCATGGTGGGAAGCGGAGCGGAAAGGTTCCTGTATTCAATCTCTGTATCTAATATATACGTAATCATCAAAAAAGGCTTACATTCTCTTGAGATGCTTATCCTGATGTTGGAACACCATCGGCGATAGCACTGAGCTTGAGAACGCTTGCGATCTTCAAAGCAAAGGAATTGCGAGTCCACATTGACGTCTGAGTAGGGTTGATGGGTAGTCGTTCGCTTAACCAACCTGTGCAGGCATTGTGCCTGGGATGTGGCGTTGAAAAGCGGTGACTATGCTCCCAAGAGCTGTTGGGAGCACAGCCCACTGTTGACCGGTAAGCTACTCGATCCCTGGCAACCTACCGCCACCTGCACGGGGGAAGGGCACAAGGGCACAAGGCTGAAGCGCCACCTTCTCTACAGTATAACCATAAAGTTGCTTCATCCTCGAAAATACTGGAATAAACACATTCCAATTCATATTCAGCAGTGCCTTCGGGACAGCCAATCAGCAAGATGCCAAGCTTCGTCACGCGCTCTCTAGGCCGCACGGATCATGGAGTTGCTCATGCCACGTCAGTTTCTGCGCAGTCACAAATCATCCTTATGTACATCCGCACCGTATCGCTTCCTGTTTGCGCAATGCAGTCATCGAAACAAGGGCAGGCAGAGAGCTCGTCGAAGGAGCTTGAGACTCTAGTATCGAAGTTGAAAGGTGATACGTTGCAACAATTTGCGCGCACTGTCGAAATTCAGTCATCGTATATCACTTTCAACGTTGAAAGACACACGGAAATTATTACATATATGAAGAACAACTCGGAGGTGGGATATTCAAATTCGCCCTATGAATGAAGCTTACAGATCAAGTCAACGTTCTCTCATGTGTTTGGTGCAGTCCTCGGACCCGGCACTACGGTCTTCTCTGGGCCGTACTCGTACACCATCGTCGTCGTCGACTCGGTGGATCGTCCTGAATACGTCGTGGGAGGAAAAGACCCTGGCAATTCAATCCTGTTTCATGGCCCCCAGGGCCTCGCTGTCGAAGTTAAAGGCGGGAGGCTTGTGTCCGTAGTATTCGGCTGGAAGAAGTAACTCGAAAACGGACCAAGCTCAGAGTTCGGAATGCTCTCAATAACTCCATATGGGAAAAGGTTTCCTATCGCTCCCCCATTATTCAATCCAGCATCATTAAGCACACCTGGGTTTATCCCATTGTCTGTGACATTGTTGCCCACCATTGTGTCGTAGTTGTTTGTTCCCCCCTCTATACTGTTGTAATCTTTGCTTGAGATGCTGTATGAAGGAAGGTTGTTCTGTATTGGATACATAGGCGACAGGTCTGACAACGGGGGAGGGACAGTGGGATCCGTATGGTGTCGTTTCTTGTTGCTGGCAACTTGTTCCCATAAGCTTTAGCCTTGAGATTATGGCAGATTACTCACTTTGTATTCCGTTCATCTCTCCCTCAATCTCTGATTGCGACCGCTTCTTTGATGGTTGGTCCACCCACCGTCCAAGGTGCTTATCGCCTCTCATGAAGGCTTCCATAAGTGATCTGATCCTAGTGCCAGTGGCAGCGTAGGCTGAGCACTTCGACCATACTGCATCCAGGACATCGGCACTAAGAGGCTCTATCCCGGCGTAAGCTAGCATAAAAACGAAATCAGACTGTATAGTCGGTAGGGCGGTAAGGTCGACTGCTGGAAGGTTACGTTGTGCAAGTTGTCTTTGAGTCGCTGAGAGGCTGCGGCGATACTTCCCGACTTTGCCCTGCGGTAGATTAGAGTACCAGGCAATCTCCCATGCCGTCAATGAGTTTTTGATCTGTTGCCACAGCTTCATTGGAGCCCAATTGGACAAATCGACAAGCCCTTCATGTGCTGCTGTTGTCTTCGCAACGATGTCGGCCACCTGTGCTTTTCCATTCTTTTCGAGTTTAGCAATCAGCGCACTGCATTGCTCGACGGAAAGATCTGACGATAGAACGACTTGAAGCGCCAGAGTAAGAGCGTCATCAGATGTTATCTCGTCGCCGGGGCGCGACATGTTCGCCAAGCGGGGCAATGGTGTCCGGGATTGTGGCAGGCCGAATTGATGCTCAGCGCGTGACGGTGACTGTGCAAAGCTGCGCCGATATCCGCGGTGTCAAATCAAGTTACGAGTGGACGTGACACGCAAATAGTCTGGGTGGCTGGCCGATCGGGGAGTCAAAGCTAAGGGACTGCAGGGGGGGAGCCGTCTTTGGCTGCGATCCCTTCTAATATATGCTTTGCCGATGAGTGCGTCAGCTGATTTGTGAACTAGCGGATCGAAGCGCCTTTGCCAATCTCATTCAAGCCCATTTCTTCCAAGCCGTGCCTCATGGGTATGGCCTCGGTACTCCACATTGAAGTGTATCCCTCCGCCTCGGGCGCTCATCACTGCATTCCGTCTGCTGTCCGGGGTACGCACCTTCTTCTTCTGCGTCACTGGCACATGTAGCACCAATCGCGATGTGCATACTGCCTCATACTAGCTGCACATGGTTTCACAGCATGCGTTCACCTTGGGATGCATTCATATCGGGCTCTTATCGCATCCAGCTGCGTACTCGCCGGAGGTCGCGCTCGGGGCACCCCTTGAAGGATTGGAAGACCGAACCTAGATAACAAATAACCTAGCCGTCCGACTGGAGTACATCTTCGAAGCTGACCAGGCATGGTAGAGACCAGCGACAACGCAGCGCCTGTACCAGCGGGCAAGCTTTACTTCACACGGCGTCTTCTGGCCCAAAAGGAGTGGCATGTAGATAAAAAACACATGCATTCTGAGCTAGCTCGCGTACACTATTGACCTTCGGTGTTCTCTCTAGTTGTGATGCCGTTCGGAATTGCCACGTACTTCTCCCTCTGCCGCTTTTGAGGCCCCATTTGAGGCCGTGCTTCAATCATACATGACATATATGATGGGTCCGAAGATCAAGAAGAAGGCTAGAATGTAAAAAGCCAGAAGGATTGGATGGCGACGCACGCAGTCGGGGTCCATACGATCCGTCTCGGGAGTCAGACTCCAGCCTACACGTACATTCAGTCAATCTTCTCTAAATCTTAATTGATATTCGCCCACCATACTCAAGATCATGGAACTTGACTTTATTCACTTTCGAAATGAATCCCGTTGGCATCGTAGAAATGTTTGATACACACGTTGAGTCTTGAAGCAAGAAAGTGTATCAGGTGTGCCTTTCGGGGTGAAGGATCAGAGGATGTGCAAAGCGCCTACGCCCTAGCTGTTCTGTGAAGGTGCTTTAAGTGCCGGTGAAGGATCAGCAGAGTCAATCGCAAGATCTGCTGTTTCACACTGCTTCCCAGAACCTGCTGTGTAGCCGCTGGTAATTGCCAATGTTTCGCTACCCCCTTCAAGCCAATGTCGGCTACCCCCCTGTCAAGCCAATGTCGGCTACCCCCCTGTCAAGCCAATGTCGGCTACCCCCCTGTCAAGCCAATGTCGGCTACCCCCCTGTCAAGCATGCCTGCGTAGTAGTGTATGGCTGTCACTTCAGACCAATCAACCACGCGCGGATTCTGGCTGCGGCTGCGACGCCGAGGTGTACTCTACATATGTCTCTATTTGCTTCGTCCAACCTCTTATCAAGTCACAAGTCTATCAGCTTTCTCAGCAATGATGAAGGTCTTTTCATTGCTCAACGCGCAGAATCGTTCACACAAAGAGGACCAGTCCAAGAAGCTTCAGTCTAATCGAGAGGACCGAACAGAGCGCATCACTCCACCATTTGAGAACGTCATTGCGAACTTCCCTACAGCAGCCTTTCACAAGTCGACCACTCCCACTTCAGTCACTATGAGTGGTACAAATGGCACAAAGACGAACACGATCGCCAACCCCACTCGTTCCATGGCCCCAATAGTACCTTCTGCTTCCATCCACGCCTCTAGAACGCTCCCGGTTTTGCATCCGGCAGTCAAACGGCTACCACGAATCCAATACGGCGGTCCATACCAGCATGTCGATGTATATTCCCGAAGGGCTCCTCGATGCGTTCCCACTGAATGGCCTGCTCTCAATGTTCTACCGGTTCAGCAATCGCTGCCAGCTTCAGAATCTGATCGATTTCGCAATATTCGGGAAGACTACAACAGTGCCATCCAGCAATACCATACACCACAAAACAATTCGAGCTCCACACGGCCCGATCACATTGTAAACAATCCTCGGGACGAAGGGATGCCCATATCTGGCATGGCTACTCAAGGCCAATCAGGGCAAGGTTTCCTCGTCTGCGCAAGATGCGGACGAGAGGATATACCAACAGGTACAATGCATCACCATCTCGGAGGGGGATATTGCGTAGGTGGAGAGGCATTTAAGGTATTGTATGCTCGAGTGGTGTTGCGTTGCGAACCCTCGGAGATTGTGACTACCCTCCAGCAATTCGATTTTACTAAGGCGCCCCAATCTGTATATCCCTTGGACGTTACGACTACCCTCCGGAAATTCGACAATATTTATGACTTCCAAACTGTATACCCCTTGGGTTCGGTTGGGTGGCTTGGGCAACATGCTATGATAAGATGGATTAGCGTGCCAAGGAAGTTGTGGAAGATTTATCACGCGCTAAATGAGTTTTTCGGTGTGCCGCTATATCTTGACCACCGTTACTTTGAGGCTCCTGTTGTTGCAATCCAGCCCGGCGCGGCGGGTCACGACGATAATGGGTCTGACACCACCATCGAGGACCCGAATATGAACGACCTCTCCAAGCAACAGAAGTCGAATCTCAAAAGGAAGATGGCGCAGATGAAGGATTCGACATCTGAGAACTCCACCACACACGCCAAAAGGAAGAAGAAGAAGAAGAGCACTGTCATTTAGCCTCGTTCTGGGAAAATGTGAGGGGCAGATATGCAAAATGAACCTTATTCAGATCTTAGCTTTGCATTGCTTTTTGCAACGTGACGGAAACGAATGCTTATTGGGCGCCCTTTGAAGGATCAGACGCCACAAACTTAGCGGCGCCAGTATATTTCAGCCCCTGGATACCTTTCTGTCACGCTTGTATCTGCCAGGTATCCCGGTGTCACACGAGCGGCACAATCCAATATCTGAGGAAGACATTTCCAAAGGAACTCACGAGTTCATCTATGGCCCGCTGGCATCATGCAGCCTCCCATATAAGCTGCCAGCCGAGACTGCTCTGGAAGAGTGGGAACGCGGAGTTGACCTGATACGTCCTGAAATACAGGGAAATGGATAATTGCTATTCCAACTACGCTAGCCTCACTGCAACGTCTGGACTATTGATTACGCTTGAGTTCGATTACATTGTGCATCAGAGTATTTCAAATCGTCTAGCACCAAATAAAATTCTGATCCTTGCGGTATCCGGGAAGAACGGTCAATTCACCAGTCATCGAATCTTGAGAAGTAATGCAATGGAATTCCCCCCTCTGTGATATCCGACGTCTGAGTATCCGACGTCTGAGGATCCAAAGTCTGCGCCAACTCTTCTAACCCGATGAAAGAGTGCACAATGCACAAGGCCTGTTCTATATTAGGACTCCTCCATGAGTGACCACTTCCGATGACTTACCGCGGGGATATATATATAGCTGTGTTTCAATGCTGGCTCCCAGATGCCAACCAGCACAAAAACAGCAGCCATAACCAGACAGATAATGTAGGTCCAGTAGTGCCAGTTCGCCCATCCATATGTGCGGGCGATTAGTGCATATGAAAGGAGAAGGGTAATGATAAACCCCAGCTGGAAACACTGCGAGAATATCGCAGCGCGACTAGGGCAATTAGGAACATGTTAAGCGGGAATATGAGAAACGTACTTCGTATAGTATACCATCAAAATGCCAAAAGATACAAGACAACAAGACAGAAAGCAAAAACCTGTGACTAGCTTCCGTGTCCAGGAAACCTCCCTGATCTTAGATATATTAGCTAGGTTTCCTGGATGGGCATAGTATTCTTACCCAATCTAATAGTGCGAGAAAGCACAAGATCAAGATGCTCATAGAGGGACTGTAGCGGGAAAGGCCAGAGACGGCAATTGAGATCGTGACTACGCACATGATAAGCACAGGTAGACAAAATAACATAAAATGTGGGCTATAGTGCCTGCGCCGAACGCAGTAGTGTGCGAGCGGTTGTGCAAGACAAAATAAAAAGACGACACCTGTGCTAATCACGGAAAGGATAGCGACTAGGTTCATAGTGATGGAAATGGATGTAGTCAACGAGTGAGAGAAAGCCGCCGATGACCCCTCCTTTATAGTCGTCTGGGACTCAGAAGCGGCATTGACTCTGCTGTAATACCTGTGGGTTTGACACTACCCTGCTTATTGCTCATTGGTTACTACGTCAAGAGCTACCACTGTAGTCTAGCGCCATGCATAAGGTAGGGGAGGGTTGCGGGCTCTTTGAGCCCGCAGCCCTGAAAGAGCTTGCAGCCTGGGCGGCACATTCCATCATTTGCGCAAGCGCCCGACACCTCCTTATCGCATGTTGCTACGCGGTCGTCCCATCCCCCGAAACTACCCCTAGCCTCATACACGAACATCCCACCATTCTCCCCCCTCAGTACCTACTGCAAGCCTTTCACGATGCCACTCGAACCATCCTCGCCGCACGCCGACGACCAGTGCACTGGCAACACAATATGCTCATCTCTGGAGCTCTTCATGAAAGCGCCGCTAGAGAGCATCTTAGTTCAATGCAGCATGGCTGCACTCATAGCTCTCCAGAAGCGTATACAACAAGTTCTCGTCGAATATACTCGATACACAAGCTCGTTACCATCGAACGATAACTCCCGATCGAAAGAGAACGCAAGCATACAGCTCCAGATTGCCGTCGACAACGCAGTAGAATACATGGAAGGCAGGCCAGATGCAGAATCGGAAGCGCTGTTCCATAAGTGCAAGCACAACCTGAAGGAATGGGTGGCCCTATGGGGCTATCGAGACATAGGTACATACAGGAGAGGGTGGAATTCGCTCTCAAAATCACAGAAGAACAAGCTAAATACTATGGATGGCAAAGTTCTCAACCTCACAACCTTGTCGAGCGCCCAACAGGATTTCGTATTTTTTTTGGCTCCTACCTTTAAAGGGTCTCTGAGCCAAGAGAATTTCGATTCCATGTTCCGCACAGGCAGCCATTGGGCTGTCATTGGTACATACCTGAGGTCCATCATACAACCCTGTATTGATAATGACAAATATCTCTCGAAATACTTTACGCAAGCATCCCACACTCTACCGAAGGAGCTACTGGTATCGGCACAACTCCCAGAGATGACGTTAGGGTCTCGCGAACTTGAACCCTCCACGAAGAGGAGGCGCAGCTCGTCTCACGTTTCACAGTCGGAGAAAACTAATGTATCGCCGGAATTAGGCGCATTTCGGGATTATGAGAAGGTTCCTTCCGGCAGCTACCAGTTTCATCATACTCAGATGCCATTCTCTACTCCTCTACCCTGGACGTATGCTACCATCCACCCATACCCTCAATACGAGATCATCGGCCCACCGGCCGAACTTCATCCTTCTCCTTGGCCTTTTCCTCAAACAAATATACCATAAGCACTAGCCGTCCGGTCCGAACATCGATTTGTAGTGGCATTCCATGTGCGGAAATGAGATTGTTTGATACGAATGCCTGGGGGTAATTGCCAACAGTGTATATCGGATTGTCTATCAGGTCGAGGAAGACACAGGCGTACGAGTATGGGCCACCAAAGACAGTAAGTCCAGGCCCGAGCACAGCTCCAAAGCAATGAGCTAGCATGTTGTCCTTGACAAGTGAGCGAGGTCTCTTCTTTTGTAAAAGACGGGACAGTACCTTATTTGTAGTTTCCACAAGCTCACGAATCTCCTTGCGCGCTGTAATGTCAAAGGACGCATGCAATTTTGGAAGCTCAATGGGTATATCGCGAGCATATTGTTTCAATCGGTTGTCCCGCACTTGTATCACAAGCTGTTCAAGTCCAGAGTGGTGTGTAAAGTCTATCTGTGCATTTACTGTAGACTGCATCGCGTGACAAAATTGCGGCACAGCCGAAGTGCTCCAGAAGGTCTGCGAATGTGACTGCTGTAGTGACGTGTTGTAGACATGATCTGTGCGCTTTCTTTCATTGGTTACGCGAGACTTGGCATGCTTAGTAACGTTTGCCGCATTGGCGCATTTCTGCTCTTCTCTATCAGTTTTCACCACTTTGGAAATGGGCCATCGCGCAGTGCCTGGTCGCGCTTTGTCAAGGCGTCATCTGATACTTCAATCTGTTGGGCGTTAGGCCTAAGCCTCTCGATGCTCTTTGTATTCAAAATATTGACCCGTGTGAAGGCTTCGACTTGGAGGTTGTCCATGTTGAGCGCGATAGGGTCATCATACCTTCCACGGCTGTTTATAAGGGTTCTTGCCGCCAGGAGCTGGCGGACAGGGCTCATGTGAAGCTCCCTTTCCAGTTCCTCATCATTGGATTCCAGCTGTCTTCCTTACATGCATAATTCATTACCAATGGCGAACGTCGATCGAATAGACATTAAAGGAATGCTTAATCCTCTCCCCACGAAACTGCGACCACTTCCTGATGCCCTCTAGATGGAGTATCAGAAGGTTACTTTAAGCGACATACGACATGTCGAAGGTGCGGGCGAGACGACATAATGATGGAACACGTTATTGAACATCAGGCGTCGGGATACTGCGTGAACGACAGGGACTTCAAAGTGTTGTACGCTCGAGTTATACTTAGCTGCAATGCCTCAGAGGTTCAACCCCGTCTCTACCCGTTCGATCAGGCCTACGGGCTTAAAAACTCAATACACATGGCATTCAAACGAGGCCCGATGCCAATTGGCTGGTAATTCAGCCTCTTTCACAAATGTCAGTGCCATAGAAGATGGGTCAGCTGTCCTCTTCGTGGTCGGCGTTTGCTGTGTCCTAGCAGCGAGTGTTTCTAACAATATCCCGGAACCTTGCACGCATCATGCAAGAAATTACTTTTACGAATCCTTCAGCCTTCGACACTAATGGAGATTTATTTTCTCTTCAATAGATGCATGCGGGAGCAGAACTGACGCCACGATCAGCGGATCACAGGCTCTCTTGGAACTTGAACATAAATACGCTACGACCGCTTGATCGACCGCTTGATCAACCGCTATAGAACGGATATAGATACCCACCACTTCTTTGCAGTATGCCATGCAAGACATTCAGAACCTGGCGTTGGCCATGAACAACGATGCCTTTCATGCAAACGTATTTCTGGGGCGCCTCGACTCGTGTGGGTCGAGCGCTGGGCCCGAAAGAAGGCAAATTCCGGTGCGCTATTGACGCACAGCAAGCATTATGCATGCGCCCAAGCTATGCCTATTTACGGCGATTCCCTAAATTGGTGGAGGTTCATAAGATATCATGCAGGTTGCCTTACCGCCTCTGCGTCCTTCACCGGTTGCCTTCCTGTAACGCCCTCCATCACAGAAGGACTCAAGCTTCTGCAGCGACCTGCGAGGCGAGTATGCGGGTTATCTTGTACTTTCAGTTCTAAACAATCACAAGGACCGAATAACGCCCGCCTGGAGTACTCGCAAATCATGATACATCTGAAAGGTGCTGAAGACGCCAAGGTGTTTCTCAAATCTCCAACCCCTGGGAATACCACAACTCTCACCCAACCAAATGGTATGTTACTCCAACTCATCTTAATGCTTGCATGGTGACACAAACTGACATGGCGTAGTAGAAGGTTAGCAATTTCTGTAGGGATTAATAGCCCATCCCGATGTGATAGGTACAGTGATTCAGCTTTTCTCGTGCGATAGGTTGAAGTTAATATCTGCACAGGCCCATCCCCCTGGTATCTTCAGTGGGTACTGCAGAGTCGAGAGCGGTCTCATGCATGATCAAGGCATGCTCAGCACACTGTACGGTCGGACCATCCCCCCGCCCCGGCCTGTAATGAATGAAGCAAGAAGTATTTAGTCAAAGGACTTCCCAAGGCTTGCAATATCCGACAAGATAACCTTTCTGCTTCCTAAGGTCTTCGCAATGATTATTCTCATATCCTCTTTAGTATTCATCATCGCGTTACTGTTATACAAGTTGAATCCCAAATCGACTCCTCCATCCGTGGCACTGCTACGCACGGAGAAAACAGCTAACTCGCCTCCTTCATCCATGGCACCGCCGCCTCCTTCATCCATGGCACCGC